GGCGCCAGCACTGGTGTCTTGGTGGCGCGGTCAGGGTATATGGCTGCCACCACCGCTGATCTTGCCCTCGCCGAGCTCGGAGAAGGCTCCGAAGTCGTGGCCACCTCAGCGCTCACCATCTCTATCTGATTGTCTGGAGAGCAGCAGCGATGAGGACTCGTCGGCTCGATCGATTGTCTGTCTCGTTAGACCTAAAGTAGTGAGTACTTAGACACTATTTCAAATTAATATTCACATTTTCCAACCACAGACTCTTTGTCACTTAAATCAAAATATGGAGAGACAAAATACTGTTTCTATTTTCAGTAGCCGTAAATAAGTTAGGATGTATTATGTCGTACCCAATTTTAGTAAATCGAACAAGAATGCGGTAATGAGGCAAACTCATTAAATTAATTAAAAATGTAAACGGATTTGCAGCAATACACACTGGCAGTATTACAACATCGCGTAAGGATAACCACAATTAATAAAGCCGGTTTAAAAGAAAATAAACTTAACGGCAACTGCTTAAGCAACTTTATTATTTGCAGATACAGTACAGCAGTACAAAGAATCATGACTGGTCCACTAAGTGCGGTGAAAGCAAAAATTTTGCATAATAAGAGACGATTTGTTACAAGTCGTAGCGTAGTATATAGCTCTGTTGCATTTAAGGCGTCGGACGCGTGTGGTCCCCACAGCCCACAACACAGGCGCCTGGCTCATGAATCACACAGGACACTTTAATAATTCTAAAAATATACTCTTCTCGTCAAACTCCCCTCAACGTTTCTTTTGATTTAGAGCGATATAATCGTTAATGTTAATGAGTACGTGTACTCACTCATAAAATATTATCGGTAATATCAAAGTAGTATAAGATATTTATTTATGTTATCGACTATTTTGTGAACCGTTGGAACAAAGCGTTTAATTTTTCTCACCAAATGATGATCCAGTTCAATTTCGGGTCGCGATGTATTTATAATATTTATATCAATATCAGTTAATATCGTTTGATCATCGTCAATAAATATGGTGGCGACATCGATCATTCACCTTTGCTATTACGAAAGCGCATCTCACGTGCGTTGGCGACGGTTTCGTGGCAGCAGATGCGTCGCAAATGTCACGATATTTACGTCCGCGTACCGTCGCGTGCGCACCTCACCGTCCATCGATCCCGTTCGATATCCTAACAGTTAATCGTCCGCAATCGGTTTTTACGTAGCTCTCTGCGACAGTCGCGTGGCAGAATCTATCTTAATAATTTTTCCCGCGTGCGGTCAAGTTGCGTTTGCGCAGTTTTTGCGTCCGTTCCATACATTTAGCCGTGTGTTCGACCGCTCGTCAATCAGTGCTTGCCGGTTTGTGCCTCGGTTTAGTGCGTTTTATCGATAAGTGCGCGTTACATTCTTACTATCAAACATATATATTTAAACTTTTCTAGTACGAAATAAGTGTTGTCCTCGTCTGGGTTATTGACACCTTTCTACTGATTTTTTATTATGATTTATGATTGGACATAATAGAAGGCAATAGCATCAATAAATCTTTTAAATGTAACGTTCTAATTTATGCGTCTTATCATACTGTGGAATTCCGAGTCTTAATTATAATGACCAATATGATGACTAGTAAGCAGTAAATATTAAGAACAGTGGAGAATTTATTGCCATTAGGGCCCATTAGGCCTATTGGGGCTATTTTAGGGCTAATAGAATGAGACATTTTGTCATAAATAAAAATATTTTTTAAAACTATAATATCTTCATTTTCTTAGGATTATGTAATTAAAACATTGATTATTGTATTATGTGCAAAGGTGACTCAAATAAACTTCTTGATTATTTAATTTTTAAGCCAGTCTTTATCTTCATGACTTAAATAGTTAAATCCTTGAAGATAGTTAAGAATATATTGTCGATTTTCACCTTCCAATCCTCTGTTGTCGACGTTTTTGTACACTTGTTCTAATATACACCTTCAGTGTTTGAGTTAAGGTGCACTAAAAATATATTTTACAGCATATTATTAGATGTCCAGGGTATTGTGTCAGATAATGTAGCCGTGACGTCCTTGCACCTTTGTCTGAGGTCCGCTGTGTGACCGAGAGAGTAGAGAGCAAATCTACTAACATACATTAATATAATATTATCAGGTAGACAGTAAAGTTTAAGGAGACAAAAATGTGGTCCTTTGATACACAATTAACTTAAATGGACCGAAGGACTTGAAAATCTGGTCCTAATATTTTATGGTGCCCCTTTTAATTTAATCGAATAATAATTAGATGATATTTTCCTCTACATATTTATGTATATCAAAGAACGTGTTTAGATCATTGCCATAACAAATGTAACCTTTATTTGGAGGCCTTAAACTTGTGACCTTTAACAGTTTTGCTAGGAAACTATAAAAATTGCATGACGATTCGAAACGATTGTTGACTAACAACCTTTACTAGTGAAATAGAAAATGCACTTTACTTAGCTGGCTGAATCGCCAATGTCAATGGCTGTTTTTAGTGCAAAAAACTAGTATATTGTATTATTACTGGTAAACCCGTTTAATCTTTCATCATCATCACCAGCTTATAGAGATTCATTGTTGGACAATGGACATAAGCCTCTACTAGGGCTATCCCTATATCCTATTTTTCCTAACTAAAGTTATGAATGCGGATTTTTTATGTTTACTTTAGTTTTAACTCGGAAAAAGGATAAAGATTTCACCGGCAATTGCTCTCTCTCAATTCCATAATTTGCAATCACTTCTTTCACTTTTCTCCGTTTTACACTACGTAATCGTATTGCAGCATTTCCTCTAAAACTGCATCTAGTTTGTCTAGATCTGTAATAGCGTGATCTAATGCAATAAACGCAGGTTTAACCAACAGTTTAACTAACAGTTTTATAGCTCGCGAACACATTGCTCACGAAAACTTGATGCCAATAGAAATCGAAAATCGAAACTGATTTAATCAGACACTACGCCCTTCGTTGTATAACTCGCCTTTTTTGTGAATCTATTTTACGTAAGCCTACGTTAACCCATGGGATGCTAAATATGATAAAGATATACTTTTACACTTAACTAGGTGCACTGGCAGTACTTTTTTAGATTACATCATAAATCTAAAAAAGTGTTGTTTAGTTGAAATCGAAACTGTCAGTCAGTTATTTTAATAAAATGAAACAAACAAAATCAGGCGATTCGCTTGAAAGATTATTGTTAACTTGATAGTCGCTTGTGTTTTCAAACTTCCAGTGGCGCTAATTAAACACTTTGCTTACTAACCGAGCGATGTCTTTGTATTGCGTAGTAATATAAGCTTTAATTTTTTATTTAGATTTTAGAATTATAGCCGATCTTGTGTCGGATTACAAAATAATTCATCCCTGAATATATTTCATTATCAAACTGTCACACAGTCTTACATGTTCCTTCAACATATTTGCACACCATTTGAACTCTCTCAGAACATTCACAATAATTTTTAAGCCAAAAGTAGCCAAATCAAATCAGCCATTCTCTAGTTTAAGCCAGATTCGTTAATGTTTAACAGATATTAATATTTTATTTGTGGGAATCACCGGTTGTTTACGAAACGTGCCAATAGGCCACATAAGCAAGGATTGTTGGATTAATTTTGCTACAGTAGGACAAACGTAAGTCCATATTTCCTCTTTTAAAATAAATATGACATATTTATTATCCCTTATCTGCTCATACAGTGTGGTATGTTGTATGTAACATATTTTCCTGTGATAATTCAATATTCAATGTCACTAGTATTACAATTGTGTTTTTATTGTTCGTCACATCAGTCAGAATAACCAAACAAGTATGTTTTAAAATATTTCGTATGATAACGCTACAATATCAACACAGTACAACATTATTTATAACATCACATTTACATAATTGTGTATAAGCACGAGAATACTTCAAAAATGGTGTGATTACTGGCATTGATTTTTTAGCTGACTGGAATAAAAAGCCATTACAAATACTTTATATATACATTATTATTTCCTTATTATTATCTGTCTACCTGACCAAAACAATGCCCAATTAATCAGTGCGCTGCTCACGTGGAGACCGGAAAACTAGCCTCGTGCAGTTATTCATTAGCGCATCGTGTAGGGACTAGGGATCTAAACGTGGTGGGGGTACATCGATATTCTAAAACATATAACAAAAATAAAGTATTGTGGACCTCTTAAACTTACTTAAATGGAACCACCAAAAAAATCGAAATCTGGAATTTTCAGGTTTTAGTGGTCTTTGGCTTCGTATCGATAGGACGAAGCTACATTAAATACCTATGTGACACTCAGTGGTACCTTCACTACTCTAAAATTCCTTCTCGCACAATGTACTGGTAAGCCATTCTCCCGAATCTCTTTTATTCCTTAGTAAACGTATGAAAGCGATAAATTACAGAACGTGTGACGTATAGCCAAGTATGGCGGTCACTCGCAGTCAGTCGCAGTCGTCGCCGCAACCACACGCGTGCTGGTGTTGCCCTAACGAGACCATTATAAACACGATCGCGCGCGAAATTGTCATATTCTCTTAATGACTCAAATCTATTGTTCAGTGATAATAATCATAAACACATACATACATACAAACAATCATTGTCATAGACAAGTGCTACTGAAGAAACAATTCTCCAAATATCATAATAAATTTTGTTGACTTTAAAATAAAGAATGTTGGTCAAGGAGCGTTTAATAAAGTGGAAAACATCGGCGATAAGATAAAGCTATAATACCTCGACAATAAATGTTATCGCGACTCGCGCTAGGGTGCAGTTCGAGAAGAGCACAGTGCAAAAATTGCGTCCTTCCTTTCTATTCAAGTGGCAGAGACGATGCTGCAATCTAGTCGCCTGCGCACACGTAACATTTGTTGACGCATATGAAAATTTGAAAACAGTGCCGCGACACCGTTTGTTTATTTTCTACGAATAAGTGCACATTAGCTGCCGGTAAACAGTGTCATTCATCATGGGGCAGCGGTCGGAAGTAGCTACACCTGACAATAGTGATGAGGAGAGCGGAGACGCTTTCACCGATGGAGACTTTGGTGACTCCGAAGAAGAAACTATCGTAGAACGCCATACTGACGCTAAGCCTGCGCACATGCCAATCAACGAAACAGTGAATGACGATGTTCAGAACAATGCTGCTACTAATGGGCACTCTAATGGTGGCGTCGATGAGCAGCTCCGAATGAATGGTCGTAAAAACAGTGAAGCTCACTCAAGTGATGTGGACAGCCAAAGCTTAGTGTTATCAGATTTGCGCAGAGACTCTCACGGCGAACTAAATCCTTCGATCGTTGGCATTCTCGGCGATCAGCAGAACCATGTACGTATAGATAATATTGCATTAAAATCATAGCATATCCTTCTTTGAATTGTGGGCTGTGTCATGCTACATCCGAAATATTTTCCGTTTCCCAAAACCATTTGCAGGTGAGTCACGTCAACCTGCGTCTGATAGCGTTCGCCTTTGCTTACTGTATGAACGTGTGCCTTATAATAATTTAAAGGTTAATTTAGTTAATAGTATCAACCGCGCCTAGGTGAAGATTATCTTATCTCATTATATTTCACTACGTTTTGTATGAATTGAAGGTCATAGCCAAATATAAAATTGTCTCAGGTAAACAGTTCAGTTCAGCAGCCATTAAGTACGGTATATGCTTTCAAAGGGTTTTTGTGTAAAATAAATATAAATTGCTTCATTTAGTGCCTTTAAAATCATAGTATAGTCGTGACTGTGTGATTTGTATAGTTGCGATAGTTTAGTGGTCAGCTCAGAACTGTAGTATGTTCATAATCGAGGCGGTGCTGCGGTGAGATGACCTCGTGTTGTTAGATTGCATCGATATGACGTTTCCGGAGAGCTTGTTAGCACTCGCCTGCAAACTCTTGCTCCTTTATGTAAGTCCCCTTTTCACCTCTAAATAAAATAACTATTGTTGGAGCGGATGTTCACAAATAATACAATTTGAATATAATAATGTTTCTAACATCTTCCAAGTTCGTAACATATAAAATGTAATACGTACATACGTACTTCAAGTTTATTGTAATAGTGAGTAAACACGTGACAACAGCTAGAGTCACTAGTGCGATGGTGCTGTCACGCCTGGTGGCTTGGTGACGGCAGTCTTAGCCTCGCCATGTCGCCGCTGCAGTTTTTATTATGTATTGCCACTCGAATTTTAATTCTCTATGTAAGTAGCTTGCATTAATACTAAATTTAGAACAAGTTTTCGCGAACATATTCGTTACGGAGATCTTGTAACTGTTTGGTCAACCACAAACGTCATATTATGTCCTTGTTGTCCTTACTGTCGTCAAACGACTTCAGTGACATTAAAAACTATATAACTTTAACACAAACATGCCTTTATAAGTGTTTGCTGTAAGATAATCTTGTGGATTGTGTGAAATATTTATCCGCTTCGATGTTTATTTTAACTTTAAAGTTTCAACGTAGTGTGTCATCGACTATGTTGTATATATTGGATTTAATAACTGGGATGTTTTCATTCAACACGTGTGCCGTCTTGTACTAACTAGTAATATGACGTGTGCTCGCTCACTGCTCGCTCCCTAAGCTCCAACACATCCTTGAGTTATGTTTGTATGACAATAACAACAATTAACGCTAAGCTAAGCAACAGTGACGATTTGTCACACTGTCCGCTCGTTGTCTTCACAAAGTGTGACAACACCGACAACTGTTCTTTACAGGCAAATGACTGTGTTGTAATTCCAAAGAATTTGTTCCGAAGTTCCAAAGTAGACATCGCGCGGTGCGTTTCCCTCTATCAACGCACTATTATGAACAAATTTCTGAAATCGTTTGTTCTAACTATAAAAAGACTAAACGTCTCAATTGTGCAACACATTAGTATGAATAGGTTGAGCAGACAGCTACCGGATATAAATAAATACCATGTTTCAAATGAGCCAACCAATTTTCAATTAAATAGTCTTTAGCCAGTATTACATCGCGCTTTTGTTGTTCAAATCAAAAGCGTATTACAGCTGTAATAGCCTATTAGAGATAAATAGAATGGAACCATAGAAGCTTTATCTTTCAATCAGTTTGAAGTGCATTGGCAATAAAAATGTCGCCGGATTGGTAAACATTAGTGACGGGCGACCTGCCGCCTGCCGCTCGAGATTATCGCCCTTTAACTGGAACACTTCTGTTTATCCTTGCTTGTCTATAGCTGCTATTATATCCATTGACAATTTGTTAATTGCCTTATAACGTGAATTTATTTTATATCCATTCGGAGGAAACGCTTTACCGTTTAAATTCAACTCTCCAAATGTATGGTCCTCTTTTGGTATGATGGCTCCAACAATTGTCGCGTCCACGTGTTCACAAGGACCGGCAGCTGTGGGGAATGACCTTCGTATCCTTAAAGCATTGTGTTCAAGGATGATGTCACCGCCACAAACTTCACATTTTATTTACTTACTGCCATGTGGCGTGAATCATGTTTTAATGAATATTCTGTATTGTAAATATTTGATGGCAGTCGCTTATGACGTAATCCGTAACGAATCTTCTGTAAACTTTTCAAAAGATTTTCGAGACGATTGTTCTGAATATTATGTTTTATCGCATTTTTTCGTTATCACCAGCCGACCGGTGAGCTCATTTCGTAATCGATTCGTACATTAACCGATTCATATCTTTGTTTTAGGGCTTTGTTTTGTTTTATTTTTTTCTTTTCTTTGGACGGTGACAATTTCTTGTTCTTTTTTATTTATCTAATAACTTTGTCAATATTTTGGAGCAATGATCTTAGTTCGTTGAATGCACTATGCCGTCTGGTCGGAAGACTCGAGATAAGGCTGTAATAATAGTTTATTGCGATGCAAACTAAGGAAGGGTAATGTTATCGCGTTATGTTACGCCACCACTTCCCGTCACCCGCATTTTACAGTTACTTCAAACTTCGCGCCCGCATATATGACGTCAACTGCGCATAATTTTTACATTATATCACTTTGTCCGCTAATCATATCACTGTACTTGTTTTGAATTTATTATGCAAAAAAAGTAGCGGAATTTTTGTTTCATTCTGTAACTGCGTAAATAAGCGTATTAAATTTAATTGTTTTCAAATAATATATACTTCTTTCAGTTTACAATAACATCAATGACTGTCGAATTTTGTTAATTGACTATGTATTGGAGCTATTCTTGTTTTTCTATAAAATCGCGCCAAACTATTGCAGTTTACTAAAATAAATCCTATTCATAATTTACAACCCATAAGGTAACAACTAGACGCCAGGCATCGCTCATGTCTAGATAATTATGTGTATGTCAGGACTTCCCCTATTCCGTGTCCCAAGTTTCATGTGATGGGATGTGTGATGTGTCCCAATGCTAATTAGACACGGGAGTCCACGCCCACACAATGCTTTACGACATGGTTGTATCAATCTATCATAACATAGCTATTACAAAATTAGTCACTTCATAACGGCCTCATCTAATGAATCTTCAGTCAGATTTGAAAGTTTTGACATTTTAATTGCTATAATTGTAATGCTTGGTAAAAAGAAGGAAGTGTGTGAACTATTGCTAGCCCTGATTATTATAAAAAAGATACAAATGTTTTAGATGTTGTAACTATCAAGTTGTCTTATTTGTAACGATACAACTTTCGCGTTATCGCCTCGAATGTTTTTTGAGTGATTGCTAACTCCTTTGTAAGTGTCTTTTTTATACTATACCCAAGCCCGAGGCGTGACCACACGTCCAGCCAAAGACCGATGACAGTAAACCTAACTAAGAGCTTTAAGTGGTTGTTTTGGTCCACGAGTATAATAATCTACACTTTTAAGATGTTAGATCCAAGACAGCTTTTTCATGTAATTGTGTCAGGCCAGGCATTTACTACATTCTAACTACTGTAGATCCTCACTTACAGGCCCAAGCTAGCATTGGTTGATAATGTGTGGCGACTTATCCAAAAAAGCCATAAACGTTTTCCGTCATTAACGTGATTTTAATAAATATTAAGTACCTTCTAAAGTGTACTAATCAACTGTCATGACAAGCTAATCTTCTCATCAGCTTGAATGACGTGCAATGTTTACTTCCTCACCTGACGAGACGTGTACTTAATCGTTCTCTTCCGACATTCTATTCCAACACTTTTCCAAGATTAAGTATGACATAAGGTCTTTATTAGCACTAGGTCTTTAATTATACGTTAGATATCGTAAGATACAAGATCAGTGTTGTTTTTTTCATCGTTGATATTTTATTACTGTCTAGATTTTCTTCTGATTTCTCGTTAGATTACCACTGAATGTTTACAACTGTCAAACACCGAGCGGTCACCGGTGACCGCAACCTATTATTCTTTAATTGTGTCTATAATGACGGTACTCAAATGGTTAATCCTGCTCAGTTTTTGTTGTTGCAGTTTGCCCTCTAAAGTTTAGACCTCCTTTCCTACCATTAAGGTCAAACTATAAACTATCTTTACTTTTATCTTTATAGTTTTATTCAATGCTGTCGCTAGGTCCCTATGATTGCGATATCTGTAATACATTTTCGTAAACAAATTCAATCGAACCTGGAGGTGTTTTGTCTACTTCTTTCGTTTGAAAACATGTACTGTATGAAGACACAATCACCCTAGAATTGTAGAATTATTTCTACAAGAGTAGTACTCTAAATACTGCGTTCTAGACAAACACTTGATTGTGCTATTAATGACATCATTAGATATTTGTGATGCAATACGTTTTCTTAATCATGTTGTGATTGTGAATAACGATATTTAAATATAGGTGCTTATGACTGTTGGTAAAGGTGTTATTCCGTCCTTGCGACTAAATTGGTATTTAAATTAGCCTTTTATAGATATAGGTACTATAACTAAAAGGACTAACACTCCATTATCTATGATACCCCTAACCAGTTTATTAGTTAAATGGTGGTTTCGAAGCTTAACAACATGTACAGCGCACAGATTACACTAAACGGTGTGCTAATTGAAGACGCGTAACTTACGATCATCCCGCCCACATTACTATTTGCGTAATAGCAGCCTCTTTGCAACGACTTGGCAACGCTTTGAAGTATCATTATTATATCCACTAATCAGGTATTAAGAAATCGTCTAGTTTAGTATTGTTGCCAATGTCGTGAATCACTGATGGTCAACTGAATTTCGTCTTATTTATGTCTAGTCTAGTCCACTAGACGGGTCGTCTGCCTTGCCTGGGTACGAACTGGCTGGCGGTTTTTATTTTCTTACTTTTTGTAAGTCTGTCCATTGTGGTTAAGGTGTGCACAAATTCATACAATTTTTCTTTTTTACTCTTCCCTCGAGATCCGATCTGAGATTGCTGTACATGTGCTGAAACGCATCGAGTTTCAATATTTTGATGCTTATTTGAATAGACTCTACCGTAGATCCTAGTTTGTTAATCAGGGTTAGGACGGTGTATCTATAGGATTTAAGTATCCCTAAAAATACATTCCCCAGTCAGTCACTATGGCATCGTCTACTGCGATATATGGTCTTTCAAGTATTTCTATCGTGTTGGTTGTTATATCCCAGCAGTGTCTAAAGTTGTGTGTATTTATTCCAGGCTGAACAAAGGTTGGCAGCGCGGCGGGCGGCGCGGGCGGAGGCGCGCGAGATACGCATGCGCGAGCTGGAGCGCCAGCAGCGCGAACAAGAGGACCATGCAGACAAAGCGTATGATATGTATGCCGGGAAGACACCAGGTACGACACTATCATCATTTTTATGGGATAAGAGGCAAACGACAAGTTACCTGATGGTAAAACATTATCTCAAGAGCACCTTCAGTGACACAAAACGCTTACTTTAGGTCCTCCAGGTGACCTGATGTTCCTAAAGCAAGGACTTTAGAAAAACCAGGGTTTAGGGCGATACATCACCATTATGCCGCGCCAACAATGTAATAAAATATCCGGCTAGCACGCATTCTAGCTATCCTTTGCTAATTGGGAACCTAAACGATAATTTTCCCAACCAACCATTTCCAAAATAATTTTGCCCACTATGTAGTTCGTGGTCTCCTTACTGATTTTTACACAGCTATAGATAAAAGACCTTGACATAGCATGACATCTTTCATTATTGTTTGTCCTTTTTGTTCTGAAAACTTTTATCTGTCGCTTAATATAGACTACGTGTTTCTTTACCTGTCTATAATTTCGTTATTGTATCGTATTCCAGAGTCAGTGGGTCGCCGCGGGGGCACGCGGCTGGCGTCCCTCAGCCCGGCCGTGCACTCGCCTCGCCGCAGCTCCGAGGACTCCATGGATGATGGGTTCAGCGTCAAAGATCTTAGAGTATGTACCTACCATTCGTTATAGAAAGGAAATAAGGATACCATACAATATTCCCCAATATCGTGAAACCATCATGTGTTTCGTCTATAAGAAAGACATTCAACATAAGCGTAATAATGATCATTGGCAATATGCATCTACTACAAAAATGTTCTTTAATGCGATATTATTCTTGTTACTGCTGGATAATGAAGTAATGTCATTCGTTGAATTATTATTCCAGCACGAGTTGAAGGAAGTGGAGGAGAAGTTCCGTAAGGCGATGATCCTGAATGCGCAGCTGGACAACGACAAGGCGGCGCTCGGCTACCAGCTCGAGCTGCTCAAGGACAGGATAGAGGAGCTGCACGAGGAATATGCACAGTTACAGGTGATTAAGCCATCCTTACATACCCTCCCTACTTCTTTGTGTTCTATACAATCACATTGATTACTTACATTTTTCTTCCTCCATTGATCGTAATCCTACTTTCTTGGTCTAATATTTAAATTACATAATGTTTACAGCGAGAGCACAGAGAGAAATGCTCATCATTCGAGCGTTTGAAGCGGGAGCACGAGTCAGTGACTCGCGAGCTGGGCGCGGCGCGCGACGCAGTCCGGGCGCGGGACGCGGCGGCCGCGGCCGCGGGCTTCGCCTTCGTGGACGCCGCCTCGCTGGACGCGGGCGCGCGGGAGGCCGCGGGCGCGCCCGGGGCCGCCGTGGGCGCCGTGCCCGCGCTGGCACTGCTCACGCAGGCCGCGCATCAACTCCTCGACACCGCTGGGGAGGGCACGCTCGGTACTTTATTAAATAAACATTATCGAATACTAAAAGAAACGTATCGTTATTGTGTCAATTCCCGTCCATTGTCGTATAGGTTTTAATACGAAGCAAAAAGACACGATTTCATTTAAACTTTTGTTTTTTAAATAACTTCACTCTTTTTACTCTCTAAACACGTACACGTACTAACAAATCCTATGTATGTGTTCCAGACGTACGGTTGCAGAAGTTACTGAGTTCGAAGCAGGCGCTGGAGTCCGAGGTCCGCAAGCTGAAGCTGCAGCTCAATGAGGAGCGTGCCGCCAGGCAGAACGGAGTCACCAACCATCACGACCAGGAATACGAGAATGAACGTCAGTATTGCTATAAAGATATTATCATGAGAATCAAACTGTTAAGACAAAGTCGTAATAGTTTTGCTATTACTTAACTTATAAACGAAGGTCGTTGATTTAACGAAGTACTTAACTTCAGAAGCTCTTATACCTAGTATTACCAAGTGAATTGTCTAGTCTAATAATCAAACATCTTTTTTTATGGCATAGTAGTAAACGAGCATACGGATCACCTGGTGGTAAGCAATCGGCGTCGCCCATGAACACCTGGAACACCAGAGACGTTACAAGTGTGTTACCGGCCTTTTGGGGATTAGAAGTTTGAGGAACGTTGCGGATTCAGGGATTGGGGGCAATGGGGAAGGGGAGAGTAATTGGGCCTCCGGTAACCTCACTTACACGACGAAACACAAGGCAAGCGTTGCTTCACGTCGGTTTTCTGTGAGGCCGTGGTATCACTCCGGTCGAGCCGGCCCATTCGTGCCGAAGCATGGCACTCCCACACATGAATGTGTGGATATAAAAATAGAGTTAAGCTAAGCCTATAACCATTGACTGCTTTGTTTACATAAGAGGGTTTGTCGTAATATCAATGGTTGGACTGTTGAGTGTAATGATATACTGATTGAATGAACCGTATGACCGTGCGTGCAGTGGAGACAGTGCGCAAGGCGGTGTCGGAGGCGAAGGGCCGCGCGGCGCGCGCCGAGGCGGAGGCCGCGCTGCAGGCCGCGCACGTGGCGCGCCTGGAGGCGCAGCTGGCCCGCCTGCGCGCGCGCCAGGACCACCAGGACGAGCACGAGGAGCAACTCAAGCAGGAGCGCCGCAAGCTGCAGCGAGAGGTACGCTACCGCCGCTATGGCTGTTGGCGTCGTGCGCGCCGTCTATTCTACTACATAGCATTATGTTCAATCCGCCAGTTAAAGAGAAGACAGCATTCAAAAACAGCAAAGCTACCGACATGTTCTTTCTAATGTTATGTTTACAGCATATAATTGCCTACTTAATTTTATGATGACGGTGAGATTTTATCAATCAATGGGTTTCTGTAAGAAAAAATACATGAAACAATTTAACTTTTCAGGAAGTCGTTGACTTCTGGGCCGTTATCAATAATGGCGACAGTTAACGGTACAGTCGCACCCTTTGCTCCCGGCGTGTGTCCCTAACGTACCGCTCAGCCACACAATAATGTTCCCACACTACCGCTACTTTCTTCTTACACTGTACATACTTTACCGGTTTACCCCTACCGCATGATATATGTAAAACTACGCAATTACACAAAATCGTTGTAAAATAAAATCAATAATATTCTATAACTCGACCGCTATTAATGTCAATTTTTGCCTACAATATTGTATATAACGCTATCAACCCCGTTTGTGCAAAAAATGACATTATATCAACATACTAAGAGTTATACTCACATTCCAGGCTCGGGAAGCGCTCAACCGAGTTGAGGAGTTGGAGACTGAGAACAGCCACCTGACGAAGCGACTCGACAAGCTCAAGAACGCGAAGTCTGCCCTGCTGAAAGATCTGTGACAGGGCTGAAGTTGGTGAGAGGACGGAAACTGCGCGCCATGCAGGGACGACACGCTGCCATGTATGTACGTACAAGAATATCAAGCTGACTGAAGAATTCAAGATGAAAAATTACTATTTGTAAATGTAACTAACTGCATCTACAAAACTACTTTATCTTATGAGCAATTGGAAAGTAAACATAACATCAGGACCTGTTTCACAATGTGTGATTAATTTTATAAGAAAAATACGTCTAATTATCATTGCAGAGACTTATTCAGACATTGTAAGACAGACTCTAAGTAATTAACACTGTCAACATAATAATTTGAAGTTTTTTTATTAATTGTTATAATAATTTAACATGATCATTTCAACCTGTATTATGGTGATCACAAAATAATTTGTTATAAGTCCACATGCAGTATGTTTTTATTTAAACACATCTAAAAATGTATTGCGCGAGGATGATTAAGATATTAATGAATGTAGTAAAGTGATATGTAGCGTGTATGTGAATGTGTGTGAACTGTGAAGGAATTCACGATGTTTTTATAAATAAATATTCAGTTATGAAAACATCGCGAATTAGTCAGAGTGCCGGCATTTCTACTGGAGATGTAACCATAAGTCATTTTGATGTAAGCTCGGCGAAGCTTATGTCGTGTGTAATATACTTATCAAAACTCTGTTCGCTCAGACGTGACAACCCTGTAGGCGCTGTTATAGACTCCTGCATCTATATGCATTTCGGATAGTTAGCTAATATTATGTAAGATAATGTGACTGAATGCAGGCGCTGTCTCGTCGGAACCAACAGCTGCGACTGCGTGCAATATCTTTGTGAATAACTTGTAAGCAACACGTGACCGACAGATATGAACACCACTACACAAAGATGTTGTACACAGACAATACAAATAATGCTATGGTTGTAATATGTATAACCAATTTATAACTATTGTAAATCGCTTTCATAATACAATATACCCTGTAATATATGAGATAATAATGTGTATAATTAATGTTTTGTTTAATTTTAATGAATAATTATTTATTTTAACTATGTTCGCATTTTCTGTATAAATATGTAAGTTTTATTTAGCTTGCCGAATTCATTCGCTTTGTTACTAATAATATAATTGGAGTGATCGATTTGTTACTTGCCATTGGTATCACACAGTCAAGTTAAGTTTTGAAGCAACACTACATCGCTTGTCGTTTATTTATTTATAATGCGTTTATCTGTAATATAATTGCTCAAAATTGTATCCCATGAACTATGTGATAGTCTATTGAGAAGGTAAAACGTCCAATAGGATTAGGGACTCGAAGGCAGGAGTTTTCGTGGGACTGACCATTGTATTGTATTTTTTATATTTCGAGATTTTTTATTCACAATTCTACAAAGTTACCAAGCTGTTTTACTGATGACATTGTAAATTATTTTTATCTTGTTATTATGACATTCTTTAATTACTTTATTGTGAACATTTCGACTAGATCTCGAAGTAGGAATGTAGCGGGAGTAAACTGAGTAAACAGTAGTTATTTATCTAACGATGTACAGGAGATTATCGAACTTGTCGCTTATATATAAATATAGTTGTTAGTGATGCTCACTTTAACGTACAGTGCCATGGCGCACCAAAATGTATTAGTGATACAATCAATCGTATGTGTATTGTAGTTACGAGTAGTAATGAATTGGAAATGCGGGTAGCGGTAGAGATGCGCGCTTGTCAGATTTTTATGTACAACGTATGCCTGTAACGTGTATGTATATCTGTAGATTTTATATTAAAATGTTACTCTTACGGCGCGTTTGATTACAACTTTATAGTCAATTTAGTATAAACACGCGGAACTTGTGGGCTGCAGGAGATGTGCGCTGTATACAATATTGCATTATTGCACAGTAGATCAGTTGACTGTGGCCAGATAAGACCACCTCGACACCACCGACTAATTACTCTGGGCGCAGTCAGCTGACTACTTGTGCCCAGGTTCTGATATCAAATTCTGTGTGTTTCATCAATAATTTATTACAGTTGTTTTTGTGTCGTGCATGTCGACAGACCATATGTATGCCTTCGGATATTAATGTATTCTACCTAATAGTGCACCTGCATTTGGTGAATGCGATGCATTCGTCGGATGTAGTCGCACCCTAACAAAACAAGAGCCTAATGTATCGTCTACTCAGACTCATCGGATGTCTGACGGGCCAGACAGTCAGTGTTTCTTCGGCCTGCGTAGTAAAGATCAATGTCAGTATAATTTGTAAGTAGGAACGTAATTTTTTTAAGTACGATGTATGTATTTTGGTGCTGCATTACTAATTTATTTGTTTTCAATTTAACTATGAATGACCAACTGTCTTTTTATATGAAGCGAAAGAGACTTAATATTGTATAAATTTGAATATTTTAAATAAATTTCGCTCTGAACATGTTGTTTTATTTTTATTGCATACATTACGTATGTAGTTACTTGATCTCAACTTTTCGTGCTACATTACCTACCTTCCTTCAGAAAATCAGTATAAGTCAGTAAGTATAAGTACATAACAGTAATGATGTACTCATAAAGATCCATTTAACGTCGACTATCATTTTATAAAACCTGATGAAACTGGATTTTAATCAAGAAACCACGCATTAGTGATCCTCGCCTAGCTGATTCTTATCTACAGCCTCGACTCTTAGCAACAATGTATTCATGAATCTGGTTTCTTACAAATCTAAAATTAAAAACGTAAGCGATATACCCAGATATACCGATATGCCTATGTATTAGTTGCAAGTCGTGCTATCGAAGTTCAAACATCTGTCTGGTATGAAAGTAAGATAATGTTAAACTGGCAATTATGGGTGTAGCCAGCAAAGCGTATAATAAATATAGGAGGCAATACCTTCATTGCATTCGTCGGGCTTTTGGTAGCCCGACGAATGAACGAACTTGCTACACATAACAATATGTTATGATGTGGATAAAAGAAAGTTATTAAATGTACAACATTTTGGACGACTTATGTTATGTAGGTATACATACACCGTTATTTGATGTAAGACCGTCTTAAACGCTACGCGAGAGATACAAAACCAGTTTTTATTAATTACTAGCTGAACCGGCAAACGTTGTTTTGTCATATAAATAAATTCGTAGAAGGGTGAAAATTGAGGATTGTATGTATTTTTGTATGTTGTATCATAAAAAAAAGAAATTAAAAAACGTGTCTAAAAAATAAAATAAAACATTTAGGGGTGGGGTGGACTACACCTAACATTTAGGGGGATGAATAATAGAAGTTGGCTGATTCTCCTATGAAAATCAGATATCTATATATCGGATAAGCACAAAAAATTTCATCAAAATCGGTCAAGCCGTTTCGGAGGAGTATGGCAACGAAAACTGTGACACGAGAATTTTATATATTAGACGAGAATGTTCTATATTAGATGTGTTCATGTTCGCAGCGATTATTTTTGTAATGTCCGTATTTTGTACCATTTGTAATTACTAATGGTACACAATTAAAGAATCCTTTCATTAGCTGCGTTTAAAAGACGAACTTTAACCCCCTCTTTTTTATGAAGTCGGTTAATTAATATACATTCTAAGTTTAAGACTTTTCAGAAAACGGCATCAAAATCTGAGCCAATCGCGAGACAATCGCGCATAAACATACATGTTTACATACAAACATAATGCAGATCAAACTGAGAACTTCCTTTTTTTTGAAGTCGGTTAATTATTTTTATTATTTTTAACAGATGTAGCCCCACACTGTGTCGTAGATGCGTTAACAAACATACACATGACACCTAAACCCGAAAGAACAAATTATGGATCACACAAAGAGTTGTTCCGTGTGGGAATCGAACTCGCTACACGTTGCACGGCAGCCAGTTGCTCAGCCACCGCGCCAACCTTCCAGTGCATTTATTTTTTTTAATTATTATTATTAAGTATGTATAGGTAATTATTACCATAAAACTAGTAAGACTTTGTGCCCATTAAATAAACACATGCACGGAGGAGAGTGGTATTTATGTGGCATTTTGTACCACAAAAGAAACTTCATGTATGTACTTATCCATCGATCGAATTTATTAAATCTATGAAAGTTCAAACATAAAATAAACAAATGATTTATAAATATTTGCAACTAGCTTCTGCCAGCGGCTTCGCCCGCGTTTCAAGGGGTAAAATGTAGCTTATGTATTACTCCAGGTCATAAACTACTTTTGTTTCTCATACCGGCCCATTCAGCCATTTTGATGTGACTGAGTAACAAACATACACACAAACTTACAAAGGTATTATAACGGTTCAAGCTAATTTCGACCATCGGCCCTACAGTTACAGCGTAAGCTCCACTGCAGTCTGCGGCACAGAGTACATTTGTATATATGGTAGTCTGCGGTGCAGGCAACCTAACATTCAACGGCCTTGTATTTGCGTTTGGTACAGTAATTGTGTCTAGGGATCGAGACGCATAATTAAGTTTGTTTTTTAGTGTATGATATAGCCAATTAGCCAAAGTGATTAATTTGATATTATTCATAATGACCAGAAATTTTATATATACAATTTTGTGTCTGTCTGTATGTTCACACGCAAAAACTACTGGTCCGATTATGGTGAAACTTGGTACCATTATACTTGAATATCCTGGGATTATACTAGGTACTTTTTATCACGAAAAAGTAGATAGATTTAATTATAATCGTGACTGTATAGATGAATCCAAAGAATAAGTATAGGAGTAGATGAATATTAGTTTAATGATCTAATAACCCTTAACCGACGACCATGCATGAAAAGATTGATGACTGTTGATGAAGCGAAAGAGGTATGTAGGAATCGTAGTAATTGGCGTTCCCTAGTCTCTGCCTAACCCCATGGGAGACAGGCGTGAAGTTATGTATGTATGTAATTAAACTTGTCAAATCTAAAATGGAATATTTTTACTACATGTTAATTTGTCCTCAGTAAATAAACCAAGGAGAGGTATTTATGTGGCACATTGTACAACAAAAGAAACTTCATATAACATTCTATCGAATTTATTAAATCTATGAAAGTGGTATATCGTACATAAACAAATGATTTATGAATATTTACAATGAATCTTAGTTTCATGATCAAATAATGAAACAAATTGAACAAAATGGTAAAATGGAATATTTTTACTGTGTTTAGGTGTACAGCTTAATACTAATTTCATAAGAGTCAAGCCCAAAGAGATGACATGTTTATCTCTAAATAGCTTGATCTAGTGTACTTACTATTTCCACTAACTCTCATTCTGCCTAGCTAACAATATTTTCGTTTAATTTGTCTAATACAATAATATTTATAAAACAATAGTAATCACTCCTACAAACTCTACTAAGAATAAAAGACCACACACGAAAATTATAGCTATTAGAATAAAGAATATACACAGCTTGTTCTATGAAAATAATTATTCTGTTCCAATCATTTTAATATAATTTACAGCTTTATTACAAATATTCCAAAGTACTTCTTTATTTTTACAATTAATTTTAACTATGTAGGAAACTTAAAATCAGCTGGGTAAAGTGACACTAATCAACTAATTATAATGTTAGCAGAAAATGACATATTTGGCAAACTGAAATTGGGAACTGAAGTACTGAAAGGACATAATTATTTTGGTCACAGCTTATGTATGAACTGAGTAAGACAATTACAGAATATACGGAGCAGTCTCTTTGGGCTCAATAGCTTCATCTTACTACTATGGTACAACAGTTTATGGTAGTGGGTGCTGGCTGGGAGTGAGACCTCCATGCTCCGGGCTGTGCTTCTGCTTTTTCCTCTTCTTTTCCTTTTTCCTCTTCTTGCGCTCTTTATCATCATCATGACGCTTCTGCTTTTTGTGTTTCTTCTCATATGTGTCTGGGTTTGAGGAATCTGTTGATTAAAGTTTAGTTATAGAAGATACATCAATAACTAGACACAAAGATATTAAGTTAACAACATAATAATGAATCACAAATAAAGTAATTTTAATTGAATTACCTAATCAAATTAATTAATGTTTCTGCAATAATTTTTTCAATACTGTATGAAATTATTCTAAGGCCAAGTTAACATTGATATATTCATTTAGATAATGAAACTGCCTACCCTCACAGTATAGTGTGAGTTGAACATGTATGATGATAATGCATACCTTGCAATGGTGTCTCTTGTCCAGGCGGGACTCCATCCTTGTGCTTGTGTTTCTTGTGTTTAGTCTTATGTCGCTTTGGTGGGGTTGCACTTACATATCTGTATTGTTCAGGCAGAGGGCCTGGATGCAGTCGGAATCCAGCTAGCTGAGCACTTGTTAGTGGCAACAGTTCTTTGCCACCTATTGGCCTCTTGGCTATTACTGAACCTAATGTACTATTATCTTCCTGTCCAGGCCCATCAAGAATTCCAGGCAGATTAGGCAGAAATGAAGACAGAGATTCCTTAAGTTTTTTGCCATTAAATTTACTATACGAGTGTTCAAGTCCATAATAAGCCATTAAATTAGTTGCTCCTGTGAGTTCACATTCTCCTGTAAATCCATAGAGTCGTAATGTTATACATTGCTTGTAAATAAACAATAAAATGTTAACGTAGTGAAGTGAGTTTTTACCTGGAGGTTCTTTCATCAAATAGAATGGTCCACTATGCACTATTGAAGGGTTCTTGCCAAGTGAGATAGTAGTTTTGAGGGTTCCCGAGGAATCCTGACGAGACACCACTGGTGACCTCGCGCCTCGCGGCGACGACTTAGGGGAATACGGTTCTACTTTTCTAAACTGATCAGACATCATCTTGTATCTGCATTGTCTACATAAGAAACGTAAAGAAAAGAAAATCGCACTAAAAAAATGATAAAAACTTCGCACCCTCTGGTTGAGCAAAGAGCTTTCTTGACAAATTAGCAAAAAATATCATAGAGTCAAGAGTACTAGTGATGGAAGTCCCTTTAGTATGTAACATATTTAGTCGATTGATTAAAGTTTATAAATATACTAAAATTCTGGTACTATCCGAGGAGTTATAGTTTTTTTTTTCAAAAAGCTTTTTGCAAAAAGGATTTCGCTCAAACATGTAGTTAAATCACTGAATTAACTAAAAATATAGAGTTCTGGAGTGTGACACAGCACAGTAAGCGTTATACTGTATGTAATACTGACCACAGACTACTTAGAAATATTGACTTTGCGCTCTCCAGTGTCAGAAAAGGTACCATCTCAATATCGTCGCAAACGCCGCCACCACTGCCTCCGGAGTTGGAAGCAAACCCGTGTGGTTGCCGGCAGGTGGCGCGATGGGCACCCAACGCGTAACTCAACGCAAACACTAGCCAGTCAGTACGCTGCGCGACATCACCGTGACCGCATATGCTGCTCATGAAGGGAAGAATACCACTGTGATTCGGAAGTAGTGGACTTTTACCAATATGATTTTCGTAAGTATCTAGTATTTTTTATTAATTCACTTCTAGGGTGGCTTGCATAAGGAATGTTAAATGTATTTAAGCACTCCCTAAACGATTTTAAGAAACTAAGCGTGTTTTTTGTCTTGTATTTTGGTCTTTGTCTAGTATTTCAAACCAATTTATTTCGTTGATTTATATATATTGACGATAAAGACGAAATAACTATCTACCTATATCGATCTAGCGCACCAAGACAGCTTTTCCCGAGATCGACATTATTTGAAAGTCTTTCAGAACTGAAATTTGTGAGACGTTTTCGTTTATTTTGTAGTATCAGCAACTACAATGATATTGCTACAGCAAATGGAATCTTGTCTGCATAAGACAGAAAGATGATCATAATTATAATAATAAATTTAAATAGTGTAAGATTACAGTACATTAGATATATTAACCATGGGCTTATACCAAAACCATTCCCAATAATTTTCTACCTCCGTCTAAAATCTATAAAATACACAATGTAATGTAAAATGGTAGGAACCAAAATTTAAAAGCGAAAAATACTTAAAAAACACAACGTTACCACGATTGTAAAAACACCCAGCGCTATCTATCGCTAAGTAGCGTAATTACTACATAGATACCAATTAGTAATTCGTTGACTTATAAAACAGCTCGTTGGCCGAGTGGTCGCAAGTGGTCTACTGACTGAGACTGCCGCTCAAGGGGTCTCGGGTTTGATTCCCGGGTCGAGCAAAGTACTACTGATTATTTTATAAATTCTTAGTAGTAGCACGGAGTCTGGAAATGTGCCCGGTATATGGTAATAGGCTCACCCCCTATTACATGGAACTCATAACATAAATAGTGAAAAGTACGTGTTACATTGTACAGTGGCATAATGTACACCTCTGCCTACCCCTTCGGGGATAAAAGGCGTGATGTTAAAACAGCAAATATATTATATAATATATAGATTAAAACGTGGGATTTTCAATTAGTAGGTAATTCGTTGATTTGTTTCAAAAGACATACAGCGGCATCTATACCAATATTTTTGTTTTCCCTCGGAAATAGCATTTTTCCGGAATAAAAAGTACCCTATTATTTAATCCGGACTTCTAACTTTACGTCTGCAAAATTTCAAAGCAATCGGTTTAGTATTTACGGCGTGAAAGCGAAACAAATAAATAAATAAATTCACTTTCCGATTTATAATATTAGTAAGGAAGTAAGGATAGCTGTGTTGATATGTTACTATTCTTCGTTGTTAATAAGAAAAATCAAAGTGTAAAACACGAAGCACTCAAAAAATTTTACTTGTTCGCTAAACACTATTAAATGACATGAAAATGACAATATTAAATTCATTTAGGATAAACATATTTATGGAGCTAAATGTAATTAACTAACAATGTTATGCAAGCCACCCTTGTAAGCTTAAATAATAATTCTGATTATTGATTTATAATATGTCAAACTTAGAGGATGACGGGCTGAATGTACCAACTGACCAATAACGACTAAACATATGTCGTTGCAAAGCTCTTTTCATGACTACCACTTGTATACTACAAATGATACCTATCTATTTTGGATAATGGGTAATGTTGGGCCTACCTCTCAATACGAATAAGATACCTCTATGTATAGGTATTCATATGCATAATAGAACTTTGTATTACGATTACGACTAAGTTCAAGTCAGTGGTTTTGGAATAAGGTTGCTCATAAGTAGGCGTGCTCCAGCGCCGGCCACATCATCGCTTGCTTACCATCATAAGTATAAAAAAAGTAATGTAAAGAGCTTTCTAGCGACATAAGTCTGATTGTTATTGGTCAGTGGTTATCTTTTCCATACACGTTTGCCCGTCATCTTTAACGACAATTGATCAATTTCCTAAGAAAAGTCAAGGACGTTGAAAAAGAGGCGGGCATAATATCATTTAGAAATAATTGAAGCACCAAAATGTCAGTAGGTTATATATATAAGTGTCCGTGTGTAATGGGTTACTACCTAGCGTTGGTAACCACGTTACCAGACTGTCTTATGAAAATGACAGATATGCTTCGTGATAATGTTTGTATATTCTGCGTGTAAGTCTGTAGTAACCACGTGCCACGTGCCACAGTCTTGTTTCAAGAGACTATGTCTGCCTTTTTTTCAACGTCTTTGGGAAAAGCCTGTTTTTACTCCTCTTAAATCGATTATTATTTTAGTCGATTAAAAAAAATCTGTCTATGATTGAATAGGAGACACTGACAGGTGAAAGTTACTAAAAATTATCGTCTAAATATATTTCGATGGGATCTTTTCAATGTCACAATTTTTACTTTTTTGGTCCTATATGTAAAAAAATACCTAAATAGATTTAATTTGTAATGAAATAAAATATTTGACTGTCTATGGTAAAAAACCACGTGTTCATGATTAGCGCCATGCTTGGTCATAGAAGTTTAAAAAAAATAAAGGAGAATGGCAGGTTTGTATGGAAGTTTTGTACCGCTAAAAATTTTTGTATTAGTCATTGTTTTAACCAAGTGAATAGTCTGAACGATAGATATTTTTATTATGAAGTTTAGAAAAAAATTACATATTTTTAGAACTTGGGGTTCAAAAGTTATTTCACTTTGAAAATGTGCAAAAGGTACGTTAAGGTGGTACCACACTTGACATTGCGTAGTCGCTACATTTGTCCAAATATTTGTAGACTACGTACAAATGGCGTCCAAATAGTAATGGCGTGCAAATATATAGCAAACAAAGAAGAATAAATCCTCCAAACATGTTCTTTTTTGGCTGAACACAACAAATACGCAACGTCAAGTGTAGAGCCACCGTAAGCAAAATATCTATTACAAATGACAGATGACACTTAACTGAAAAATGTCAATGTGCTCTCATGTGGTTGTTTATTTACAAAAAACAAAAATCTAAAAATACTGCTCGCTACTCAAGTGACTATTACACTTAGTATTATTAGGGATGATCCTGTTAATTCAGCAAGCATGATGTTCCTATAGAGTTTTAAAGAGTATGCCTTACAACCTTTTTATTTCTTAGGTGCCTACGAAAATGCAAATTCATAATGTAAGTGACTGTCATTGGGTAGAAGGCCTACATTTAGCAGTGGAAGTCTTGTGGCGGATATGATAAAACTAGTCTCACTTCACCTTGAATCTTGCAGGTAGATAGTCTCAAAGGTCTCAAGTTAATTCGATTTAAACTTAGCTTAGCTCTTTGAGAAAGTATTTCTTCTGAAAACTGGTTGCTTAGCACGCGTTTAAGGATTAATTTCTAATAAGTAAGTCAAATTAGTAGAATCATCAACATTTTCATCATTAAGTGGCCACTGCTGACCGAAGCCTCTTCTTGCATGGAGGTTTGAGCATTAATCACCATACTAGCTCAATGTGGGTTGGTAATTCAAACTTATAATAAGAAATTATAAGCCCATGTTTCCTCACAATGTTTTCCTTCACCATTCGTCAGCGGTGTCTTTGTACTTTCTTAGATTATTGAATATACGAATAACTCGGAAAAAAGACACATTGGTACTTTGCCGTTGGTAGGTTTCGAACCCGCACTCTCATGCATGAGAAGCGGGCTTCTTAAACCTCTGGGCCACCACATTACAATTATGTAAAGAAAATGTAAAATGAAAATGAACATTTTTGGTATAAAACTAAAGCTATCTAAATTAAATATGGCATTTATTTTATAGATTGATTCTTAAAATCACTTTTATCAAGATGGAATATTATATAGTTACTTACTAGGTTAAAATAAAACAAACATATTATTTTGAAATACTTTTATTTCATTGTATTCAGGTTGTTTCTAGGACTACTTCATCTAAAAAGAGAACAGGCAGTGTCATAGGTACAGCAGACATCAATTGCTGATATCTGTAAACAAGTAAGATGTAAATAAAGTAAACAAAAGTAATTCTTTTTCCTTTAGTTTTATATGTTATAAATTATAATAATATGTCTGATTCCCTATCTTAAAATAGAAAAGATAAAAATAAATATTTGATTACATTACTTGATTTTATAACATTTATTATAGTTATTCGTATAACACAGATCATAGGAGCTCAAACAGCATGCTAATTAATAAATTATAATTATAACATGAGTATAAACCTATTAGAAACCGCTTATATACTCCACATAGATACATAATTATGTAGGTACATTATAATGAGAATGCATACCTGTTGAAGCTTTGAGAGCCGAACAACATCTTTCGGCCTCATCTGTTCTACAAATGGCAATGTTAAAGTGAGGCTTAGTCCATGTTTACATAACACATTACTTCCTGATAGTGAACACTGTAAGGTGGTATGTCAGGTTGTGGTTTTATAGTTTCGACTCTTGTACGGTCTCTCAGTCAGTATGGAACATGATCTTCATCATGGGAAGTAAGCTAAAATAAGTAATATTATTAGAATATGATATTGACTTTAGATTACACTGTATATAGATAATAGTATGGTTAAATTATGCTTTATTACCTCTTGTGGCTGAATCCAATCAAATACTATATGAGGCAGTCTTTACTCCTGTTTGTTGGCACCTTCAATTAAAACCCTGCGTCACCTTATCATTGCAATGAATCACCCATATACGACACAAACATGCCAGTGACCAATTTGTTTGCTGGATATACTTTCAGCAACATCCCGATACATTGCTAATTGCCAGCAAGCATTGCAAATATGGTCGGTAGGAGAGATCTAGAATAAAAAGAATAAAATGATACATTATGGGTAGATAACACTATGCGCCTTCTTTTATTCAGGCAACATGGTGACTTTCGATATGTTATGGGTAAACTAGGTACTCACATCTCTAGGATAAGTCCACAATGGGATATTGTTGACCACGTCTAATCTTCACTCTCATTTCCTAGAGCATGCCGTCTCATGTGCGACAAACTCTGATGCAATTAATGCACTGTAAATTCATCATCGCGACAAATTACAACACACTATGCACAAAATAATGTAAATAAGTGTCTTTTCGCAATTGTCACGACAATGATGCCAATAACACCAATTTGGGCTACGGAGGAACGGTTGCCAAACTCATCGTATCACCAGATGAATAAAATAACTTCAAATTCAACAAACACATCATAACATCGCATTTGAAACAAACAGCAATGCGCCAGTATTGACATTTGACAAATTAATTGTCAATGTCATCAAGACAAATGCCAGTTCAACATTGCCATATTCAAGTTTGTTAAAATGTTAATATTATCATTAATAATCCATGTAGACGTAGATTTAGATTGGATGTAGATTTTTATATTTACTTATAAAAATGTTTGAAATGGAAAGGAAAATATTTCATTGATAGATATTAAAATAAATGAGTTTATGAAATAGCGAAATTCAATATGCTCTGATTTCATCTTTACGCATGACAACTTTGTAAACGTCAATCGCGGTTCGTTTTACGCTTAGTGGATTGCTTTTTATCATTATTGAATATCAGTTTTTCTAGGGTTTCCCAAGTTCTAAAAATCTATTAAATATGCTAACATAACGTACTTAGGAGGTTCTATAATGACCCAATTTTTTAATGACAAATCTTTTTTTAGCGAAGCGGTACAAAATCTGCCGTTCTCCTTTAAGAAGTAAAAATTTAGTCTATGGTACATGAATTAGCTTCTCGTAATACGCTACGATTTTCGATAATGTGTTTGGAAATAAACAATTTATTGTGCTTAATTTAATGTTGTTTGTATTCAGTTGTGTAATATAAAACCTTAAAAATGTTTGTGAACTGTGATTTGAGTGGTACAAATAAAGAGCAACACTTTTGATATCACGATTCCTCGCTGTGCGAAGTGACGCCATTTTACGGGAATGATCAGCCCGCGGCTGCCTCATAGTAAGCCTGATGTAAGGATTGCTCTGATCAAACGGATGCATGGATACGAATCTATATTCTTGCACTCGTGCTGGACGGACGAATTCCGAGGTAAAGATCATATATTTATATTATTGTTGTTACGATGATAATTCAAATCATGTTTCGATTTCCTCTTGTTTGAGCGTCTTTTGTTTCCTAGTAGTCATAAGCACGTGTTAATTTTTTTTCCAGAAAACTATGGAAGATGGTAATATTGTCAATACGAAAGACGATAAAAGCTCAGCAGCGTCATTGACAAACTTGTACGGTGAACGGCCAGTGAAATTTACCGCAAATGGACATGAATTCGCTGGCGAGCAGTCTAGTCCGCCAGACGAGCAGTACGAGCAACGTCGGCAGTCTACCGAATCTACTTCATACGACGACAAATGCAAAAGACGTATCAATCCTCTTCGAATACACCTTGGAAAAAGGCCATTTGTTGATAACTCTCTTCAATATTACAGCACAAGTAAGAAAAGAAAGTCTTCAAATAAAGCTTGCGATAGTAGCACACCAGCCAATTCAGTGCCCAGAGTGCCCAAACTTATTCCTAAGCAGTTAGACCGTAGTCAATTTCACAATGTTCCATCACAGTCTGAAACTGATGCTATTAGTGAACGTGACAAACCCGTGCCTCGGCTTGTGCCTAAAAGCCAGTTGCTACAGTTCAAAAAGAGTAAAGCAGAAAAGAAACCCCAGCTTAAGGAATATGCACAGAGCTTGGGCTTGCAACCCATGGTAAAGTTCAAGTGCCGGAAATGCTGTTCAATGTCATTTAAAACTTTAGCCATGTTGAAAGAACATCAATTAGTATGTCGAGCACAAGCAAAAGAACCTGCACTAAGCCCTGAGGCAGCTCCTTGTCCAGAACCAAATGCGAGTGGGCCGTCTAGAGTTACTAGGAAATTGTACTTGTGCTCGGCATGTGGTCATTATTATGAAAATTGGAATCTCTTTCTTCATATGAAAGAAGTACACAACAGACATATTTGTTTATTTTGTTTGGGTATGTTTTCTAAAGCAGAGAAACTCTCATCCCACCTTTCAAATAAACACAATGTTAAAGAGTTTAATTATGAGAGCAAAGAGGAGTTCTTCAATGTTTTTAGTGGAACCTTATATTTGATGTGCTGTGCATGTGATGAAATTTGTAGTGAAAAAGATGACTTTTTCAACCATGATTGTAATAATGTTATACCAAGACCTGTGCCTATTCTTGTTAGCAAAGCAGTTAAAACAAATAGTGTAAAGAATGTTAAAAGCTTCAATGAAGTGTCAACCAATGGACCAACAAGTTTAACAAAAGAATCAATAAAGCCAATTTGTGATCGAAGAGATATCACTGATGGCAAACCTGAAACAGTCACATCACAAACACATAAATCTGCAGCTATAATCCCTGATACAAGCAGTGCTAGTGAACCTGTAATTAGTGATACTAGTATTACCTCTGACTGTTCACTACTTACTAGTAAAGATAATGCTATTGATTCAGGAATGGAACTTGAAAACTCAGACTCAAAGCCTGTTTCAAGTCCCATACAACAAAATAACTTCAGCCCTGAGCAAAACAAACATATGCTTTCTAATGGCGATGATAATTTAGAACATTCAGATGATAGCGATTCACCAATCTCTGATGAAATTAATGAACTAATTAGAGAACCTACACCAGTTCAAAATGATGAAGCAATATGTACTCCTGTGGAAAAGGAGAAAGAATGTGGAATAAAGTTAAAATTAAGTTTAAATAATGCAAGCTCTCCTGTTATAATTAATTCGACAGTAGATCCCACCATTGGACAACAAAAAGTACATAAACCACCATCTAGAGTGAGACGGCCACCAAAGCGTTATGAAAAGGATGTAAATGTTGATCCAGTACTGCCTCCGAAAACACAGTCAATAAAAATGACAATATGTGATAGAGCTGATAGTCCCTTTGTAAAGACAACCATATTTGAAAATAATAAAGAAACTACTCTAAAAACACTGCTAAATAACAACTTTGAAACTCCATCTAAAACTCCTGAAATGAAGATAGAGAACACTGTTAAAACTACAATTTATGATAACAAATTAGAAGAAATTAATACAATGAACAGGGTACCCAAATTAACAGTGAGAGTTCCTAAAGAACTGTTGGATAAAGATTCATCTAGTGATTACTCTTCTGACAGTGATGTTAGTGATAAACTGACAGTAGATGAAAATAAACCTATTAGTGAAGAAACACAAGATAAAATTAAAGATGAGCCAGTGATTGGACATCCACCCATTGAACCTCTAACACCACCTGCAGAGGTAAAGCCTGAAGAAGATTTACAAGTAGATGAAGATATTCAAGTGGATGATGAAAAAGATGATATTAAGTTGAAGCCAGAAATAGATCAGGAAATGGACCGAGATCTACCTGTTGAACCTACCATTGAGGAACCAACTATCCCTGTCACACAACTCTCTCTTGATCGGCCTCTGGATAAATATCCTCTTAAAGATCTTTTAAAAGTATTCCTATCATCTACCATATATAGCTGTATATATTGCAATCATGTGCGCAAGATTGCAGTAAATTGTGAGCAACTTGCTTTGCACATGGTGGCCCAACACAGATTTGCAGCAACTGTAGATAGCATCACTGCAGAAGAACTAATGCCTGAAACTATTACTGCTAAGTTGAGGACAGGTGCTCCTGAACTAAATATGGTCTATATAAATTTAGAATCTTATGACAGTGTCGAAAAGTGTGATGATGTTCAATATGACTATATGTTTGAATGTTTTCAATGTTATTTTAAAACTGCTGTACACAAAGATCTCTATTTACATAATCGCAAAATGCATCAAAAAACTATTTTACTGTGTGTAATGTGTAAATCAAATTTTTATAGTTATAGTGAATTAATATGTCATTTATGCCCTGGAACATATGATTCTGAGTATGAAGTTAAGTTTAGATGTTGTTTGTGCAATGTAGATGCCATCCCATCACCATTCAGATTAATGGTACACCTGCGCAAGATTCACCACACATGTGATGTCTGTTTGGAACTTTGTCACAATCAAGCTCGACTCTCCAATCACGTTTGGAAACATAAATTGCATCATTTGTGCTATCGGTGTGGCATTGCTTATAGGAATAAGCCAGACATAACCAATCACTTGTTTTGGAAACATGGCACTGAGAGTGTTTTATGTAAAAGATGTTTACAGAAGAAATGGCCCCATGTCTATCACTTCTGCACACCTCCTGCTGTATTTGCTTGTGAGGAATGTAGTCTACAATTTACAAAAGCTGTATATTTAAAAGTTCACAAACGTTTTCACTCCAATGAATTTCCCCATGTTTGTACAGAAGAAGGCTGTACTGAAAAGTTTGTTTCTAAAAAACTTCTTAACAAACATTTAGATGACCATATGAAGAAATCATTAACAGAAAACTTCAATGAAATTAAACCTAACACGTTAACTGAAGTATTACCGGATTCATCTAAAGAACCAATTCCTATAATTGATTTGGTGGATACCAAACCGAAAGAGGAAGCTGGCACTTCTGACGTTAAAGCTGAATTAGGGACTGAACAGCTTACTAAAAAAGAGAAGAAAAAGAAGTTAAAAGATAAGGATGCTCTATTGCTTGATGTGAATTTACCAGCACTAAATCTTTCTGAGAGTGACAGCAGTGATGAGTCAGATAGTGGTTTTCCATCAAAGGTCAAAGATGTAAAACTTGTAGACAAAGTAAAGCAAGAGGAAGATTCTAAGTTAGAACCAATGGAAACAAGTTACAGTGATATGGACATTGTGCCTCACACTGAAGAAAAAACAGAGACCACTGACGAAAAACCTAATGAGCAACAAGTGTTGGACATATGGGATAACTTTAAAAAATACCAGGCAAAAGTTGAAAAGACTAAAGAGAAAACTCCTCCACTGGTACCAATCAGAAAACATGTGTGTGAGTCAGATCATGATTATTGTTTGGTACCCACTGATATGAATGGAGATGATGATTTATTTACTAGTGACACTAAAAAGAAAAATAAAAAGTCTCCCAAGAAACAACGTGGTGATTTGTCGTCGTCTAGTAGCAGCAGTAGCGATTCTGATTCAAGCTGTTCCTGTGGCTCTAACTGTAGTTGTTCATCTAGTAGTGGTTCATCATCGTCAAGCTCGTCGGATTCTGATTCTTCGGATGATTCCATAAACGAGAAGGAGAAGAAAAAGACGAAGCGTCTTAAAAAGACTCTACCTAATAGAAGGGTCAGTACTGGTTCTAATGTTGACGTGATGGGTATGTCTGAAACACCGATATTAGTTCCTGAAAAAACAGAGCCCCCCATTGCGGAAACAGATCTAGAAACTGATGAGAGTGAAACAGATGAAGAGTTCTATGATGAGCATCCGCAACGAATAGCCAACAAGTTGAATGAAGAAAAACGTAATCAATTGGTAAACTTATCATCAGTAGCACCTTCAGACACCGGTTCCCTTTCTGCTGAAACCAGCCGCCCCACCACGCCTATTAAAGAAGAAGAGAAAGACGTAAAAGAATTTAAAGAAGAACCCGAAGTAAAAGTTAAGTCAGCCAGTAGTAAGAAAAAGAGCAAGAAGAAGAAAAAATCAAAAAATTCCAAAAAGCATGGGCCCATTAAAATCAACATTCCTAAAGACGTCATAGTTAAACCTGAAATAGAGCCACCACTGCCTTTAATTCCTAATAAAATAACAATATCTTTACAATCTAACACAGTACAAATCCCCGAGGCTCCGAAACCAAGTCCCGTAGTTACAGAAGTGAGCTCTTCGGCAAGTTCAGCCGAAAATAAACGAGCTTCGAAAAGAAGGAGAGTCCCTAATAAGTTTTATGGATACTCTAGTGATGAAGAAGCACCACAGACTCCAGTCGCGGCTTTGAAACCGCAGCAACCACCGAAATTAGAATGGCGCAAGGAAGATTTACCTTCGCCAGTGACACACAAGGCGAAGAAAGAAGTACCGTCAACAGTGATTCCTAGCAGATTGTACAACTACACAGATCCTATTAGGTTGACCGCTCCTATCCCAGATCCTGAACCGCCGCGTATCTTAATGAATTCTGAGTCTATGGAATCCAGCGACTCAGATTCTAGTGAAGAAGGCAACCTGGAAATATTCCAGCCTAACAGCCAGAGCTTTGTGCCGCCACCACCGACTTATTTGAACTCTGGCACTTCGAGCTTGCCTTACGCCTTCCAGCGGCCTGCGATGCGAGAGGCCCGGGAGGGTGAAAGCGTATATTGCTACTGTCGCTGTCCATATGATGAAGTGTCGGAGATGATCGCCTGTGACGCTGAAGGCTGTCCAATTGAATGGTTTCATTTCGAATGTGTCGGTATCATGGTACCGCCTAAAGGCAAATGGTACTGTCCTGAATGTAGGAAAAATCAAAGTTGTGCCGGTTACAGATAATTTTAATTAAATTGTAAGTGTATATAACGCTGTATTGTTAATATATCTGTATATAACTTATTGACGATTGTAGATAATTTAGGCTTTACCTGTATATCTGTAGGTAGTTTCTGTAAGTTTTAGGTTATTAGGTCTGAAAAAATGTATCATTGTTATAAAAAGTACACGTTATGCTTGATATGATACCGGCTGAGCAGCCACATCTGTAACCTGGCAAATTGTTAATGTCATTAACCTACTACAGCAAACGGAAATATAAATCCGATTTTTGATACCAATTAAGAAAGTTTTATTTTCTTCACAACCATTTCCTCTTTTCCTTTATATGCCTCTCTAGTAAATTGTCAAGTATATTTATGGCAAATATACTTGACAATTGAATTCAATTCATATGTCCATGATCATGGACATGACAAATATTGCAGGTGTCCTGCAACACCAGAGAAGTTACAAATGCGTTGCTAACTGAATTGAAGATACGGGAGAGTTATCATCTCCGGTTACTTCGCTCACACGGCGAAACATAACGCTACTTTTTTCACGCCGGTTTTCTATGAGACTGCGATGTCGCTTCACTAGTCGAGCCAGCCTATGTGTGGCGAAGCAAGGCTTGCCTACGAAACATGACAATATCTGATACCTGAGAATCCGATCCGATTCCGAACCTTGTCGTTCTTATGAACTACTTACACATTCAGTTTCATTGAGTATAAGATTCTGGGTCCAATTCCCAGAATGCAATGCTTTCGCAACTAAATGCTTTATAAAATCCCAATGAAAACACTTAATCACCAAGAGAGACCTGAGCAACTGGCAACAACTCAAGTAGAACCTAGAACAAATACCCAAATCCCTGCATATATCTTAATTCAATAATTTCAATAGAAAAAATTAGAAGGACGACCTCTTTAGTGGCACACAGGATATAATTATGCATGGTATGATATAGATCTTGCGTCACACAGACAGTGACAAACAGTCAAACACACAGTTTGTATGTTTCACTCGCAAAAAAATTCTAGCAACAATTATTACCATTATAAAGTTGTAAAAAATGGATTTTAGTCATTTCTGCCCTCATAAAGAACACTGCAGCAAGTTTGGTAAGATTCACCGTTTTGCGTCATGTTTCCTACTGGAATATTGAACTGTTAGGTTCATAATATCAAGGTGTAGGCACCAGAGCCGTATTATCTCTAAGGCGAACTACGCAAGTCTGCACCTAGGGCGGCAAGTTACAGAGGGATGAGGGACGCCCTGTGACGCGCATAGATATACTTAATAATAATATTTCTGTGAGAGCCTACCTAGGGCGCTCTCTAGGTAAGCTCTCACCTCTGGTAGGCATAAAAAAGTATCCGATGTATTGTAGGTTCTTATAACGTCAACTTTTTACCAATTGTATTCCAGTTTGCGAAACTGTGTGCGCAATAAATATGTACCTACCCGATTTTTTATTTTAGATAAAGCCGCAATGTATCTTCTTACTTATTTTACATAGGTGGTACATGGAGTATCTACATAGAAAAAATAATTAAACCTGTACGTTTAGTGGTTGAGGCACAACTCGGAAAATCGAACCCGAGACCTTATTATTCGTTGTCAATTGTCATCCTACTTGCGATCACTTGACAAGCGAGGGCGTTGTCGTAGAAAGGGGTACCTACTTGGTAGATAGGTACAAACAGTTATTATATTTTGAAAACTTATTAAATATAAACAATGTATCGCTTATCGAAATATTTCAGTTAGGTACTCCCTATTATCGTAGTAGGTATGTAGTGTAATGTTTCCTCATCTGAAATTACCATTAAAATTATTAATGTAGTGATTTATGTCACGAAGAAGTACATTCGTAGGTATCTTTTTCTACCTAAACTTCTTCATTGTCTTATACATATAATAGGTTGCTAGGTACCCAAGTAACTAATAAGTAAGTACCTACCTAAGTACTTTTTAAAAGTATAGGTAAGAAAAGAGAAACCAGAGCAAAAAAGCAAGTAGCAACCTAAATAAATAAATTGCATCAATTCGATAACTCGACTCTTATAATATCCCTACAAAGAAGTCTTCAATTCAAATCAATTTACGTAATTACACTTCGTTGACCTGCCCCTGCCTGAGAGTGAGTCGAGAGTCGAGCGGCGCGCGGCCATTGTCACTGGCAGAAAATATAACTGCAATGCATCTGAACAAATAACACAATACAATATCATAACATTACACTCCCTATTTGAAGTAATGTATCCAAACCATAACGAGGTCTTAATATTAGTCAAAAGCTATCTAATTTATTATCTTAGGTAATGAAATTGTAACTTAACAATTCGCTCTTCTATGGAAATGTTACCCCAGGAACAGAAATGTACTTAGACATTATGACATTCACTTATCACCAATTCATTTTATTATTCCTATAGTTTTATGGGCCACAACAAACACAACTGTAGTCATAATATGTGCAATACTTTAAATACTAAGAACAAGTGAGAATTTTGCACTCGACTCTCTTGAAAAAAACGAGAATCATCACGATGTACTGTTTACGATGTAGGTAGGTAGCGTAAGCGTACCGAGCGTGCGATACAAATCTTCCACTATGAATAATCACAATTTATCAACTGCTTGCAGTTAGAAGTGACGATACACCATGTTCATAGTATTTTGTAATGACAAAGATTACATAGTGTACAGTAACCGTTTTTATCCTTTGGTTGCAGACCGCCCTAGTAGGACAAATGAGTAGTTTTAAATGTTATTGAGTCACAGTTTATTTAGGTAATCATATTGAATTGATACCATAATCATAATTTGGGATGTCCTGGGCGTTATACAATACATCAATGGATGTTCTACCTACACTATTTTTCGAGACTAGGTAGCTAGATAATTGAGGACTGTTAGGTAGGATGTAATTATTATTTGGCCTAAATTAGATGAATTTGATTTATTTTCTCTACTTTCCTTGTGCCCAGCTTAGTTAGGAATCGTAGTTGATGCAATTAAACGATATACTAAATACCTATCTAATAATTCAATTTAACCATTACAGACATTAGATATGCTTCGCTTCACACATAACGGGTGATTTTTCCCATTATGTATTACCACTCAATTAAATAGTCATTAAAATATGACTAAGTGGCTGCAAACGAGATTGACAAGGTGATAGCGTTTTGCGATTCACCAACAACAGTAAATACTCACTTGTCTAATGTATCTAATGAAAGTTTATTAAAATTATAATGTCATCTCTATTTTTGACTCAGATTTACATATACCTACAGCATTTCATTTCTTTGACCTACGCCTATCTGAGATTTAGGTACTAGTTTAAAGTACATAGGTACTCCTTACTACGGACTCTTACATAGATAATCAAGTAGGTACCTAGTTATTTGGGTGAGGTATTTCAAACCCGGTATAATTTCTTACAGTATGTTATATTGCTTCTGAATAATTTCAGCTACACCAGGACCAAGAAAGTTCATACCAGATTCGTTGAACGCCGGCCTAACTGGCCGCTCGGGATGGGAAGGTAAGATATGTTACAGAAATGTTTTTATTGTTTTATTTACTTACTTATTACATGTTTCACTTTATTATGGGTTGGAAAGTGTTTAGTTTTTGTACTTTCAATTCTAATCGAAATTCTCAGTACCTATTTACCTAATACCTAAGGTACATAGCAAAGATCGCTTCGTACTGTGCAATAGGCTCGCTCCCTGTATTATATTAATGGTTATGATGAATTACAAGGTATTAATAAGAAATGAGTTTGTTACATTTTTGATACATTTATGTCAAGCTCAAGATGTATAAATGAATGCTATTTTGATAAACGCCTGTGCCAAGTAGACGAGCAAACAAATGAAATAACTTGATATCATAGTCATACATTTAGATAAGTAGATCAATGAATTTGTATGCTTGTTATTTTTATTTACTTTGCCCTTAAGTGTATATAAAATAAAAAAAGCTTATGGAATAACAAATAACGTATATTTGCGTTGAAATTACACAACGAAACAGAATCTTTCATCACCACGGCAGCTCAGAGCCGTCATAATTCAGGAACTTTCCAGTGTCGGCGTCAGAAAGTTTGTTTATGGTGTCAAATATTCCAGCAACACTAGTTTCAACATCCAGATGCGCATTCTTGCCACCCATGTCTGTCTTCACCCAACCAGGATGCATCGACGCCACCAGAATATTATCTTTTTTCAAATCGACACTCATCGACTTTGTGGCTGCATTCAAAGCTGCCTAGAAATAATAAAAATATAATGGTGAATTGCAAGCAGATCTAAATATTACACAGCAGGTAGTCACAGTCATGCATCGGTGACAAACCAAAATGCGCCAGTAGGCCAGCGTAACAGTCGTGATTGCGTGATACTGATAAAACTTAAATAAAACATAAAACAATTTTTCCCCTAAGGTCTAAGATTTTTTTAACGCAACAAAATATCTGTTAAGGTTACCTTAGAACACCTGTAAGGATAAAAGCCACCTTGATCATTTTGGGCAATGGATCCGAGAATGGAGCTCATGTTGATGACAGCCGCACGATGGACTCCCATAGGATTCCCGTTATTAGCGTCCGCAGCTTGTTTCAGAATGGGCAGTAAAGACTGAAAATACAAGATTACATTTTAAGTAACTACATACTACATCTCTTCCATTTATTTAATGGTGATTGAATGACAGACAGACAACGCACATTTGAAACTAGGTACTATTTGTGGAAAAAATCACGAACCTTTGTGAGCATAATTGGAGCAATGGTATTGACGGTTAAATTATCCAGTAATTGTTCAGTTTTCACGTACGGCAATTTGGTGAATTTTGTCGTAACACCAGCATTGTTTATCAACAGGTTTAGCCCATTTTCGCCAACTATTTTACTTATTTGTGAGGACACTTCGTCGAAACTAGATGTGTTCTTGACATCTAAAAATTAAAACTGAATAAATTGTGCAATATTTAAACCGTAGACAGATTCTGTCTCCCGAGCTGCGGAAGACCAAGCGAGTTACCGGGACTTTGGGTCGAAGCAGGAGTAGGAACAGAGTGGTTTTTAGTCAGTAAGACAAGTAAGGCATTCCCTCTCACCTCACCCCATGCCGAGAAGTCATTGACTCATTTACCCCCCTCAATAAAAGAGACTGTATCTACGATTTGAACTATGTATGTACCTGTCTAGGCACATTAATATTAATATATATGTACCTAGGCTTCATATAAACCTAGCATAGGCGTCCCCAATGACTTTGAATTTGTTTCAGCTAGATGTAGATAAGGATACCCACTGACATCGACTTTTTAAAAGTTGAGGGCTCTACTCCGACTGACGAAACGTGAACCCTGAACATAGTGTTTAACCGAAGTTTTTGTGTCTTTGTGATATACTTTTTAAGAAAATTAAAATAACGACGATATAAATTTACCCAAGTTCAAAATCACCAGCTTTTTGTTTTCTGCAGACAAGGTTTTCAGTTCCTGAGAACAGATAAATCATTATTCGATTATTAAAAAGGAACAGCCTTTTTACAAGTTAAGTATTTTAACACAACAGAACAATCAGGGGATTCCGTACTCATGCACAAATAGTTCAATAGTTTTAATAGTAAATTATCATCGTTGGTGACATCATCGAGAAAAGTGGTACGTCACCATCACAGCACTATTTTCAATGTCACGCGGTGACGTCACCTGTCGTGCCCAGTGGCTGTCAAACGAGACCGCATGCCGTCTCTTTCGCACAATCGTGTTGTTCACTTGCTACAAAAACCACTTTACGCCTTTGGACGTATAGTATTTGATCGTGAGACTTCGTGCATTTCCCGTGCGCCGTAATTATAATCAACAATCGACAAAGTGTGGTTATAACTTGTGTTTAAATTAAACAAAATTTGCAGTGATGGCACCCATAGGTCAGTAAGAATAAGCAGTAAAATTAGCATACATACCTCGGACACGGTCCGGCACGTCGCGAATATATTCTTTACCGTGTTCTGTTTAGTGAGATATTTCACCATCCCGAGGCCGAGGCCCCTGTTGGCTCCGGTGATCAAAACAGTCTTCATTTTGTGAACTGAACTTTAGATATAACGCCTTGACATTTGTGGAAACTTATCTTTTACAACCCTCAAAGGTCCGGTGTGTGTATTTTCTTGTCTCTGTCACATTTACGCACGTAACTTACGTCAAAATGACAATCCTAAGTAATTTTGTAAGGATAAATAATTTGTTAAAACCTTTAATAAAGTCAGACAGAGTGTTGATATTGGCACGACGGACTCTTAGTTCTCGTAAGTAGTCCACGATTGTCGATATTATAACCTTGAAGTGCAGATAATTGTCTAACCTCACTCTTGATTGAGCAACTCAACTCATACAACCCACTTTTTGTAATTATTTTTTACGACAGATTTACTAAATAATTAGGTTCGATTTAATTGGTAACCTCTTGTTTTTTTAAGGTTGAAAATATTCTAGAACAACTTCTTTTGTAAGAAAAATTAGGCATCCTTGGGATGGTGGAATCAATCCAAATGTTTTAGCATAGTGTATATAATTGCACAATGTTTTATGTAATTTTGTATGTGTCTATAAAGTTAGAAACTAAACTTGAGCACATAATGGTAACTCCTTTGTTCCATAATATTTATACAAAATTGTTTTCTGTCAGGCCAATAAGTAGGTATACCCACTGACCAAGATCTATGTTAAACCTTAAATTATGCTCTTCAGTTTATTACAGTATATTCTACTTTATAGAAATGTAGCATAGATAGTAGTATTTTTGTGAATCAGTTTAGTTACATGCTCATATAAAATAAAGTGTACATTGTGCTACAGTTTAAATTTGTTTGGTGATATCAGGCTTGCTGTGTTGTAGCCGTAAGAGCAAGTCGGTTGCTCCTATAGACAATACCCCTGAAGGTATGAACACTGTCCAACATTGCAGTATACATATTTGTTGTGCACCATGCTGTTGCATTGGGACTACAAAGGCAGTGGTTACAAAATGGGTTGCTATGAGCATAATACATAATTATGTTGAGATGTGTACAAAACTTCAATTGTCTGCACTTTCTACATGAATTGCAATGTTCACAGGGGACGGATACAAATCATCATCAATTGCTTAACAAAAATTAAAGCTTTTTGTTCTCATTTTATTGTAATAAATTAAGAAGTAAGTTTTCTTATTGGAATCATTGGAAACTTTTATTATTTGCTGGTCTGAGAATCTTATTGGATTCTGATTACTTCTCTGCTATTAATTTTGTAAAGTGAAATCTGAAATCATATATGATTCAATTGAAATCACTCATAAAATTCATATACCACAGCAAAAATTGAATTAATTAACCTATCTAGTAGTAATTAGTAACTACACAATAATAATATATTACAACATGTGTGTCTTACTAGTTTCTGTTTTGTCTGATTACAAAAAATTTATAGCACTTATCAGTGTGACATTCTCATATAAGGGTCACTTTTAAAATGCATCAAATGCTGGCTTCCTTATAGGTAGCAATAATCCAAAAATGCAGATTTTGTTTTAATAATATTCAAACTGACAAGAATATTATGCTTATTATAGATGGAAATTTCGACTATGATTTGGCGGTTATTGGTGGTGGTTCGGGAGGTCTTGCTTGTGCAAAGGAGGCTGTGAACCTGGGTGCGAAGGTAGCAGTGTTAGACTATGTGACACCCTCGCCGCAGGGCACCAAGTGGGGACTTGGTGGCACCTGTGTCAATGTAGGCTGCATACCCAAGAAACTGATGCACCAGGCAGCACTACTGGGAGAAAGCATTCATGTGAGTTATTTTTATATTTTTTTTGAGTCTTAACTTAGACATACTTTGATAACTGAGTGGAAATCAAACAAAAATGAATGATATATTTCATAAATTTATGTTTATTTATTGCAGTGTGTAAGTTTCACGTTACATATATCCTACAATCGGAAAGCTGTCGTTTATGAGCTAACCTTTGGACTTTTTTTGGTTATATTTTTCTTTTTCTTATTTTGTAGATAGAAAAATAAAGTAGACTTTCTAGAAATATTCGTAATATATAGAGTTATTAGTATTTTTTTAGATAATAGTGGCGAAATTTATAATAGACAAAAGTCTATTCTAATTTTCCTTAAATACTATTTGATGTGAAGTCCCTGTCTAACCCAACTCCCCGATGTAATTAGAACACTTGGATGTTAAAACATAAGCTATATTATTATATTATATTCTTATTACCATTTAGCTCTGTCTTATGATTGATACAAAAGAAGTAGGTATTTATGAGTTTTTGACTACAAGTATTAAATCTTAGTGCGTATTTAAGACTATGCGTCGAATTATTTCAAAACAACAGCAGAATGTTTCTTGTCAGTATTTAGAGATAAAAAAGTAAAGGCTAATGATGGCGCGAACATTTTTCACGAATCATTGTTTCGCATACAATGGCTGGTCGCTTGTCATGTGTGCCTTATCTCTATTTCACGCCAGAACACTAATAGCGGTATAAAGTACGCAGGGAACTACATAGTTATGTACGATTGTGTATTGTTCTAACTGCATGTGTCTGCTGAACAACATTTGAATTCGGTTCAGACTGCTTTTACGCTTATAAATTGATGAAATTGTAATAAATAAATAAATATTACGTGCAATTAACTAGGTTTGGGTAAATGATACAGGTGATTAATTACTAGGTGTAAACAACACACGCTATCGGTTTAAAACTTTTGTCTTGAAAAGTAACAACAACGTACGAATTTCACGTTTTTAAGTATATTGTAGTCACGTTATTATAGTACCTAAGTTCCAACTGAAATGTTACTTTCACTATTACTCTTAAATGAAAAAGAAAAAATAATGTAATTTCCCTACTTATCTATGTAATTCGTGTTGCATAATGGATTATTAGGTTGATACTCCTATCTTTTTATTGTATAAAGTAGGTACCTATGTTCGCGTGTATGTGCTTAGTAAATACTTCTATTTGCAAGTCACCCGAATCTGAATGTAGCGTAACTATTACTAGATATCTAGCATCTAGAAGCGTCTATTCTTGGTTTGCTCAGACGTAAATAGTCCACAGAAATTGGAAACCTATTACCCACGCATAATGTAACACATACATAATTCAGATATGACTCTCACTCTAATACATATAACAGCCGTACTTCACTGTAGAATGTAGTTAAACCCTATACTATTTATTCTATAAAGCTGAAGAGTTTGTTTGTTTGAGCGCGCTGATCTCGGGAACTACTGGTCCGATTTGAAAAAATATTTTTGCTTTGCATAGGTCATTTATCGAGGAAGTCTATAGGCTGTATAACATCACTCTACGATTAATGGGCGCCGAGCAGAGCAGGTGTAACCGCGCGGACGTAGCTAGTCTGTAAATTAACATCGTTTCTGCTAGAGTTAGATGTCCACAATGGATCAATCCTCCTCTCTTAAGTTTGGGGGATTGCCATTATACCCACGCTTGGCAACTCCCGCTTGCCTTTGTTCTCGGTCCGAACTGAGTAACTAAACTAAAAAGTCAGTTGGTTCAATTGTATCTAATTACATGAGGCAAAATGGAAAACTGACACTGAATCTGGATACTAATATTTTGATTCACTGGCACGCCATGGTTACTCGTTAACTGGCGAAGTATATTAGTACCATAATAAAGTCGATATTTCTTCCCAGTAGAGGTTGCTTCATCTGTTAGTGATATTACCGTGTACTGATATGTATTCTAATCTGGTTACGTCTCAATGTCGCCCTAGAAACAAAGAAAAAGGTAACGATTGTACTTCTTATATGTATAAAAATTCTTCAGCTTTATCTTATTACTATGATATAATATAGTTGTTTTTTTTTAAGCGCTAATCTTAGGATGTATCAGTCCGATTTGAAAAATGTTTTTTATTGGTTAGTCCATATTATCGAGAAAGGCTATGTGCCATAAAACATCACGCTACGATCAATAGGCGTCGAGCAGAGAGGGTGACACCGCGCCGAAGAAGCTAGTATATAACATAATAATATTTTTCATATTATTTCATTTCATACATGTGTTTCACATAAAACTGTTATGAAAACTATTATAATTATTGACAGTTTCCTCTAAGTGGTACATTAATATTATTTTATACACAACTAGGAGCGCATGTCTTTAATCTATCTTCAGGTAAATGCAGTAATGAAATGATGTAATTCAAATGCATTATATTCCTTTCCTAATGAATCATATAAAATAAAGTCATCCATTAATGGGTTTAGTCTTCCTATTAATTTTCCTTCCTTTGTATGATTTTCTTGGTAAAACCAATTTTACTTCCCTTGACTTTAGAAGTAGGCGCAAGTTCCTGACTGAAGTCTTTAGTTACGTGGTCAGTTTCCCAGTATTGTAACGCAATATTTTAATCCGGTTATTATCAGATTGGATTGGATTTAGTCATTAACACTTTGGATTGGAAACAGTTTAACGAATGATATCTTTTATATATAGCAGAATTAGCAGATATAAAAATACTAGTTTCAAAGACAGACAGAATAAGGTTTCAAACAATGTCTATTTAGTAAAGATTGTAATTTGTATGCATTATAATAATATTGTAATATTTTCACACGATCATTGTCATGCACAACAACGTACTACTCGCGACTATTAAGTCTACATATGTACAAAAGTAGTTTCGCTAAACTAATCTACTTTTCTACTATCTTGTCTACTACGTATATAACATTATAAAGGGAATTATTTTATTCCTTGTATGAATATTCTTTTTTGACGTAATTTTAAAAATTCGACTTCCTGCTGGAAGTGATTGGGTATGGAATATATGGGAACGTGGGTTAAGGAGTAATTTAAAATAGATAATGTATCTTATGGTTCTATTATGCAAACATGTTTTATTGAAAATGATCATGAAGATGAGTCGCATTAAAACCGATTTCCCTAGCATTAGCGATTTAAATTTCCATTACACAATATCAGCTTCAGAAAATGGCTGTAAAGGTAGAGATAGATTATTACAAAACATTAAGTTTCTTTATTAGCTTCATGGTGTCATGCACTGAGCGATATTGATGCTTCTCAGCGAAGATAATCATCTAGATATATGTAAACGAAATAATGAAGAGATAATATCTTTTACATCCATAGTCCCATACATAACGATATAAATTTATGCTTTTGTTCTATGGAGGAGGTGGGAGGTAGGTGGAAGAGCGCCACCTACCTCGATACTTACTTGGACACTTCTCTAGTTTATTCTCTAGTATATTAGTTCATAAAATTAACGATAGTTGATCACATAACGCCTTATTCTATTCTCCCAATTGTAGAACGAAAAAAGAAAATCTAGAATTATTAATATCGGAATAGAATGACATTTCAAAGATGGTAACAATATTTTTAAACAGGTTTGCTAAAGTTAAAATTATGTCATGACTATGCAATTTGTTATTGATATAATAGTTTTTGAGAGGAAAATATTGTTAATGATGATTATGATTATTTAAATGCCTGGCAGTGACAGATAACCATGAACCAAACAAATAAAGTCGTCAGTTTTATTAGTATGGATTTAACATGTTACAAATAATAGTTTAATTTTAATCATACACTCTGAAGTCCACCATTTACCCTGTTATTAAGTACTTTAATTGATTAAACCACAGTTTGGAGGGTGTGACTTTGATTAGGCTGTTATTTCGTTACGGAAACTTATCATTACAACTGTCTCGTTTTTACCAGTACACACGGTATTAGTCCAATCATTCCATTACTTTAACTAGTGTGTTATTACCTTATTACCACAGATTATTTCGTAGTTAGTACAAGTTCTTCACTCGTGCCACCTATTTTGACCTGTAGTTATTTGTTTTACTTTGATGATATTTTTATGTAGACAATCTGACTTGATTTAGATAGATACACCATTGAATGCCCTGATCTCTATGGGTCCTATAATAGACCACAACCTGCCTCAAGAAATAGTGAGTCTATACATACAAAACACATTTCATTAATTGATTTAAAAGTCGGAATATCACAAAATAGTAATGTGTGACAATTCAATTGTGTTTCTGACAAATGAGGCAGTTTTAGGAGCGATACCGACTCGAGGTAATCGTTAACCTCAGCCGCTAGACTCACAAGGCCGCTCTGCGATCGATCATACATAACGGTCAAGTTATTTCCCATTCGTATAACTTATAGGCTTCAGTTACCAAGCCGGTCGATCAATAACAAGGTGCTTATGAATGTTTACTAATACATTTTGTATGAAGTACACTTGTCACGGCGTTAGATAAAACAATGTGGCATTAGGTAGTATAAATATGTGATAATTTAACGGCAATAATATGTGCTGTCCGTTTGTTGCTGGTTATTTCTAGTACCCAGTTCTACGTTATCATAGGAGAAGGAAATATATAAAGGTTAGATTATTTTTGAGTTGCATATTCTAATGCTCTATATTGCATCTAGCATTAGAATAAAGTTTTATCAAAAGATGCACAGGCTTTCCGTATCAATTCCCCTCCAAAAATAAGCGCAGTCACTATTAATTTAACGGCGATTATAATTCAAAAATAGACACTTCACTTCGACGTCAGCTGTGCTGTGTAGCATCAATATTACAATATTGCAAGTCATGCTCCATGTGGGAATTGCACACATTAGTACTTTATATTGTGAGTCATACTAAAATCTCCTATCCTTCAATGACTATGACATCGTCATTCAGTTAGGGAAGCGTGTCATAAGTAGGTATTGTACGCCCTGCTAATTGTATTAACACCATGATGTTATTGTATCGCGCTGTCAACATTAAATGTATAATTGAATACAGTGACTGATAATGAAATAATCACACGTAGCCATAGCCAGCTATTTGTGATATCTTATCAATTTGGGAGTACTTTGTATATTATCTTATTAATTTGGCTCTTTCGCTTTGTTGTACAAATTAAGCTGTAAACTTTTATAAGATTATAAACTAACATACGCTAGTGATTGTGGGTACTATTAAATAAAATGTAATACTAAATGATTATTTAAAAATATATATTATATTAGGTACAATTTAAGCGTAAATATTTGAAACAAAATGTAGAATAGTAGGTATACTTATGTATCGTAGCTATAATAATATTATCACAACTTGATTTGTTGAAGAATTTTAGAAATGCATGATAAACTTGTTGTATTATCAGTATACTATATAGCTCGTATATCTGAGACTGAAACGAATATAATATTTACACATTTTCTTCTGAATATTGCAGGAAGCCGTGTCTTACGGCTGGGAGGTACCCTGCCACGAAAAAATCAAAATCAACTGGGGATCACTCACAGAATCTGTACAGAACCACATTAAATCCGTGAACTGGGTAACCAGGGTTGACCTTAGGGATAAGAAAATCGAATATATCAATGGTTTGGGAGAGTTTAAGGATGCGCACACGATTATTGCCACGATGAAGAATGGGTCGAAGAAGGAACTGACGGCGAAGAACATAGTAATCGCTGTGGGCGGGCGACCACAGTACCCTGACATTCCCGGGGCCATGGAGTACTGCATCAGCAGCGATGACATCTTCAGCCTCAGCCACCCACCCGGCAAGACGCTGGTCGTAGGCGCTGGATGTATCCTTTACCATAAATAGTACCTACTTCTTTAACAACATTCGTTCCTCTTCTTGTTTAAAGAACAGTATGGCTATTATTATGCCGTTGATTTTGCCCAAACAGCACAGATTCAAACGTCTGATGTAGATATAAATACAATCTAAATTACATCCGTTTACAATTAAGATACCAAGGCACCAGGTGTACGTACCTACTTATGAGTTGTGTTACCAGCCTCGTTTGCGTTCAATATTAGTTTCCGCTTCATTTACTACCTATAATAGTAACATTGTGAGGAAAAACTATGCGAGAGTTATGAGAATACGATCCAGTTAGAATAGTAATATAGTACTTTATTATTTATTATCAGAACGTAATATAATGTGCCTAGACTATTCTCGAAATTAAACCCTGGTATGTCGGAACGTAGATATGCGCGAGACACAATGTGTTTTCTTTTGTGTCTCAAATGCCGACAGATAAGAGGTTAATGAAGTAAATATTTTAAATTTACTGATGCGTATCATATTTATTAACGTCTTTATTTTATTAGGGTCCATAATATATTGGAAACATATTCTTAACTCTTAAAAACAGACATTGGTTTGGAATGCGCGGGTTTCTTGAACTCAATGGGCTACCCGGCGACGGTGCTGGTGCGCTCAGTGCCGCTGCGTGGCTTCGACCAACAGATGGCGCGCATGGTCACCAACGAGATGGAAGAGAGGGGCGTCAAATTTGAGCATAAGTGTGTCCCGCTCTCCGTGGAGAAACTCGAGTCCGGACAGCTCAAGGCTCGCTGGCTGAACACAGAACTGCAGGAACAGTGAGTACATCTATTCATTTAATCACAGTACAGGCTAAGTATCCACTTTTATTGTTATCTACACAGGAAGAGGAAGACCCATTGCAGCATTAAGTTTTATGGATAGAAAACAGACTTCTAGCTTGTGCACCTATTGTACCTACAATATGTTTTACAAATATTCCCATTTTTTACTTAATAATACTCGTATTTTTCAGATGCGAGGATGTATTCGACACAGTATTGCTCGCCACCGGACGATATGCTCTCACCAAACAACTTAACCTGGACGCCGCCGGAGTTAGCGTGAGTTATCATAATTTGTACCTTAATACCTTGACGATAAGGTTTATAATTGAAAGATAATATGTTTTGTATGAGTACTTATGCACCTGATGGAAGGTTTTGAATGAAAATGCTAATAATAATTAACTATATAATATAATGAAATATAAAGACCTTGCTTAGTATATTAGTTGGGACATAATGATATTCCCGTCATGTATTATTATATTGTAATTAATATTCAGCTAGGTAGGGTCGCAAATTGAACAAAAACGTGATGATAGTCCAGGGAGAATGCGGCTAATGTGCTTGTAATAACGTTTAATATTCTATGTAGTTATATTCTGCCATATGAATTCGTGGATTAACGATTACTATATCAGATTAAATATTGAAAACGTGTGTGAACCTATCTATAATAAATTATGATTGGAAATATTCCATATAAATAAACAAAATGCATTATCTCAGTACTTACAATGATTATGCGAGGTTTTTGTATAATCCTTGCAGAATAATTAATGAACCGAGATAAAATATTTTGATTGTTGAAATTATACAAAGGTCCGCGCACAACTATTTAATGCTGTCCTAAGCTTGATCAAAATAATCTCCATTATTTAAGAACAGTATGTGTAAGTGCCTGTACATTACAAGAAAGTTGTGATGCAATATAATAGCCTACAGGTAGATATGAAATAGCCGTAACTTTGATATAATGATTATATTCATTATCACGTAGATATGTGGCCTCGACTAATATCAATGTTATAACATATGACCGGTATTGTAGGTATATCTAAGTTCAATTAGGTAATTAATTTTAGGTACGGAGTACAAACTGTAATAAGTACAAAGGTCATGTTACAATAATAAAGATACTTGGTACAAAAATTAGGAGAATGTCTATTAAAAGTGCTAGATTAAAAGGAAATAAGATATTTTAATGCAGTCTATTTAATTTCATTTGAACAAATATTTGTTGGGAATTAATTGTAATGTTGCACACAATTATAAAATTTAAATTATAAATATTTATTTAGAGTTGTTATTTTAGGTATTTGACAGATATTATTAACTTGACTACTGCTAAACAGATTTAATACCTATATGTAACACTGATTAATAAAATCCATACTGTATAATAAATAACAAAAACCCTTATTACAGTGCGTGTCATCAAACGGTAAAATAGCAGCGGAGACTGAGCAGACGAACGTGCCGAACATCTACGCGGTGGGCGACGTGCTGGAGGGCCGGCCCGAGCTGACGCCCGTGGCCATCCACGCCGGCCGCCTGCTGGCGCGCCGCATGTTCGCCGCCGCCGCGCAGCACATGGACTACGACAACGTCGCCACCACCGTCTTCACGCCGCTCGAGTACGGCTGCGTCGGACTCAGCGAGGAAGCCGCTACCACCAGGTTACTATATCGCCTTTATTTACTTCTGCGCTCATGTATATTTGGTCGTTTGTCGCGAATTACCAGCTCAAAGCCAACCCGCTTCCAGCGCATTAAAAATGTAGAAATTTCGTATCACACTAAGATCCATTTTGGATCGCTGAACCCATGGAGTGAGCAACTTGTTTATTTGTGTAAACTCTAAAGTTTTTACGTTCATGTCAAGCATGAAGTACACGACAATAGTTCAAACTGATGTAATGACTAATATTGATCGAGTTGTAAAATATAAGACAAAGATAGGATGCGGTCATAATGTAGAGTAAACTACATGATCATACATAATGTGTTGTCTTTTTAATAATATCTTAGCAGATTACAATAGCAGACTGATACTTATGTATGCAGTACATACCTACGTCTCAACGTATTATTGTCTGTCACGGTGTCTTTGAGACGGCATCACTGATTGTGTTCCTCACTTTATCTCGCACATATTCATTGATAGCTTATTCATACATTTTCACGGACATTAGCATATCCTAATGTCTTTGTAACCAGGTAGAATTATTTGATTATCTTTTGGATATGTTATAGAAAACTGCTTTCTATGATACATGATATGGTATATTCTGTAATGAAAATACGTGATTATCGCGTGTTTAGTTAGCAACACTCTGTAATTGTAACATTTTCCATTGCAGATACGGAGCAGACAACCTGGAGATATACCACGCTTACTACAAGCCGACGGAGTTCTTCATCCCGCAGCGTAACATCAAGAACTGCTACCTGAAAGCGGTGGCGTTGCGCGAGGCGCCGCAGAAGATCCTCGGCCTTCACTTCGTCGGGCCCGTCGCTGGAGAGGTCATACAGGGATTCGCCGCCGCTATCAAGTATGTATTGCTATTATTGTAATTCAAATGTTAATGTAAATTTCGAAAAAATGCTCACAAGTTGTCAATTTCTCGAAATAGATATTACATAAAATTTTAGAAAACAGAATACATAAATTTTATCCTGTTTCACTTCGGAGTGGGAAATAATAAATGAATTCAAGATGACTGTTTTCAAAATCCTGTCTCTACAAAACTTTTAAATTTATTTCTATTAGAACGAAAAAACCCTCTTTGGAAAAACATCCTCGGCACATTGTACAATGTACCCGTATAATTCCAGATGCGGCATTACAATGGAGCAGCTGATAGGCACGGTGGGCATCCACCCGACGGTGGCGGAGGAGTTCACGCGCCTCAACATCACCAAGCGCTCCGGCCGCGACCCCAACCCCGCCTCCTGCTGCAGCTAGGCAGCCACATCTCGCACCACTCTACAAGATCACCCTTCTTTCCCAACTATTATTGTTAACATAATTTGCTGGAGACCGGAGCAGAATATTAACTATTTCACCTCTGGTATAAGAAACACAATAGAAAATACATTGCGTTTCAAACGACAGCTACTCGTTGATCGAGTGAGCAAACGGTATTAAAGAACAACTCGGTTTTCAAAACTGTCAATAGTAGCACAATCTGGTATTGTCTGCTAACACCTTCAAGGAATAAAATAGATCACTGCTTCTTAACTCTCCACTGATGTTGTTAATAATAATACGTTCCTTGTTATAATTGATCCCCTCAGGATATTGACAAGAAGTTTCGATTACCTTAACAAAGAATTTAGCATTTATTGATTTGTTTGTAATTACAGTGTGGAGGGGTAACATGTATCGGTTGAGGAATTATAATTATATTACACTCGTCACTTACTGTTATAGAGATCTTTATAGCTTGTTGGTCACTGTCACCACACCTCCCCCCCCCCCCCCCCTCGTCGCCTTAAATTATAACTTATGTATTAACATTTCAAGTGATTAATCTCCTCTTTGTGATAGGACATACAATGTCGAGTAACCAACGTTTCGGTGCTTAACCTCTACTTCTATCCAATTACTTTCAACGTTTATAGTACAAATTCTTGGAACATTATGAATTGTTATTGTCTCAAAATATGTAGGAACAAATGTATTAAAATAAAACATTGTTACTATGATGGAAATAAAATGGTACAGTATTATTGTTATTCTCAGTTGTACTCCACAATCACATGTCGATATTATACAACATTCCTTCGCTCGCAGTAAAAGAAATCAGGTTTCATACATTATGTAATTTAATTTATGTGATTTTGAACTTAAATAAAGTGATATATTTTTAATGAAAACTATTCAAGTTGCTTTTGATTTTTATTGGTTGGGTTTAGACTTGTAACGAGTCCTTTGAGGCGGAAATGATAGTTGGACATAGAACAAATAAATTAACACACTTTGGTGTTCAACCTGAAAAAAATATCGCAACTGCACAAAGTTGAATCTAAATCAGCAGCTTGATTACGGTCCGTCGTTAGTGACGTATCGGTCCATCTCGCTGGTGGACTTGCATTTGAACCAGACCTGCGCCGTCGGCAGCGGGTAGTACTCGTGTGCCTGCACCAGCTCGTTGTCGAACCTCCAGAACCGAGGACCTTGGAAGAAGTAGGTGTCTGGGAACATTTCATAAAAATAAGAATTAAGTAAAAAAAAACATATACCCCATGAGCGCGTCAATAAAGGCAATAATTAACTGTGGAAATGAAAAAATAAAATATGTCAAACCAAAGAAATTGAAGTGTTTAAAACATACTGAAGAGGAAGACCAAAGAAAACGTGCATGCATTATTTGAGTGTGACACAAAAAAAAGATGATGTGATGACGACTACGCTGACGACCCCTTTGGACCTACTTGTAGCTTCAGACAAAAAGAAAGCTTCGAAATATCAGTAAGTCGAATTACATTGATGTATCACTTCTCACCTCCCTTCCACACGACAGCAGCGTCCACAGGGTAAGGCACCTGTCTCCACATGGACATTTCCTTAGGGTACTTGGCGTCCATGGTACCCGTGCTCTCGTCAAACCGCCAGTATCTCTCCTCCTCAATCAGATACGTCTTGTTGTTAAAGTTGGAGAGGAACACGGTCGTCAGCTCCGTCACGTCTTCAGGTATTAAGTACTCAGAGATAGAACCTTGCTTGATGAAGTGGAATGAGCTGTCGAACTCCCAGTAACGACGTCCTGGAATGGAATAGATGTAGTAGAGACATATTAGGTATAGTAAGTTGAATTGTCATTTTATTGGGTAACGTAGGATTTTTGATTAAGGTGCGACCTCTGACTTGGGTTTGATCGGGGACGTCCTGAAATAGGTAGTTATCCGTATTCAAACTGAAACCTCGAGCCCGCCTACGTGCCGGGTAGAGGAGACCTATAGTTTAATAGTAACTGTAAAAGTATGTAAGTAGTACTTGCCTGAAAAAATTACAACATTTCCATTTTGTCTCTGATAAATAGTTTTGATGATGTTGATACTGAGTGGCAGCCCGCGGAAGACGTCGTGGAAACGCTTCGGGTATCCCTCCTCCATCTCGTGCCGGTCATACAGTACCCACACCCACTGGAGAATTAAAATTATTTTAGTGAGAAGCATTACATTAGGTATAGTGTATAGTGGATCAATTTTGCTGTACTATGCGGTGGATCAATTACATAATTTAGCAGGTTTTGTGGTTCTTAACTGTTATTAATCTTCAAGTTCACGTCCCTATATACAATGTTTAAGTTTTGCGCTTTCAACTTCCTCTGTGATGATCAAATTTTAATATTCTTGAAATATAAATTTGTCAAAAATCGCTGTATCTTCTGGAGAAAACGGGATAAAAATCCCTTAATTAGAGTTATGAATCTAACAGGCAGACGCTGCGGGTCTCAGGCACAAACCTCCTCCTCGAAGACAAAGATCTTGTCGTTGATGACCTGCAGGGTGTCGTAATTGGTCAGGCAGAGGTCGGGCATGTAGTTCTCGTCCTCTTCACTGCCAGCCTTTGTGAACCGCGGCACTAAGGAGGTTTGTGACACCGGGCTCTCTGTACTCTCCCCTGACATCACCTGGTCTTTCACTGAAAACACGCAAAAGATTCAATGGATAGATACCTATTTTTTATATTTTACCTTTTTACGTTTAAAAATATTTGCCCTCATTGGTACGTTATTATTTTTATTTTATTTATTTATTAATAATAAAGGTACATGGTATGCCTTATAATCTAACGCCATGTCCAACAAAACTATATGTAAATAGTTTGACTGTTGGATCTTCTATATTTAAATTACTATTTAGTAGGTATTAGTAGTTTACTATGATAATGGTTATGGTTAAGATTAATTTTAAATACATGTGGTTATGGTAGTGTGCTAAACAGATATTTTTTTAATTTAGTCTTAAATTTATTTTCATTTTTCTCTTCCCTGACTTCGTTTGGCAAATGGTTGAGTAAGTACGGGATACGCTTTTTCATTGATCGATCTCCATAAACATTATTAACCCTTGGTACCTCATATTTACCAGACGACATCGATCGGGTGTTGTGTTTATTACAAACTGTTATCAGTGGTGGATTATGTTCCTGCTTGCTGTGGTTATTGGTTGCGAGAATGTATTTATGTTTAAGTCTGACCGGTAATACTTTACAGATTTTAAATAATTTATAGTAGTCATTTTTATATTTATTTTTAGTTTTTTTATCAACCAGTAATTTTAGGAACCTTATTTGTAAATTTTCTAATTTTTCCATGTAGGTGTTGAATGTAAGCCCATAGCAATCAAGAGCATAATCCATGACAGACTCCACCATACATTTATACAATACTCTTAATGTACTTCTAGGAACTCGATAACTTAGGTGGTAAAATTTACTTAATATAGTTCTAAGTTTATTGCACAAGTAATTTACATGTTCAATCCAGGAAAAGTGCCCGTCAACCTTGACGCCTAGGTAGGTTACATTACTTACTCTCTGGATAGGTTTGCAGCCGCAGTTGGCAGTGTTTCTATGAGTGCAGTCAAAAGTATGGGTGTATATTGGTAAAGGAGTTTCCTTCAGGGGTGAGTACGGCGAGTGTATAATTAAGTATTGTGTTTTCTCCGTATTAAGTACTATTCCGTTGTCATGAGACCATTTAACTACAGCGTCCACGTCTTGTTGGACTAGTCGGCACGTTTCAGCGATGTCAGTACCGGCTCGCAAGGCGCAGAGGTCATCCGCGAACATGTGCGCTGAGCAATGTTGAAGGACATTACACAGACTGTTTACGTGCATTAAATAACATACGGGACCACTCCCTGATCCCTGCGGAACCCCACATCGGACTATTTTTTCGTTACTGAACGTGTCGCTTATCTTGACCCGGTAAGAGCGTGAGGTGAGGTAGTCTCTGAACCATTCTTTCAGTGGCTTCTCCACACCACACTCTTCCATAGATGTAATTAGCGTGTTGGTTTCTAACGTGTCAAATGCTTTTTTATAGTCGAAAAATATTGCTACAACAAACTTTTTTTCATTTAAATAATGTTGATTTCGTTGGTAAATTTGGACAGTAATGTATTAGTACTCTTATGTTTCTGAAATCCGTGTTGTGCTTTGTTTATTATGTTGTTTGTACTTAAATAGTTCCCAAGTTGATTTATTATACACTTTTCCATTACTTTGTCAATACTGGATAAAATCGCTATCGGTCTATAGTTAGAAAATTTCTTATGGTCTCCTTTTTTATATATAGGACGAATGACTGCTTCTTTAAGTTTATCGGGGAATTTATGTTTTTCAACGGATAGATTTATTAATTTCGCTATAACGGGACTTATTTTGTCAGCTATCATTATTAAATCCGACATACGAATGAGATCACTTCCAGGCGATTTATTAGGGTTCATTTTTTTAATTATTTTATTTACATAATTATAGCTTACTGGTTGCCATCTCATACATACGCCGTGTTTTTGCACGTAATTGCATCTGTTTAAAAACTTAATATCACAACTGTGTTTGATCTTTTGAATTTCCTCATCAAATGCGGTCGCAAACCCATCAGCTATAACTTTCGTGTCATCCTGCTTGTTCATATTATTTAATATCACAGTATCAAGTGATTTTTTACTATTTCCTAACAATATATTTATTCTGTCCCATATGTTCTTAATATTTTTATTACAATTAATAATACTCTGTCTATCATATTCATTGCTACATTTAGATATATTTTTAAAGCATTTATTTCTGTATTTAGTGTATTCTAATCTCTTAATCATATTCTTTGGGTCGTTGCACCATACCTTGAACAGTCTATCTCTCTCTTTTATTATTGTTTTTAAGTAGTCTGTAACCCAACCCTTATTATTTCTAGAGCTTACTTTAACAGTAACAGTTTTATAACAATCATTATAGATATTATTAAATAGTTGCTTAAGGGAATTATACAATACAACCGGACATTCTATAGCTAACAATGTTTCAAAATCAGCATTCAATAACTTTTCTCTAACCAAACGATTATCAAGAACACGGCGGCGATGCGCGGTAGGCATATTTCTCCCACTCGGCTCGTCAGCTGATCGGCCGTGCGGAGCGCTGTTGCCAGCGCGTGCGTTATTCCACGGCGCGCGGTTCCACTGCACTGCGGCCGATACCAGGAAGTGATCCGATATTTTCTGCTGTATTACCGCGGAATAAATATGTGTAGTTGGTATTCTAATGTAAATATGATCTAGACATGATTCCACAATGTTTCCTTGCATAATTTCTTTACGTGTTACTTTATTTATGCATTTAATTAATCCGAATTCAGCTAATAACGTTTCATATTCCATTACCCGGCTATCTTGCTCTTTTAGAATGTTAATATTGATATCGCCACACATAATTATTTTGTCTCGTTTTGAAAAATTTTTATCTAATATATTCCGTAATTCTTCAAGGAATTGTTTTATTTTATCTCTCCTGTTAATTTTTGGAGGTCGATAAATACATAACAAGTAAACCGGATCACTCCCGCAGTTATCGAGCACAATGGAAACGCACTCCGCCGATTGTAAGTTTCGTGTATATTCCGTCTCGTTCACTCGAGCCTTCAATGATTCGCGGGTATAAACTAGTACTCCTCCCCCGGTTCGCCCCGTTCTTGTCAAACAATGAACATTAAAACCTTCAATCTTATAAAATTGTATCAAAGAAAAGTTAATGTTCGGTTCTGTTATAATTAGTACATCAATGTATTTTAAATTATTATGTAGGGTAACTGTTAATTCATGGAAATTCTTTTTTAACGATCTGATATTTAAGTGAACAATACATAAATGATTTTTATGTTTTATGGATGATATCCACATTTCTAAATTTTCTACTTCTACTGATGTAACTGTATTATCAGTGATTATATCGATATTGTTTACGGTCGTGAATTTTATTACAATTTTAGTTGATTAAATACGTGAAAGTTATGAGTAGTATTATAAGCAGGTAGAATACAAGAGTGAGAATATAAACTAATTACTTAATCCTACATACCTGTGTTTATGTTTTGAGCAGATCGTTGACGTCACCATCAGATCTTACCCAAATTGAATTCTCGTCTTCAGTTTTCTTGACCAATATTTTACCTTTAGACACCCAGATATACCTGTATTTATTATGTAGTTCTTTCTTCGTTTTCCATAGCAGTGTTCTCGTCGCCTTAGTGAGGTCTTCATTAATATATACCTTGTTATGATTAGTACCACCGGTTATTTTGTCACTCGTTACATCCGTGAGCTTACGACGTTGAGCCAGCCAGGCGTCACGTGATTCGGTTCCAGAAGATTTGAATCCTACTATTATTGATGCCGTTTTAACTCCTTGTTTTCTAGGTTGGTTTCTCCTCACAAAATCGATATCATCACTACTGACGTTCATTATCTTTCCGATTTTCATAACTACTTCTTTCACATTTTCTTCCGGCATCTGTTCTATACCTACAATTTCGATGTTATGTTTACGTGAAGACTGCTCAAAGTCGTGTACACGTTGTTCCAAGGCGCCGTTGCATTTTTCCAAGAATGTACACTTGTTGCTTATGTGTTCCACTGTTTTTTCTAGTGTTTTGATTTTAACTTTCGACTTCTCGTGTTCGGTTAGCAAAGTATCGTATTTGTCAGACAGCAGGGACATACTATGTTTTATGGACTCCAGTTGTTTTAGCAGACCAGGGATTGCTCGCACATTTTTCTGAATATCCTTTAGGATCTTGTCAGGTGCTGGACCATCTTCTTCCTGATCCTCGGTTTCGGACTCGTCATCTTCGCAGTTATTACAGTATATACGGTTTTTGCCCGCTTTCAGGTCAGCCGCCAATCCTTTTACACAACTTCTATGGAAGGTTCCTTGGCACTGTCCTTGACATAGGAAATGAGATCCTTTCTTCGATAGTACTTTTTTGCATTTCTGGCACTCCATTTCGCTCAAGTTACTATACAGCACTTAACTATTACAACAAGTAGGTAATTAAATATTAGTTACGTCTTTTCTTACGTTACGTGTTTTCTTCTGCTGTGTATCAACAAGAGAACGTACAATAATAGAACAGAATAAAATCATTACCTAACTGTGGCTACATTATGAGTCTCACAGACTAACAAAACCAGTTATTAAATTATTCTTTAATGAACCACTCACAGTACAATTTCTGCATCCCTAAAATGTCATCAATATGCAGCCTCTCAACTGGCACCTGGTAGTACGGGTACATCACGGACGACTTCTCTTTGGAGTGAGACAACCCTAGCGCATGGCCTATCTCGTGCACAGCGACGGCAAAGAAGTCCGTGACGTCTTCGTTTTCCTCTTCAGGGTTGTCACCCCATGTTTCTTCATCATCGAAGTGCATAGCTCCGTGTGGCGGAGGGAAGGCATGTGCTACTATATGACCCGGACCGTCAAATGGAAACCTGTAAATAGTTATAAAATAATTATAACCAGCACCGGTATGACTCGAAAGCGGTCGGGCATACACGAAATGGTACCTAACTAACCTTATGACCCGAGAGGTGGTAAGCCACATAAATAAAACTCGTCACCTACCCGTCTCCATGGTTGCCGCTTACAAATGAGACCTGTATATCAGCTCGCCCTTCCTCAATGCGAATGAAGCGCAAGTCTCCGTGCGGTGCCCATATCCCGAGTCCTACTTCCATCCACGCCTCGACTCGTGACTTGTCCATAGTACTGGAGCCGTTCACCACTCTGAAATGTTTTTCAAAAGCCTTACTTTACATACATTTTCGTACCCATATTCCTTATTGCTTCTACATTACAGATGTATATTTGAATACCATGTAATGAGAGGTTACTGGTACCTATTTATTTAATCTATTTACCTGTAGGTGATAGACTTCTTGTTCCATGCTTGCTGTAAGATGTATCTCCGACTCCTTGTAGATGCTGGTGACGTCTCAATGTCTTTCACTCCACAACGCTTTTTGTTGAAGAGCTAAAAATCAATGGAAATACAAAATATATAGTACCTGTGGTATTTTTTTTTTTTTAAGGGGGCAAAATCATCGAATGACTGCTCCCGCCTGGGTGAGGCGGAAGGGAGTGTCAGACTCTTACTGACTAAAAACCACCCCGTTCCTTCTCCTGCACGTCGAGCCGGAGCCCCGGTTACCCGTTAGGTTCTCCGCGACTCCGAATAGTACCTGTGGTATAACTTGGTATAATTGAGTGTAGCATTTCGGTCAATGATTATAAAAACATTATTTCTGAGGCATCTACCACAATCAGGTTTAATGTTAGTTTAGTATTCAGGATTCTGTTCCATCTAGGCTATTCTGTAAGATATCAATTCGAACTCTCGAAGTGAGCTATCGCATTTCGCCATGTCATTGGATGGAGAATAATCTCGATCGATGTCTAATCTATACCTACATGTTTATACTTTATTCTTATACCTGTTTAGTCTCAGGATCCAGGGTGCCAGTTTCCGGAAGACCAGCAAACGCTTGCATTCTCTTCAGGGCGTCGGATATAGAGTGCGGCGTGTACGCGTAGTCGGTGTCTTCACCATCTCCTTGATCGTCAGGTGAGGATAGATAGCCATACTTCTTTAAAAAGCTGAGCTGTAAATTGGAATTTAAGATGGAAATTAGTCAAACTTCGCTTTAATGTGAAAACATAATGATAAACGTTCTATAAGTAAGTAGGCAATCCTACTTATCTACCTTAGCTGCCTACGTGTAAGAGTAGATAAATAGTTTATATTTACCTGCTACACCAAACGGCATATAAATCGGTAATTACTTGAAAGCTCTAGAAAGATTGGAACAGAAGCTATAAGTTGCAGTTAATTGACATTAACATTGAACTTGTTGTAACTTCATCATGCTGCACTTACAGCGTCGGTAAGTGCAGCATGATGCATGCTTTCTGATCATGATCTGAAAGCCTTGCCATGCGATGATGCACCTTAACAACATAATCATCAAATAACTTACTGTAAGCTACATAATTAATATATTTCTAGCTCTTTTTAACTTGTTCGACTTAACATTTGCGAAACAGAGATGGTGATATCTAATTATCTAGGTACATACATTGTCTACAGCTTAACTAAAACACGTGGTATAGGTACGTAACTTAATAACGTCGATTTCTGAGACTTTAATGAGTTCACATTGTATTGGGTACACAATAAAATAATGTATTTATCAAACAAATAACAATAAGTAGGCATGTTAATTTATCACACAGCTACAGTCACAACACGTTCTTGTTTTGACGACACAATTAATTAAAATAGGTCTTTTTATAGTTACACTGACCTCTTCGGGAGTTGGTGGCTTTTCTTCATAATAAATTGCCTTCCCTGAGACGCCGGTACAGCACAGCAGGCTCAGCACACACAAAACACTCCTGACGATCATGTCAGCGTCGCAGGAATGAGGAGACGATAATGCTCAGCGTGCGTTTTGTACTGTTCTGACCTTTGACTGCAGATAGTGAATCATTATTGATGCGCGGTGATCTGGTTAACGACCTTCGGCGGAAGATCTTTACAAGTACAATATTGTACTGATTACAGAAAACAATATTCATAATTTAATCTGTGTATTTATTGAATTTTTGTAGGCATTATTTGGGATGGCATGGGATGAAATGAGATGTGAAAAATCCTCTGGGATATGCAAGCGGGATTTTTAAAGGCAATGGGGTGTACGAATCAAGTCTTTACGAAGCATTTTAGAGGAAGTTTTATCAAAGCATCAAAAGGTATTCAATGCCTTTATTGACCTAGAAAAGGCTTACGACAGAGTGGTTAGGGATAAATTGTGGTCTAGTCTGTCCATGACTGTCATTGACTAAAATCCTTAGATAAGGACTCTAGTGCCTGTGTGAGAATAAATGGGGTCTACACAGAGTGGTTTAGCATTAATCGAGGATTTGTTAAACTAGGCTGTATACCATCTCCTTGGCTGTTCAATTTCAACCTATTCATGGACAGCTGTTTGGACGATTTGAAAGTGGGAGAGTGTGGATTAAGCATGAATGACACAATGATTAAAACATTGTTTTACACCGACGACTACAGGTACAGGTACTTGTTGCCTCGTCGGCTAAAGAATTACAACGAATGATCACTGCTATGAATTATGCATTTGAAAGGAAAGATATGAAAGTAAATGTGAACAAGACAAAAGTGTCGGTAATAGAAAGGAATGAGGTGATAACAGAATGTCAGATAATGATAGGTGATGAAAAATTGGAACAAGTGAATGAGTTTGTTTATCTGGGATCACTGTTTATGAGTGAGAAAGTGTGACGGGGATATTGAAAGGAGAGTGAAAGCACTTTGTAATGTCGAGTAAAGTATAATATCCAGCAAAGCTCGACTTGCTGTAATGCAGTGTGTATGGTAGTGAATCATGAGTGTGGCAGAAGAAGCATGAAAGCAGGATGTGGTGGAAATGAGAGCCCTGAGAAGTATGTGTGGAATAAAATTAATAATCGAGTGAAAAATTGGGTGTTAGAGAAAGGTGTGGATTAGGAGATGATGTAGTGACAAGGATTGAAAAGGGAATGTTACGCTGGTTTGGACATGTAGAAAGGATGGATGAAAGTAGAGTAACAAAAGAAGTATACAGAGCGGATAGAAAGGAGACATTGGTAGACGGCGCGGCGTCCTAGACGGACATTTACGTAAAAGTATCCATAACCGACTGAAAGCAAAAGATTGATGACTGTGGATGAAGCAAAGGATGTGTGTAGGAATCGTAGCAATTGGTGTTCTATAGTCTCTGCCTACCCCCATGGGAGACAGGCTTGAAGTTATGTATTATTAAATTAACAACTCAAAATCGTTTTTTTTATAAAAAGTGTTAAACACACTTTAAGAAAGGGTAATTAACAGCTACCTACGTAGTTAATTAGGTCATACCACCCTGCTCTTTATTTATACAATGTCAGTCGTGCAGTGTGCTCTTAAGGGAACAGTTGTATTCAAGTCGTATAGTCATGATGTCAACGCTACGAATCATCACTCGTCTTGACTTAAACTTCTTTTCCAGCAATATCGCTCTCGTTCAGCAATATCTACCCATTTTCACATTTTTACTATAACCATCCGGATTCTGGACAAAAAGTGTAGGTAAGTTTTTATAATAACTATCGTGAGACATACTAAATTAAGTAAAAACGCGGGTTACTCAGCGTGCGCGGTCGCAGCGACGTCGCGCAGCTCACTCTGCTCATGAGGAAGAACCCCTCTGTGGTTCGAAACTGGTAGAGCTTTTCTCAGTATATTCACGTGAGTAACCCGCGTTTTTACTTAATTTAGTGTAGGTAAGGTTGAAATTATTTCAAGGAGGCCTTTACTTTTTAAAACTTCTTTAGTTTATCTTCATTTTAAAACGTATTGTCAATACGTGTGTCAATGACATGTCAATTATTGTCAATGATTACAGTGTCAGAAAAGGACGTTATTACTGATCACACTGATAGAAGCGAATATTTTTTTCTATTTCAAGTGTGCAAGTTTTTCGATTGGGTTTCTTAGTTTTATTTATTTACTGAACAAAGGCGTTTTTGCCTCTCTCAGTAGACATGGGCTCGAGTAGTATGCCGAGAATGTACTCTTCCATGCCGGCGCTGTCATTCTCAGTCTCAGACAATGATAACGCTGATAGTAGTGGCAATATGTTCAGGCAATACAAAAGTCTGTCTCAAGCCTTCTTCACAAAGTACCAAGAACAAACTGGGATCAGCCCGGCGACTGCACAAAAACCGGCTCCTTTCGTGAGTTCATTATTGCTTCCATAAACATAACTTACATAACATAACAACAGGAGTAGGCAGAGGTGCACATACTACGGCACTTAATGCCACTGTAACACCCATTTTTCACTATTTATGTTATGAGTCCCGTGTATAGCCTATTGCCATATTGTACAATTCTAGACTCCGTGCTAATACTGAGATTTTTTTGGAAAAACACAGTAATACTTTGCCCGACCCGGGAATCGAACCCGAGACCCCTTGATCGGCAGTCGCACTTGCGACCACTAGGCCAACGAGGCACCAAACAAATACAATTAATATAAATAAATATTATTAACATAAATAAATGCAACTAACATAAATAAATATGTATAATAAATATAGGTAAATGACTATAAATGTATTTTCATTTTATATACTTTCATTAACGTAATTTTAATATCACATCCAGTTTAGAATCCAATCTAGATTTGATTTTCCCCGCTTAAAAAAATCCACCTTAGAAACAAATACAACGCCATACAATGAAATATTTATAAGTGGGTTATACGTAAACTCTTACTTGTACCATGTACAGCCTTGTCAACTTTGTAGAAATAATTATTACATTATTAATCGAACTGCATCTTCTGCCATATTGTAGAAGATGCGATGGATCAATGGGTTCAACCACAAGGTCGGGGTCATCAACCTGAATGACAGAGGCAGCACCATATTGTTCTACTCGGCCTCCAACTGCGGAGTGATATACAACTGGTCCACACATCAGATGTGGCTCCTCCAGGGACATGTAAGCTGGCGGTTTTGTCTCTAATTAACTTTATTGTTCTTACGATATATGGATTACAGAATTTAGTAAAAAAATAATAGTCCCCTACTATTTATTTTTTACTAGATAGATATCTATCTAGACAGATACGCATCACACAAAAACTACCGGTCCGATTACGATGAAACTTGGTACGATTATACTTTGATATCGGCATATCACTGGGTATTTTTTATCCAGAAAAAATATATGCACAAAAAACAAACTTAATTGTGCGACTGAATCCCTACACACAGTTACTGTACCAAACCCAAATATAAGTTTGTCGAATGTTAGGTTGCCCGCAGTGGACTTTACGCTGTAACTGTAGGGCCGATGGTTGAAATTCGCTTAAACCGCTATTATAAATGTTAAAATATGTGAGTATGTGTGTCTGTTTACATCACAGTAACTAACAAACATTTGTTACTCAGTCACATCAAAACGACTGAAGGGACCGGGATGGAATTCGGAACAGAGATAGATAGATAGTATGATCTGAAGTAATACATGGGCTTCTTTTTACCGCTGGGAACGCGGGGGAAGCCGCTGGCAGAAGCTAGTCATATATAAGTATTGGTTGATGTTTGTATAAATAATACCTAACCTTTAAACCAGGGCGAAAAGTGTTTAAACAATTAAACATATTAAAATCTTTTAGAGACATATGATCACATGCATAGCAGCGGACGACAGGGGCCGGTGGCTGGTGACAGCCGACTCTGGCTCAGAAAACGTGCTAATAGTGTGGGATGTCAAGGATCTATTCCCGCAGAAAACATTTTTTGCGCCACACGGCAACGCTAAGATTGCTAAAGTGGCAATAAGTAGTGACGCCAAGTATTTACTGTCCATGGCGTACCCCTCAGAGAAGATGTCGTTATACTTTTGGATCTGGTCTTATGGACAAGATTATCCCCATGGTAAGTAGGCCCTAGCCTCGTCATTATGCCTTACGTACAATATTCCCTTGCTGTCATACCCATTTTAAAGTGGTCTGTCATTTTAAACACTGAAAATATTTCTTTAAATATACGAAGGGATAAGGGGTATGTTAAGGGTTAAACTAACGTATGTAGTATATGTATAGTACATACGTGCTACTTTGTGTTCTTAGAATATTTAAATTGTATAATTTTAGCGACATATGAAGAACCTACTATCGTTCGAGATAGCATCGTAGAATTGGGATTTAATCCATCGAAATCTGAACAGTTTCTCATGATGACCAGAATTAATATTTATATTGGCGTTTCGAAAGTAAGTGTGTAAAATGCTATTTATTATTGTATTCAATCGGAAACCATTCAATCATTCATATATAACGCAGTAAGTTCATTCAAGTTAGCTTAGTCAGTAAATAACATTACCTATCTATGGAATATCGTAATTTCTATAGGTATTAAATAGGTACGTAAGTTGAAAAATTACGTAAGTAGGTACCGATTAAGACGATAAAACTTAAGCTTGACCACAAAAATAAATAACAATATTCCAGAAAGTTGTACTAGTTGAGCGCGGGATCTCAAAAGAGACAGACCGATGGGAGATGAAGGTGAAATCAATGGACAAAGTGAATCCAGAATATGGGAGGTTGATGTGTTATACCTTCGTAAAGGGGGCCTCTCAGATCTTGGTGGGCACCAGTCGGGGCGCCGTGCTGGTCTACGGGTACACCATCGAGTACAAGGCCAACGTAGAGCCTTTGAATATTGAGCACCTCAGATATATCAAGATGTTGAAGTTAAACAAGAGGATGATTCATGTCATCAAGAATATTGACGGGTAAGTTGTAATGCTAGTTAGGAATTAGTAAGTTATTAAGAGTGAAGTAAACCATCATCATTTGAGCAAATCAGTAGTAATTTTATGAGTTTACTTTAATTGTAATGAAATACGTAGGTATAATATCTTGATATGAAACATTATTTTAATTTTTTTAGGGCCAATCATAGGTATACGTTCTTTCATCATAATATTTGTAAATTTTTTCTTTGACAATGTCTTTACTTCATAAGCACTTGTGTGTTGTGTTGTATAGCGTGATAGTGACGGGCAATAGTTGTGGCGAGATTCACTTCTACGACTACCAGCTGCGGCTGCTGTACTGGGTGCACGGGTTCACGGTGGATCGCGTGAAGGCACTCAGCTTCAACATCTCCCCCAGGAGCTCCATGATACTTGATCCGAAATGTAAGATATGCGACGTCTGTTTGTCTGTTCACGATATACTCAAAATCGCTCGTATGGAAAGGTAGACAGGGTTGGGACTAGCCAATGGTGAGAATTATATGATATTATAGTAAAGTATTGTTATAATTAACTTTTATCGTAGGTAACAAGATCTGTCCCTGTTGGGAGAAAGTGGAGGTTGAAAAAGACCCGGTCACTGGCGAGATACAGCAGAAACTGATCAAGATGCGGCTGCCTTCAGACGCCACCGTCGGTGGCAAGCCCTTCCTCGTCAGGGATTTTATAATCAGTAAGATAGTTGCGATTGCCTTTCAATACTAATTCTTTAGATAATGTATCGACCTGCCAAGTGCTAAGTATATACTGTAATTGTAATAAAATTTTGATACGAATTTTATAAGTAGGTAGGTACTAGTATTTGGCATAATCGTCGTAGTATTGATATCGACTAGACCGCGTATCTGCTACTGCTACGGCTATTACTACAAAACCGGCTACGAATGCGACTCCGGCTCCGGCTACGTCTGTGACTACGGCTATGGCTACGTCTGTGACTACGGCTACGGCTACGTCTGTAGCTACGGGTTCGGCTACCAGTTACATCCTGTGATAACACTACGGCTACGACTCTGTGGCTACAGCTACGGCTGACTACGAATACGCATACGGCTCCGTCTGCAAGTGCAACTGCGAGATTTTATTACTACTGCTAAATCTATGTTATTCGTAGTTCCTAGTTCCGTTCTTTTTATAAGCTACGAATCTACGACTACAACACCTGTGTGCTGCGATTTATACTACGTCACCTTTGCTTGGGTAACAAAGCTAGCGAAGGTAACAAAGCAAACCAGAGAGCAAGAATGTTCTTGATATGTTGTAGGGAGGACGAGGGTGAGACCATTTCTTCCCTTACCTCTCCGCGCGCAAGTGTGCTACAATAAAGCAATTAAATAATTAATTATGATTTGCTAGCATCTGAACATGTATGAATGAACATCGAATATGTTACATGATTACATGTATATTATAAAATTAAAATAATAAATTAATTGTAACTGTTTCAACAGCTACATATAACCAAGGAGTGGGCTTCGTAGATTTTGTCACTGAGAAGTATACAACAATACTGGACCACAACAGATCCTTTGTCCAAACGATGTCCGTGCACCCGGAGAAGTTAGACGATTCATATATTGCTTGTAGATAAATAGAAGTACCTATAATAGTAGAAGTAATTGAGGATTGATGAAATTGATTGTTTTAATATGAACCAGTTTAGCATTGCGTGGTGTTTGTGAAGACGCCAGCAGGTCAACATACACCGGTCCGTAAAATTTCTTTATTACATTATTTGATCGTAGAAAATCCAATGACAAAAATTTATAAATTGGACTAGACCCACTGACCTGCTGGTGTTTGTACAATTTAATGTTTCTAGCTTGACAAGGCTGTAGAAAGTTACAACAAGAATAAGTATAAGAAAAATTGAAGATATTTAGGTATTTGTATGATCACAGGACCATGTTATGTCTCGGTTACAAAAACGGGATAGTGGAGCTATTCGACTTCTCCCTACACAAGCTGGTCACACGCCTCGACCTGCGCAGCACGTACACCGTGGTCGTGCCACCTAATGACGACTCCATCAACTGTAACTTCGCTATCACAGTACCCGAACTGTCTGTCACCTGCCTAAAATACTCTCCTTCAGGTAGCTATCATAACTTATATAAAGTTAGTTAAATAAAAGTAGATTTATGTAATATAAAGTAGGTATGGAAGAAGAAAATATTACAAAACGTTTGTTGAGCAAAGGGCAAGGGTGCGATGTCGACCATATTGGATAAAGTCATATTGGCACTCGAGATTCGTATGGATGGTTTATTCTAGAAAATACGTATGCGTATACGCGATGTGTAAAACCATACCCCTTATTAGATGGTACTCATAAATTGTTAAGAGTATGTATTGAATCTAGTACAATATTTACCATTTTGTCTCATTTTTGCACCTATTCCCATTAACTACAGGCATGCACCTGGCTTGTGGTTTGAACACGGGCCAGATTCTATTCCTCGACCCCACCACTATCGATATCCTCACCCCGACGCCGTTCTCCGACACCAACGGTGACATCAAGTACATGTGCTTCAGCCAGGACTCCATCTCACTCGCTACTGCCGTCAGTTCAATATATATTATAATTATAGAATTCATAACGTAGCTATGTGACCAAACAAAACTATTAATAACATGTACCTAGATGCATCCTAGATGTTTATGGCTTTTGCAGGAAGAATTAGATGTTTTGAAAGTGATAAGGATTCTACATACACAGAATGTTTGTTATAATATTATGTTTCTTGAATCGCGTATGAATAAAAAGTACCTGATATTTCTCTATTTGAATACAGGACGCAGGTCGAACAGTTTGTGTTTACAAGTACAACTGTAAAACATTCAAGTGGGTGTTTATTGGTAAACATAGGTCGCATTACAAGGACATTACCGCCCTCGTCTTCATGCCCTTTAAGACAGACGGTGGAGAATACAAGTTGGTATCGTTGGGCTTGGACCGATGTATGGTGGAGTATGACATTGCCAGCAGCAATGAGGAGTACCTTGAGATTGTCAGCCTGGACCGTGTGGATCAGACAGCCTTGCCACTCGCCGCAATCGCGTGGCCCACGCCCGCAGATCTCGACCCGGAGGAATACAGAACTGATTTACCGATGTTACTCATGGCTAACGATGAAGTAAGACCAATACAAAAACATTCGTAAAGTTCACATAATTCTTTTCATTTTTTTAAAAAAAAACTAGGATTTGGTGTTGAGTGCTTTTACAAACATACAATTTCACATACCTACACAATACACATGACACCCAGACCCGAAAAAAAAAATTTGTGGATCACACAAAGAGTTGCTCCATGCAAGAATCTAATCCGCTACTCGTTGTGCCGCAACCAGTTGCCCAACCAACGCGTCAACTGTGCAGTAAATTTCTCAGACATTTTTAGATAGTAGTTAAATATTTTTGAGACTTGAGACATTAGTCCAACAGTTACATTTTGTTAGGGACAACATCATGAGATAACCATTAGTTTGAAATCTCTATCTACCTTGGGCTGAACTGATGATCAAATTATTTATTCGTGTGAGAACAATCTTTTGCCTTACAATGAGGACAGTTCACCAGCTACTGTTATTTTTAAAAACTTGCAGTTTAAATACAAGATAGTGAACTACGCAACAACGATGACGTTGTCAACTGTGCTGGGTCCTAGATACGATCACCCGGTCAATAGGATGCAGCTGATTACTAATAAAATTGGGGAGGAGAACAACCAGTACTTGCTGTTCGGTTGTAGAGAGGTCATAGGCATGCAAAAGATGCCACTCGATGGCAATCCCTGGAAACATGTTGGGCTTCTGGGACATCCAATTAAGGTAACATTCTTTCTGTAACATGTAGTTACTTCTATTGGTACTTAGGTACCTAGGTATACCGTCCTTAGTAGGCTGAGAGATTTCTAGTATGACCTAGTTAGTAAGAGAGGTATACCAGACATATGCATAACACTTGTGATTTAAATGTGTCTTTCTTTTATTGATGTTATGTTCTTCTTTTTCTCGAACAGGCGTAATTAAGTATAGTTAATTAATGGTTATTGGGTATGCTGTTGTAAGTGTAACACTATACGCACCTGTATCAATCAATATTCCTGTAACTTTCAGGTTATAGAAATGTGTTTCCGAGAAGATCTGGAAATTTTGTTCACTATCGGTGCGAGGGATACTACCTTCACGCAGTGGATCGCTCATTTCAAGTAGGTGACATACACAGGTTTAAATTACTTTTAACTGCATAGGTCATAGGTAGATTCTTAGTACCATGAGACCATGAGGGGTAGAAATAATTAACAAAAGAGTTGCTGATTTACGATCATAAACTCCTTTAATAGATAGTTTATTAAATCATAATATTGAGTATAGTGGGTAGGTACTGTCGACTGCAAGGTTGGTGCGGTGGTTGGACAACCGGCTGCCGTGCAACGTGTCGCGGGTTCGATTCCCGCACGGAACAACACTGTGTGATCCACAAATTGTTGTTTCGGGTCTGGGTGTTTGTGTATGTGAACTTGTATGTTTGTAAACACACACACGCTACAGGAGAAAATCAATTTAAATAATTTCAGACAATTTGAGAACCTATCTAATGAGCATGGTAGATCTGTAGAATGTCATCACGGTTAGCATACCTGTTTCGACTGCGGGACAATTCTTACCTCTATCACAATTAACTAAGAACAAATCTGCAGATCAGTAGAAACAACAACGAAGCGTGGGGGACCGAACTTAGACCCGTATTACTGCCTCGTGGAGAATGGCCGTCCGGGCTGGCTGTTCCAGGAAATACGCGACCTCTTTTACTACATTCAGATACTCTGCCAAGGCACCTTTTCACCAGCTAGGAGACGGGTCAAGGATTACATTCCGATAGACTCACTGCCCGATCTCATGAGGGCGCTAGGATTCTTTCCATCCGAATATGAGGCAAGTAACTAAGTTATACCTAGGTAGGTTCCTTGACTTTTGTGGGTACCTACTGAAAAAAATCTTTGTTACGAAGATACCTTATTACAGAATAATTTTAACTGATCCGTGAGCCAAATTTTTGAGTTCTATGCGTATCTGAGTAGGTACATTAGGTACCTACGACCTAAGTATCTCCACCTAAGGAAATTGAGGGAATAAAATACAATTACCTATTTTGCAGGTGGAAAATATATTAATCGAAGCAAAATATAAAGTGTACCTTCGTACTCCGGTAACGGAAATAGATTTTGAAGAGTTTGTGAAGCTATACCTGAACCATCGGCCGGTGTTCGGTGAGAACTTCAAGCGCCTGCGCTTAGCATTCCGCACTTTTGCCAACGTCACTAAGGATGGATTCTCTATAAAACGAAACGATTTCATTGAAATACTCACTTCGAATGGTAAGTATCTACTAACTACTACAATACTTTATTTATATCAAGCTGGTTTGATCCCCGACGTTATAAGGCAGGGGTAAAAAATAATATTATTAGTAGGCACTAGGCAGGCAGGTAGGTAGGTAGGTCCCACTTAGGGGTAACTCCCACTTGACAGTTTTTACCAATTAAGTTCATACCACAGAACGTGTAATAGGGTAGATGCCTAACTTTCATTTTAATGTCCGTCTGGTAGATTATTTGAAATCATTAGACACGTAAGTATGTTTTATTTTCTTACAGATACGAATGTAACTTAGACGATATATTGATTTGAAATGTCACGTGACGTCACTTCTATGTACATTTTATAACGTACGTAGAAATGACGTTTTAGCCCCCACTCTTAAACTTTGATTCGTTTTATCTAAGTATTGTTCTATTATACGACAAAAAAAATACTTGTCTAATATTATTTCATTACCTAACTTACGGACTAATTAATTTTTAATTTTCATACCCTGTCATCATCCCAATTATAGTTCATACGTACAAGTCACAGCTAGGAGGAGCATATTTGATGCACTAATTTCAGATATATAAGTTTTTCAATTGAGATTTTATTATTGCCCCACCCAGGGATTGAGCCCCACTTAACACACCAGTTGTCTTGGTGAGTCGGCTAATATTTATCTTGCATTGCTCAGGAGAATACTTTACTCGGGAATTATGCTGGTACCTACTGACTATCCTGTCTGGACACAGCATCGAAGACAGAGCACTGATGAACGAAGACGATTTTTCATTCTTGCCAGAAGTAAGTAAATACGGTAAACCATACCGTCCACTAAATAAAAAATACCTAAACTATGTTATAGTGTACACCTAGGAAGTTATTGTGGGGTGAAGTTGAATTTGAATTAGGATTCAATCTTCTCACAATCACATGTAATGCCTTGGTGTTTCGGGTGTCCATGGGCGGCGCCGATTGCTTACCATCAGTTGATCCGTCTGCTCGTTTACCGGCTTATGCTATAAAAAAAACATCTCAATCTTACTGTTAATGGTACCCCTACTCTTTTTTCAAGACTTATATAATAATCTATATTCTATATATCTATATATATAAAAGAAAGTCGTGTTAGTTACACCACTTATACCTCAAGAACGGCAGAATAGATTTGGCTGAAAATTAGTAGGAAGGTTGCTTAGAGCCAGGAGACCGACATAGGATACTTTTTAACCACCATTTTTTTTTTTTACTATTTACCGAAAATCACGAACGGGCACGGGAAAAAATGGGATTACGCGTACGAAGTCGCGGGCAGAAGCTAGTATATATATAAAAGAAAGTCGTGTTAGTTACACCACTTATAACTCAAGAACGGCTGAATAGATTTGGCTGAAAATTGGTAGGGAGGTAGCTTAGAGCCAGGAGACCGACATAGGATACATTTTAACCAAAAAAATTTTTTTTGCTTTTTTCCGAAAATCACGAACGGGGACGGGAAAAAATGGGATTACGCGTACGAAGTCGCGGGCAGAAGCTAGTTTGTAATAAATGAGTCACCATACGTGTATGCACATAACTTTAGAATTTCTGCAAAAGCATGATGATGAATGATTCATTCTTGCTCCATTATTTAAAAAAAAATAATCTCTAGTAAGATTATGGAGCATAAAAAATCTAATCAAAATTGATGTTCACAGCGGATCAGCTTCTCAGACTTAGTGACGGAGATCATTGGCATACAAGAAATCGACAATGTGTCAGACACATACACTGGTATGGAGTCTATGGTTTCCCTACACACAATTGAATCCAACGATTCCAATGATGAGAAATGAAAATAATAAGTTATATATCTTTATTTTTTATCTTACTAATTACTATATTATATTACATATTATTTATTATATAATACATGAAATTTACAATAATGTTAATGTGTCGCATTATTATTTATAAAACAAAACATTCACATTGTCTTCACATTCTATCAGCGATTTTGTGAACTGAACAATATTTCAATTACAATAATTAAAATAAAATGGCATCAATCTCACATAGAAAAACAGTATTGAAGAATGTCATAAACGTAATATAAAATATATCTTGAACACAGCATTATAAAATGATGGAATTCTCAGTAATTATTAACTATTTAGTGAATAAAATATCTGTCTGCATTTGTTGTTCCAAATACAGGCAAAACCGTTAGAAAAGTCTAACTTGTAAGTCCCAGTCTGTCAATCCTGTATACATCAAATAAATGAATAAGTTCTATTGAATTACACAAAGTTACGTGAATATTCAATAAAAATATATCCTAGGCTTACACCAGAAGGAAAGTAATATAAGCTACTTAAATTTATTAAAGCTGGGTCAAAGAAAGAATCAGTTTAAAACATAACATTTAGACTTCTGTGTAACTCAAGAATTATGTACTTTTTGTTCAGTGGCATGGTCTAATGTAGAATATTTTTATCAACCTATAACACTTATTCAAAGAAACATTCAGCAAAATAATGCACTATACACTACACTCTACAGGGTTTTGTACCACCAGGGGACTGATTGTACAGTATTCATTGTTGTACAAATTAAAATATGCTCTCAACATAAATGTGCAACTTATGTGAAAATATCACATTTTGCAACACACTCACATGAATGTTGTCTTGATAAAATAATATTAAATTAATTACATTTCTAAAATTAATCTAATTAAGTCACGTTTTATGAAACTGATGAAATATTATTTACAATAGCAAGAATTGAGCTAGGAGTGAAACAAAATGCTAAAATCAAATATAATCACTCTTGGTCATGTGACCATAATTAATTAAGAACACATTTCTTACAAGTGGTCATAAGTATAAAATAATAGTAAAAGCATGAATGCATCTGTAGCAGTATGTGGTAAATGGTTGCTAGCTCCTTGGATGCACACTCCTGAACTCACAGCACATACCACCAAGTTCACAATGTCTGTATGTAAGCACAGTCTCCACCTGCAGGCTTGCAGCTACAACATGTTACATGCTCAGCAAGCCTCAGTCTGTTTTTAACCGCTTAGCTGGAGTTGTGGTGCCACTACTCTGGGAGTTGGAGTCCTCAGAGAAGTTCATTGCTGTTGATGTAAACTCTGTGGGCCCTTGGGAATCACTCACTGTTGAAAAACCTGCAAAACATTATCCTTGAGTTACTGCACTTACTCTCTTTATTCTAGAGCATTCAGATAAAATCTTGATATTTAATCAATTAAGTTTTTGGGAGACAGTTGTGCTCAATATTATGCTTACTCAGCTCAGGTTCTTACCAAATTAACTAAGGCACTTTCATAACTAAGTCATGAACCCTGACCTACTTGCTTAAATCCACCATCTTAAAACTTGAAGCTATCAACAAAGTGATCGAATGTAGGTAGTAAATGTAATAAAGTTGTGGGTTACTTTTGTTGTCTACTCACATGTGTTTGAATCCTCGGCCATGCCAAAGTTAGAGTTTGAAGAGTCGTGTACTTTCTTCGGAGTCAATGTGTTCTCCTTATTCTCACGTTTAGCCGCGTGTTTCTTTTTTTGCTCATTTGTAGATATTGGAACCCATTTGTATATTTTCATCGTCGTTTCACCAATAGTCACCCATTTTTTCTCCCTAAAAATATATGCGATATTAATTCTCAAATTCAGAAAAGCTTTGATTTGGAATTGTAAAATGTCTAACTTTATAACTTACCAATGGCGAACTTTTTCCACGGCTTGCATGACTCTTTTGATATCATCTTTAACACGGTTTCTAGTTTCCGCGCGGACCGAACGAGACATTATGCTTGAGTAATTTTTTTACTTATGTAAAAACTGCAGCTACTACTACGAGAAATTGTAGTATTTGTTTACGAATAAATTGTAATAAATAACTTCGCTTCGATGCGGTTCCGAACTCTTTATTTCATTCATCCGCCATTGACCGACTTGATTTGACATTTACAAGAGGAGTTTATACCACGTTTAGTTATTTTGGTTTATCTCTTAAATAAATGCGAACACTCATGAAGTATGTTTCTTTGTGCAAACACTACAATAATACAAATTTTATGATTTTACAGTCATAATAACTATACTATTAAACATTGCTATTAAATTATGATTCCTCAAATAGGTAATCAAAAAATAAGTTATGACTAGTGGTAGTTGCTCTATTTGAAATTAAACGTCGAAAGTTTTTTTTACGTTATATTTATCCATTATAATTTGATGATTTACCTAAATAAGAAATAGAGAACAATAACATTAAAATATTTTTTATTTTAATATTATATGTAATATACAAATGTATAAAGTTATTATTAATTATAATGCAACCATTCAAATGCAACGGTAAAATAAAGTATTTGTAAATCATTTAAATGGTATAAACTAAACGTTTTTGCTTGCATAATCGTACTTACACTTCATTGGTTGTACAAAGATATAATTTTACTTTTAACCAATTGTGTGAGGAGTAAATGTTGTTCAATGTAACTGAAAACGAATTATTTTTATGGACAGTCAAAATCGAAAATTGAAAACAGGGAAATAAATTTATGAAAAAAATCATTGGTATTTTACTGCCGAAAATAATTTTAAACAAAGAGTAACATGTCCAATATGATACTTTGATGCATAGGTAAGTAATTTAAATTATTTCCTACATGTCTGTAAGCGTTATTTAGGCAATGGGTAGCATTTTGTGAATTTTATCGTGACTGATTTTTGACTTATATTTAGCGGCTGTCAGTTGTTTTACGTCTCATCATACATTTATTTTGTTCGTAATACTTTATTTCTAAGTTTGTCGCTAAAGTGTATAAAAAATTTCACGCGGCTTGGACTACAGGGATGTGCATCGGTTACGATGATGCAACGAGATGATAAGGTGCAAATTACTTGCATTTGTATAATATTTTATTCGTGTTTTGCTGTTCTACATTTTACTTTTATTATTTTCAATGTTACATGTGTAAAAGTGTTTGCTTTAGTTAGTTTGATCACAAACATAACCTCAACACAAGTAGCCACTTTCCACTATTCAAGTTCATGGCGTCAGTGCATACAGTTCTTACATACATGTGTCACTTCTCCTTGTTGCATGTTGTCACAAAATTAAGTTGAAAATCTTCAATTGCTTATCATTTCACATGTCAGTCTGAGGCTTATCTCTAAAACAGTGTTGTCAGATTTTGTGATATATTTTTTTATGATGACCCTCTGAGCTGACCAACAACTTTCATTAGAGTACCTACACTGACTAGGACTTGTTGTAAGCTATTCAGTATTCCTATACCTGCAAAGCAGTATGTGGAGAATAAGCTGAAAAATGTATGCTACTAGTTTCACTGGCTTTTGCACACAGTTCTTTTAAGTTGTAGCTCTGTCCTGTGATTTTTAGTTTTCTTTGCACTTGTTTACGCCTTGTTATGCTTTGTTGCAGTTTTACCGTGCATGTATTGTTAAAACTGTAGAAGTGATACAGTGACTATATTGTTGGCTTGTCCGGCATAAGGTTCACCTAACGACAACCGTGAATATTTCCTTCCCGTATGGCTGCGTATGTTAACCGTACGATATCAATGATGGCTGGCGACGGGCCCCACAACGTTGCAATGCTGAACAATGGCGCTGTCCGTGTGAACATGTCTAATGTGGACTCACCACTGCAGATATTTGTGAGAGCCAAGAAGAAGATCAATGATATATTTGTTGAGATTGATGATTATGTCAAGGATGCTGTCACTTTCATGCATGGTAAGCAAACAATGTTTATTTATTTACTTATCTGACTATAGAACTTTTTAAACAATGAGAGATACATGACACACACAACTACAACTATAATATGAAGAACTATAGGAATGTTGATGCTCAAACTGTTGTGGTTCTTTCCTCAAAAGGCCACTACAGAAAGAACTTGCACGGTTCTCACACATAATCTATTATACATATTGTCTGGACTTTAAAAGAGACAGACCTCTGAGTTTGTTTCGGCATTTCTTCTCAGAGTAGTCAGTTAGGAAATGTCGACCTCATCGTTCGCTTGATAAAATTGACGTGTAAAAGTGCTGCCTTGTAGCCTATTTGCAGAAATAAATTCACTTGTTTCACTTGTTTCACTTGTGATGATCTGCATTTTCTCTTAAAGCAATTTAAAATATATAAGTTATTAATTTAATGGTTATGTTAATAAATTACCTAAACCATTCATTGAAAATTACATAGACCTTACTCCAAGTTTTTGTGCCAAACCAGAGTTTTGTTTCTTTCTCAATTTGTTTTTGTATTGTTATTAACTGTTCAATCCCCAAGCAGTCTCCGCATTTACTCCATTAAACCGTGTCTAAACGTGGATCGGTTGTGTCTCATATACAGGCATTCAAGCGGTTAAAGATCTTATTTCCGATGTTTAGAGACTACTTTTGCATGAACAAATGTTCAGTATGATATATCAACATATTAATTTGGGGTATTAAAATTACTTAACTATTAGAAAATAATTGAAAATATATATAATGAGACAAACAGTAACCATGTATTTTCTAAACAATGAAATATGAAGATAAAATATTTTGTACTTTTTTGACCTAGAATTTTAGAATTATGTTTTCTAAACTACACAATATACACATGACTCACACAATAGCAGCCACAAGGAGAGAAAAGACATTATATTACTTCTATACATAAATTACAATACAACATTATTCTGATTTTGAAGTCAGATACATCTGTATTATAAAATACTCGCAAACATTTACAATAATCGAAAAAAAAATCAATATTAAGCAAGATAACAGAAATCTGAAATAGTGATTGATACTACCTTTAAAGTAAAATATTCTTGAATGATAAGTGATGTCATTACATCTAATCTTACTGACAAATCCAAAGCGTTTTATCTGTGGAATATTAAAATATTCACTTCAGTCTATGAACACCTCGCAAAGGTCGCGTGTGAGCCTCACGTATTTGGATAAAGGTCATTATCATTAATGTTTTATTAAGCTCATCGTGTATGTGCCGCGTACTAGAGCACGTATCATCGATTCGTCGATCTATAGAATATTCGGCCCAATTAATATTCGGATTGTGCGCTCATTTGATATGGATTTATTTTAACATAGTACTAAGTACATTGGATCTGTAAACCTTGTATGAAACTGTTCTAGAACTTAATAGGATATTACAATGTAATCCTTAAGATAATACTATTAACTTGAGTAGTGTGTAACTGTAAGTAACAGTCCCAATTATATAACACACCTTCAGTTCCAATCATCAACCACTTTTAAAATTGATAAAAATTCGAGTCTTGTAAGTCCCATATTAGAAGTCTAATCACATATTAGTACTTATCTATGTGTTTGTATGATGTCATACAACATCGATTGGGTGAAGCAGCAATAATTGTTTGTTTACTAATCTTCTTATCAAGTTTGTAAGTGACTTTGCTTAGTGCAGCACGCTATAAATGTGCATTAGGGCGCGCGGTATTGTGAAGTGCTGCAGTTTACCGTGCGCACGATGTCATGCCAATGAGATTGTAGCGTACACATGTCATGTTTGTTGACTTTCTATTTAAAGTGATTACAGTAATCTATAATTAGAACAAAGGGCTGCAAGACTGCCCATTAGTGTAACATAGCATGACTAAAGAAAACTAAACAGATCACTTGCCACACCTCTGTCTACCCCACTAGCGAATATTTTGGCAGCTTATTATGATGTGGTTTTCTATTTGGCCTGGAAATATACTTGAGAAATATACGAAATACCTCCAATTTATGCCGAAACATAATATTTGAAAGTTGATTGTTTTGTTGGCGTTGTTCCAACTGGACTGTTGTATGTTTTTATGTTACCAACGTTGTTTCATAATATGTAGTTTATAACGTTGTGCATAGTTTTCTATCAATGAATGGTGAAGGTAAACGTCGGCCGGAAATAAGCGTAACATTACGCGCAGCACGCCTACTTTGTTCTAGTAGTCATAAAAGTAAACTGTACCTTTTTCATAACGTTTTGGTTATCGCATTTAACTTTGTGTGTATAATCTTTGTAAGGAACAAAAATATTAAATTATGTGTTTATCATCTTTGTAAGAAACAAAAATATTAAATTGTGTGTATCATTTTTCTCTGAAATTTAAATTTATTTTATTGAATAAATTAAAATATAAATATTTTGTCACAGCCATTTTATCTTCGTAAATCGTAATACTTGAAGGCTTTGGTGGTTGAATGCGCAAGTCGCAAGAGAATCTACAAAACTATTATATCTGAAATTAAAAAGTATTACTGGGTTTTTTCGAATCTCCAATATATGGTACAGTGACAATATTATAATATTAAGCTAGCTTTTTTAGAAATATCTTTATTTGTAATATCTATCTTAGTAATTTTTCCAAGCAATGGGGATGATGACAGGGTATGAAAATTAAAAATATAATTAGTCCGTAAGTTAGGTAATAAAAAAATATTAGACACGTATTTTTTTATTTTGTCGTATAATAAAACAATACTTAGATAAAACGAATCAAAGTTTAGGAATGGGGGCTAAAACGTCATTTCTTAGTATAAAATGTACTGAGAAGTGACGTCACGCGACATTTCAAATCAATATATCTTCGAAACTATTCGTTTCTGTGAGAAAATAAAAAATACGTGTCTAATGTTTTTAAATAATCTACCAGACGGACATTAAAATAAAAATTAGTCGTCTACCCTATTAAGAGAGATACATACACATAAATTATACAATTTTTCAAAGTATACAATTGTGTTTTAGCTGTTACGGGCGAAAATGGGATCGCGACCCCACAAGACTTGGCTAACGTGGAAGCATACGTATCTAAAGTGCAGGCCATTCGAGAGGTGCTCAAGCGAGATCACATGAAAGTCGCCTTCTTTGGCCGGTAGGAACATTTTGTCATTTATTCTTTACTTTGACTTTAAATGGTAGTAAATCTCTATCTACTAATTTGTATTATATATTTAGGACAAGTAATGGCAAGAGTACAGTGATCAACGCGATGTTGCACGACAAGATACTGCCGAGCGGTATCGGACACACCACCAACTGTTTCCTGCAAGTCGAGGGCTCTGACAACGACGAAGCATTCTTACGCACCGACGGCTCTGAGGAGAAACTTAATGTGCAGGTGATTATTACCTCAAATTGAATCAGTATAGAGTTTGATAGTGTTGACTGCTAAATGAGAATACTATTGTTATACAGGAGCTAAATAAGTATTTAAGTATTTATAATTAGTAATATTTTTTGAAAATTCTTTTTAGTAGCATGTGAATTTGGAATTGTGCTTATGACAATAGAGTCTTTATTGTTTGTCATAATTTATTTTAAATATTTAGTTAAACGTTTATAATGGCTTTTGGGTCAATATTAGCAGCAGTTGTAGAGTAATGTAAGTATGTGTATGTGCACCCAGTCCGTGAGCCAGTTGGGGCACGCGCTGTGCGCGTCCCGGCTGCAGGAGTGCTCGCTGGTGCACGTGTACTGGCCGCGCGAGCTGTGCGCGCTGCTGCGGGACGACGTCGTGCTCGTGGACAGCCCGGGCGTCGACGTCACTCCCAACCTGGACGAGTGGATCGACAAGTACTGCCTCGATGCTGATGTTTTCGTGCTCGTCGCCAACGCAGAGTCCACGCTCATGGTCACTGTGAGTACTACACACTTGTGTTGCTTCTAGTGTTGCTAGTGAACTTAGGCTTTACTAATTATTATCCATCTAGCCGGCCATAAATTACTAATAGGAATATAGAAACACCATATTGAAGAAATTGAATATTTCCAATTACAGGAGAAAAACTTCTTCCATAAAGTATCAACAAAAATATCCCAACCGAACATATTCATACTGAACAACCGATGGGACGCCTCCGCTTCTGAACCCGAGTACTTGGATCAAGTGAGTGCATTTTATAATAGTATTCAACATAATTTTTATACACTATTTTTTTTAATATTTAATGAAAAATAAATACTGCGAACTGTCAAATTATTCAGAAGATACTCACGCGTTAAACAGATTGGTTGCGTATAATAGATTGAGTTAATACGTAAGTACAGTGTGAGTGTCTCGTCCGTAGGTCCGCACGCAGCACGCCAACCGTTGCGTGGACTTCCTGTCGCGGGAGCTGCGCGTGTGCTCGCCCAAGGAGGCCGAGGAGAGGATCTTCTTCATCTCTGCCAAGGAAGCGCTACTCACTCGCATGCGAGAGAGGGAGAAACCCGTCTCCTGTGAGTACTATACATCTTAATAATTAATCTACGTCCGTTTTGTCATCAGAAGCCATATGCATTGTACATTTTATTTTGTGTTTCTCACTCAGTTTTTTTTGTTTGTTATAAGTTCTAATTAATTGTAATCTTTATAACAAAGTAGCTGTAGCTTATTACCCTCTATTATGTGAGTTCCACCCCCATAGTCTTATGATAATATTACGATATTCCAGCACCAATCCTGGCCGAGGGCCATCAAGTCCGTTACTTCGAATTCGTTGACTTTGAGCGCAAGTTCGAGGAGTGCATCAGTAAGTCTGCAGTGCGCACCAAGTTTGCACAACACTCGCGTCGCGGGAAAAACATCGCTGCTGAAGTCATGGCCGCTTTGGAAGTGGTAAGCTAGCCAGTTATCGGCTTATCGAAAATTCTCTGTATTTTGTAATAATAGCATGGAGAGATGTGAGTAAAAGGGATAATGCCTACATATGTTATAGTATATTTACAGCTTTAAATGACAAATACAATGACAATTCCAGGTGTACAACACGGCCACAGACCAGAAGGCGGCCAAGGTAGAGAAGCAGCGCGTCCTTCACGAGCAACTGTCCGCCATCGAGGACCAGCTCACCACCATTACTCGACAGATGAAGGACAAGATCAACCGCATGGTCGAGAGTGTCGAGCACAAGGTAGTACCACCACCCCCATGATTACAAACCAATTTTAACACATAGACTTTAAAGTTTGCTGGAATTCAATGAAAAATATTTTCAAAATATAAAAAAACTTCAAAGTGCTGCAGTTTTAGTCGCCTGTTAAAAATGTTGGTATAACGTTGCAGGTGTCCTTGACGTTGAGCCAAGAGATCCGTCGTCTGTCGGCGCTAGTGGACGAGTACGACACTCCATTCCGCACAGACCGCGCCCACCTCGACCAATACAAGCGCGCGCTGCATCGACACGTCGAGTCCGGGCTCGGCTCGAGGCTCAAGAAGCGACTCTCCGCAGACATCGGGAATGAAATGGATCAGGCACAGAAAGAAATGGCTGGTATGTACAATTAGATAAACCATTTTGTGACTATTGTCTCACAAATACTTAATGTAGATATTATTCCATCTCTTATTTATTGTATCACCACTTCATGGTTCAAACGTCTACTGTAAAATAGAATTTTGCTGTGGACAAAAGCAAAGTATTTATTTAAGACTTGATACTCTTTCAGAACGTATGTACAACATCCTACCGATCCACAAGCGCGCGGCGGCGGCGTCATACATCATCCCTCACCAGCAACCGTTCGAAGTCCTTTACCGCCTCAACTGTGACAACCTTTGCGCAGACTTCACTGAGGACCTATCCTTCCGCTTCTCGTATGGTATCACTGCGCTCATACAGCGGTTCCAGGGCAAAAACTCGAATAAAATCGCGCTTAAGAACCCACCACAGTACACACAGGTCAGCATATTTAGGATTCATAAGGAATATTTATCTGCAACAGTTTATTTAACTAAATTTCATAACTGATATTTCAGATCCCGCCCTCGATAAGTTCAGCTCCGTCGTCAATGGAAGTAGCGCGCAGCAACGGTCCGTCGTCGCTGGCGAGTCACGTCGGACTGTCGGCGGAGGAGTGGGGACTCGTGTCCAAGTTCGCGCTGGGAGCGCTCACCTCGCAGGGCACCATGGGGGGCCTGCTGCTGTCTGGCCTGGTGAGTACGAGCAGTGCGAGTAGCGCAGTGTAGCGCAGCGTGGTGCAGCGTGCAGTAACGTGTGGCGGTACAGTTGCTGAAGACGGTGGGGTGGCGCGTGGTGGCGGCGACGGGCGCGCTGTACGCGGCGCTGTACGTGTACGAGCGCATGACGTGGACGGCGCGCGCGCAGCAGCGCGTCTTCAAGCAGCAGTACGTGGCGCACGCCAGCAAGAAGCTGCGTCTCATCGTCGACCTCACCTCCGCCAACTGCAGCCACCAAGTGCAACAGTCAGTCCATGCCTTACTTACCTTATTGATACCATTTTTAATGACATTTTAAACCTATCAGAAAAGACAAACGATGTAATGTGAACTTGAGAGAATTCTCACTCAGGTGATTGGATGAATCTGATTAAAATTTTACTTTAGGGAACTATCAACAATGTTTGCGCGGCTGTGCCGGCTGATCGACGAGGCGACGACGGAAATGGACACGGAGCTGAGCGAGGTGAAGGAAGCTATCAAGATGTTGGACACTGCCTCCACCTCCGCCAAGAAGCTGCGCAATAAAGCCAACTACCTGTCCCACGAGCTCGAACTATTCGACGATGCCTTCCTCAAGCACAACTAATACGGCAATTACTGAGGTACATTTATTTGTAAGTAGAGTTTGCATGCAAGTCAAAGTATACGTTTATAAAAGTGTCTCATCTCTATATTCTGTTTGAAGATTTATTTTCAAAGTAAATGTTATTCCCAGTGGAAGGCACAACAAGGTCCAGCGCGGCGCACTGCGGCGTCTGGTCCGCGTGAAGGGCCCGCCGTGAACTGTAGTGTGCGTGTATTTATCGCGTGAGTGAGCAGTCCCGGGTCCGAGGCCGACATGACAAGTATTGGTTCGCCTCGACCAGCCTCTACCCTCTAGGAAGGTAAACATGTTCATGTCAATGTATAGTTAAATGATACCTCTATTGTAAATTAGAGATTTCGTTGTTGTTTTAAACTATTTATCAGTTTTTATGTGTTGTATCGCAATGAAATCACGCGTAGACGATCGTCTAAAACTTGTTATGACATTAATTTGTTATATTGAATTTATTTTAGTTTTTACATGGTTCCTGACGATTTATAATTTACTTTTAATGTTTACCTTCCCTTTAAATAATTATGTAAGCATCCAGGTGCTACCAAATGGATGTATAATGGAGTCTTCTAAATCTAACAAAGGAAATGTTTATAGACAGAGTTGTATAAAGTTGTTATTTCTGATAAATTATAAATGGAGGATATCTTATGAAGTATTTACTATTTGTATGTTTGTCATCGCTATACCTACGTGCTTTGTAATCACGTTCGCTAAAATATGTTGGTTCATTATGTGAGTGTTTAGATAGTGTACTGGGTACTCATTAAAATTAAATTATTCTACAATCTCGATAGCGTCGTCCAAACTGATTAGTTACCATACAATATTATTTGCTAAACTCCGCAATATCGACTATGCGGCCTCTCTAATGATTTATGTGATCTGTGATATATTACTTCTGTTGCAAAATTGTCCATTGGCACACTGCAGGAATAAACAGTGTAATAAAAATGGAGCATTTATTATGTTTATCGGTAACTCATAAGTAAAAAAAACCAATAAAAGTGCATGGTCAACATTGCGGATTATAATGAAATTGTTTCAATATAAGGATTAATTTATTTGTTAGCGAAGTGAAGTGTGGTTCTCGGATGTTATTATTACTTGATGTAGGCGAAACTATTACTTTGGTTACACCTTCATGAATCTGACTACATTGTCAAAGAAATGATACTGTATTATTCTAAAACAATGAAATATACAAATAAAAATCGTCAACAATGTAAAATAATAATTATGCACATGTTACCATTTCTTTGACAATATAACTTCATCTTACATTTTGGCTATATTTACATATTAATATTATGTATATTATATCATAATAAAAATATAGAAATTATTTCACGTCCATATAAGGCGTGCTCATTTATCTGATAGGAAGGTACACAGCATACTAATGGAATGAATTGCGACATTGGGAGCCATGCAACCATTTGATATTAGATAGATTTTGTTGTCCATTGTAATTAGTTATTGCATAATTAGGAGAATTTTCTTATGTAAATAAAACAAATAAAGGATTCCTTTATAAAGATTAATTGTTTTATTTTACCATCGGCTACAATAATCAAACTAAAGTGCAGTTTGCACTTATGCTATTTACTTGTTTCATATGTAAATATATCAATCAGGCTTACTTCAAACTTCTTCGTAATATTCCGAATTACTGGGATATGCTAAAAACAAAATTAAAAATATTAAAAAAGAAGCACTCTAAATTCTAATGAAAGAAACCTATTTTCTTTACATACTTTAAAGTATATAAGTGAGTTTAGTATCTGAACACTAAAAATGTTGTATTGCAAACAGCGAGTATTTTAGCAACTAAGTTACTCGCTACTCTACTATAATACCGTAAAATTTGGTGGATAGGGATCGAGAGGTGAATAGATATTGAGAAATTCTTCATAGTACCGATTCACCTCTCTTATGTCCCTATTCAAGCCATTTTACCGTTACTAGAGTAGTGAAAACAAGGCATAAGGGCGTGGTATTGGAAAGGGCCTTAATTGTACGACGAAATTAATATATTGCTAAGGAACATTTGGAAACTTACAAATAAAATGAACTAATACGTACCAAACGTGCATCTGTTTTAAATTCGCTTCTATCAAATAGTATCGCATCTTCGTTCACTTTAAGTCCGTAATGTGAGCATGCACTTTTTGCATCTCTTTCTGTGCTGAAGCATAACCAATGAACAAGTGCAGTGCTTGGTACTGTCAAGCGTTTGTTGTTATATGCATGGCACATCACATTTAGTGCACGCCTGTAATATTATGTAGCATTGTTATTACTTCTGGCAAATTGTAAATCCCCAAGGTAAGTGATTGTGGTCACAAATCCTTAATTTCAGACACAATTGGAATGGAATAGGTTGAAAGATTGAAATAAATTGTCTTTTGTGACAGTCCACCACTAATGTTAATAATCACTACATAGAAACAAAGTCGCTATCTAAGACCTAAGCATAATTATATGCTTAGGTCTTTAAAAGTACGCAATGGATTTTGATGTGGTTTTTTTAATAGATAGAGTGATTCTTAAGGCAGGTTTATAATGTATAATACATGCATATTGCGGGTCGCTAGTATTATTATAAACCACATTTAAAATGAACGACTTCATCCCTCTATATTTTAGAATTTGGTTAATTAATATTTAATACACTAATTCTCCTAAGTGTAACAAACACTTCCGAAAACCGCATCAAAACCGGTTCAGCCAATCACCAAATAATAGCGCAACAAACATACATACAGGTCCAACAGAGAACCTCCTTTTTGTGATGTTAGTTAAAAATCAATCTTAACTACAACCTCAAATGAAAAGAATTATGAATGTTATAAACTTACCATTGCAATTTTGGCAAGTAAGTAGATAAGGCACAGTATAACAGAGGGCACAGCTTTCCTGACAGCCTACACACTTTCACATAGTTGCCCTGAAGATTTGCTATTGCTATTTGGTATGATAATTGAAGTTTTTCTTGTCTGAAATAATAAAAGAAGTTGGTACTCAAGTCCTAAAAATATCACATAATATGTTTACTGCATACAACTTTAAAATACCCATGTTGGAAAACAGACTCTTTTAAAATTTATTCCTGACTTAATGAAATATACATAGATAATTTACCTTTTAAGATCTTTGGTCATCTTAAGATATCTGTACAGTGGATGCAAGTCATCAAGATTGCATAATATATATAAACTTTCCAACAACACTTGATCATTTACTAATTTAGTTTTACTTTCCCTAATATTAACTTGTAGCCCCGAGAAGAAACCAGAGAGCTCATCTATATTTCCTTGATCCTTAGCAATGCTGTCACAGCATGAGAGGTACCATTTCAAACATTCTAACAAGTACTTCTTGTTCAGGACTGGGTCATAGTCCTTTAGAGGATGGCCTGATAATCTGAAAACACAAAACTGTTATCAAAACAAACATGTAACAAATACATCTAAAACTTCCATTATAATGATAAAAGGTACTAACAATTTATAAATAACATTATTGTTGCTATATAAGATTCTGGCTTCCTTTCATGAAACAATAATCAATAGGCTATGTAGGCCTCTTCTCATATGGAGAAGGTTTGAGCATTAATCGCCACGCTTGCATCAATGCGGGTTGAAAATCTCAAACTTATAATAATAAGGGGTCATTAAGAAAAAGAGAAAAAAATGTCGTGGTGGCCCGGAGGTTTAAGACGCCCACTTCTCATGCATGAGGGTGCGGGTTCGAAACCTACCAACGGCAAGTACCAATGTGACTTTTTCCGAGTTATATGTACTTTCTAAGATTATTTAGACACCACTGACAAACGGTGAAGGAAAAACACCGTGAGGAAACCTGGACTTATAATTTCTAATTATAAGTTTGAAATCGCCAACCCGCATTGAGCAAGTGTGGTGATTAATGCTCAAACCTTCTCCGTGTGAGAAGAGGCTTTGCTCAGCAGTGGGTATTTATAGGCTGTTGATGAAGAAGAAGAAGCATGTCACATGTAAAGGGGGTAGTCAAAGTGTGACAAGGGGTGTGAGGTCTAAGTTTCATGTCATCACATTTCAAAATCGTGTAATTTGCAACATTAATTAAACCAAAAAAATATTTCCAACTCTAAATGAAAATACGGTTGAAATTGTTTTGTTGACGAGTTTATTATCTGGCACCCAATAAAATAGAAGCAAAGTACTAAATGTATTAACTTACACATATCCATAGTAAACATAGAATCTGATCATAGGTTCCAGAAGGTAAACACATTGAGTTGGAATAAGTCGCTGGATGGTGATGTCCTGCCTTACTGCTCTCAGGCGATCATTCACAAAGTCATATAATACCGGTACAGGCACATCCATTCTTCTTGTGACGCTGGAATAATAGACAAGAAGCCAGAATCAGTTGAGAAGTAATTTTACTAATTAAATGCCATAAGACACTATTTAATCTGTCAAACACCAAGCGGTCACCGGTGACCGCGACCTATTGTTCTTTAATTGTGTCTATAAAACTGGTACTCGACGAGTTAATATTATGTTGTAAGTGTAGTTCTGTCACTACAAATTCTTTGTAGATTGACACATATGGCACAATATTTAAGTACAACCTAAAATTGAGTAGCCTTTCAGTATTCAGACATTAATGTGGTGAGTCTAAACGAGAGTACCTAAGTTACATTACGAATATCACAATGTTTTAACTATAGTTTACAAACGTGTTTGTGTGTACGTGTGCTTCTATACAGTATTTAGACAGTCTTACTCAAGCAGCAGATACTGTACAGTGTTGGTAAGCACCGAGTACGGCCGCAGCAGATGTGGTACTGCCATATTGGAGTCCGCTGCTGATCTACTGTAGCTCTTCACAAGCCTTCTCTCACTCCCCCATACTTCTAATACATGAACTAGGCGTTCCGCCTCACGCCTGCAAAACGTAAATATCTCATTTGAGATGTAAATATAAAAAAAAACAATTATAGAAAGTTCAAAATCCTCCAAATGCATTTACAATTTGACTTCATCTTCAGGACACATTGAGTAACAAGTGCCTAAGATTCGATCTTCATTTTGTGTACTTTTTTCTCTACTCTCATTTTCTTTGTTCTGACAAAAGAAATCAAAATACGACGACATTGTTGTATGAGGAGTTTCTTGCAAACATAGGTAAATCAGTTGCCTGAGTCTTCGTAACTATTTTTATACATTTAGAAAATATTCTGTGCCTGTCGTGCACGTCGGCCGTTGGCTTGTTTTTGTTCAATATTTTTTTTATTGGCACTTTGACAGTCAGCACTTCAGTAATTTGCACAGACCTACTATAATATGGACCAGAAGTAATGATCTATAGCTTATTTGCTTATACAAATATATATCAAATCGATATAGAAATATGAAACAACACTTTGTCTCGTTTTAATCAATGAGTTTCCTCATTTGAAGAAAGAGACGTCATGTTGTTTGTTTATTCTCTGCCTGGCAACATTTCTACATTTCTGACAAGGTACCTACCTCGCGTGCCAGCCGCCATCTTTAGGCCGCATAGTTTTGTAGTACATCAGGTGTCAAATGAACAACAACATTAGATTTGGATTGCGATTTTTAACAATAAAAACGCTCCCGACTTATTTGCTTTGTGCTGTGAGTGTCTAGTGGTGCATATTTAATATGTCTACTTGTTCAATAATTCAGTGTGGGGCAAGGAAAAACCCCAATCAACCTCATTTGACTATGCACAGGTTAGTAGCCGTATTTTAAGAAAAAACTTTATCATACTATTAGTTTTCTTGTTTATCTAGCCTTGTTTTATATATAGAATAAAAGCCCCCAAATGTACATTAAATTTGTTTATGATAACTAACTTCATTTGCTAAATTTGTTTAAGTTTTGTTTACAATACAAATGACGATTTACAAATAGTGATGTATTTTATTTAATAACATATCGATAAGAAACTAACATATTTTTAGTTTGTATGTTATGGAGTCCAGTAGAGTAGAGTATCAAAATAAAGGGTCTGAAGAGACCATTTTGAAAATAAATCTTACAGAATAGAAATAAAAATAGGGATAGTACCATAACATAATAATATCAATTCTTCATACAGTAGGTACTTTCATTTAGTTCAGTCTATGATTTGTACCACTAAATGTACAAAACTGAAATAATTTTTATGTTTTTTTTTATTTCCACAAATTCCCTAAAAATGAAGTGCTGCGTCAGAAGTGGCTTTTTTTTTTAAGGGGGGAAAATCATCGATTGACTGCTCCCGCCTGGGTGAGGCGGAAGGGAGTGTCAGACTCTTACTGACTAAAAACCACCCCGTTCCTTCTCCTGCACGTCGAGCCGGAGCCCCGGTTACCCGTAAGGTTCTCCGCGACGTCAGAAGTGGCTTGAAGTCATTCGATGATTTGTACGTTTAAAAAAAATCCAAAGTACTAGAAGATTTTTAATGTATAAAACTCTGCTATCGATATCGATAGTTTTTGGTTTTGACTACAGTACTTCCCTAGCAATGGCAGCCATTTTTAGGCCTCGGTTTCTAGTAGGTATGCACGCGTATTTTGTAGGTATTTCTGGTCCATATTATAGTAGGTCTGTGGTAATTTGCTGTCATTAAGAACTTTGATTATTGTCTGTCAATGTCAAAATCAATGTCCATAGAGGCAAAGAGTATGATAAGTATAGGGGAACATAGGTACAGGTCAAAATTTCTAAGAGAGCGATGATCATTATTTTATCTCAACCATGGAATACAACATTTTACTATTCCATGATTTCAACTACCATGCCAGATATGTATCAGGGCTCACACACAAAACTGCGATGCTATGTGATGTGAATTCGCAACGTATGAAAAATATGATAGGTGTCTCCCAGGGTGACCATTCCCAAAGAGTAATATAATAAGTATACGGGACCATTCCCAAAGAGTAATATAATAAGTTTAGGGGAAACCATTCCAAAGAGTATATAATAAGTATAGGGGGGGGGGGGGGGAATCATTCCTTCGACGACCGTCAACCGTACTAAACAGGAGCAGTGAAGAGATGAAAAATGGTCAGTGTTTTGCCTGAAGCAAAGCGGAGCGGGGCGGAGTCGAATGGAGCGGAGCGGAGCATACTTTGGAATCGCGCATTTTTGTGGTTACGGTTTAGTTACACTCAATCTCATAAAATAGTACCATACGTCATGTTGTCGTTTAAAAAGAAAAAGGCAATCATTTTATATCTTTTTCTACATGACTGTTACGCCCCACTGTCGTCTGTTCTGCACCTAATGTTCGTTGTCCTCCGCACCGCATCGCGTTACTGCATTTTTATTATGAATATCCGCTCAGCTCTGCTCCACCCCGCTCGTGCTGTTTCCATTGACGTGCAGCGGAGATTTTAAGCATAGTGAATTGGTCGATTCGTGTATCGCTAAGCTCCTCTCACCGGCCTCACGGGCAGAAACTACTTTAACTAGACACTATTTTTTGAAACGGAAAATTAAGTTTTTCTGTAGTCATGAATCTGGCTGGGTGAACTTCACATAGGTACAAAATGTACTCTGTGCCACATATTGCCGATGACACGTTTACCTTGTCATCACTTTTTTGTGTGACCACACGTGGACACACGATGAGTAGTCAGGTACTCGTCGCGGAAACGCGGAAACGTGAGGAAACGCGGAAACGTGCAGGAAAGCTAACACAGTTCAACCTGTTGTTGACAAAATCATCCTTGTTTGAAGTCGATAAAAATAAAATACTTCACTTACTATACGTATGAATATCTTTTATTTAACGACAATTTCAATACTTAATTACAGTACTTCTTAACAACATCATTTAAGTTGTACCATTTTTGCTTTAAGTTCTTTTATTTCTTTTGTGTGCACCCATTTGATACCAGTTGCTGAAGCTGGACTAGATGGTCTGGAAATACATCTGTGGGGAAAACAGTTATTTTCGGTTGTTATTGGAAGTTCTGCTCTAAACAAACGAACCACATGTCAACTGCCATTAAACTGCAAATTGCAGTTTGGATACAGTCTGAACGCAGTTGGTGTCAACAACAACAAACAAAGAATCAAAAAATTATATTATTTTCCAAACTAAAGCAGGTGGCTCAGATTTTATGATTCCATAATACAAATAAAATGAAGCACTATTCAGGATAACGTAAACAAAAATTTTGACGAAAAAATAAAGAATAAATTGTAAAGCAACAAAAGTATAAAAACTGGCACAGGGTGTACTTTTTTGTGGATAACACAAGTCATTGTAATTTAAAAATTAAATGAATTGGATTTTTTTATTTTTCTGAGAACCGTTAAATCATTGCCGATCACCTGGTGCCATTTGTAAATCCCCAACCCCTAAAAGCTGGCCAACCACTTTATCTACTTACTCAATTTTTTGCTGGAAGAGGTTCTCCATGCGAACTTTACAGAAGAGCCAAGCTCCTTGGTTCTTGTGTTCCTCTTGGCACCAACATTTTTGTGCCTTCTCATATTTGCAGAATTCCTTTAGCACCAAGTCGTAAGGGAATGGATATAGCTGTTCAACACGACATATTGCGATTTTATCTTCTAGTTTCTTTTCTTTCCGTGCATCGTTTATCTTGATGGCGACATTACCGGTGCAGAAAATCAGTTTCTTCACGCCATCAGGTTTTTTGCTGGCAGGTCCGTCTTCTGGGATTACCCTGTCGAATAAACGACATGGTGAATACCTAGTTTTTTTCTATTTCATGGTGAATACAAATGTACCTAATTCACAAAATACTTTTCAGGTAAAATTTGACAAATTCAGTAACTTTCGGTCACACACATAAATACACGCCCTTGTCGCAGGGGGTTAGGCCGAAATTATAATGTTAATATTATTCACAGATATAATATCTATTTATCTAATTAATTTACAATACAAGTTCATATAGAGACTGAAGATGTATTCAGTTCAGGGTGGATGTGTAATAATATGTCAACTTACGACTGAAATGAATAACCGATAGGTACCTTTTAAAAGTAGTTCCAAGGTAAAAGTCCGTCAACGGCGACCGAAAATAGGGATGCTTGAGGCCGACTTTTGGGGAGAACGTGACCAGTGGCTTACGGAACGGCAACGCAATTTGTCGCCGGATCATGTGAAAATAGTTTGCTGGGGTCGTTGGGTTAGCCACGATCCAGTTGCATGCTCGCAACTGCTTCACTGAACAAAACGTTATTAAGGAAATAACAATTGCTCTATTTACTGAAAAGTTAATTCTATCAAATAGGTTGGCCAATCATGGTGATTTGTTCCCCTTTTACTTTTTTTATGGAATAGGAGAGGACGCCGTACATATAGAAACGCCGTACGTGGACAGAGGAGCAGCAGCAACTTTACATAAGTATTATAACAAGTTGGTATAAAACAATTATGTAGATACTTACGCGCCATATTTTTGTCGTCGAGATTAGGTATAGCTTCCTCGTCATCATCACATTGCTGCAGATATCTCTCGATGCGCCCAGAAGAGTGCTCGGGACCCTGCCATTATTAATATTTTAAAGTATTGTCTTATATATGTTATATATAGTGTCTTCTAATCAAGTAGCCACAATAAAGTAAAGACTTACACCACCATCGATACCATGTGGTAGATGCATCACCAGCCCGGACTGACAGACCCACTTGCTCTCCCCGTTCGTGATGAATGTGTCTATGATTGGCTGCGCCGTGTCTGCAAAGTCTCCAAACTGAGCCTCCCAGATGGACAGCACGTACGGGCTCGAGTACGAGTAGCCACACTCATAGCCCAGGATACCTGTACATGAAATAACCAACATAAAGCATGTCAGGAGAGCTATTGTTGGTAGGTAAGTACTTATCTAAGTTCGGAAGTTTTATTTACCATATTCAGAGAGCGAACTATTGTGTAGCGAGTAAACAGCCTGGTCGGGGTACAGGAAGTCTAGCACGCGGTACACAGCGCCGTCGACACCTTGGTGGTGGTACACATGATGCCTGCCGACAAATTACAATCACTTAAATAGATACTCTATTTAGTTACTACTACAATTCCTACAACACAACTTCCTACAAGAACACGTCTGAAACCAAGTTGTGGCGCATCATGCGGCGCCACACAATCATTATGACGACAGTACCTGTGTGCCATGGTGCCTCTCTCTACATCCTCCCCTGTGAAGCGAATGTGCACTTTATCGCGTAGTAGCGAGCCGTAGGCCAGTGCTTCGCCTATCGCCCAGTCTGCGATACCGTCGGCAATCTGCGCGTTTCAAAAATCACTTTTTTGTACTTAAGCAAGTTTACTACATATAGAATTACGAACCTACAAGTTAAAACGCTTATTATCATTGCGTATTGGAAGCTTGTCTTATCAATCAAATACCAGTTTTTCTCGATTTTTCAGTATTTTAGTGACACCAGGATGTATCTCGAAGGCCCATGGCTCCGGCGGTTTGACAAAATGATTCGTAATGGTCGTAACCGTTTGCTGACTTATTCCTGTTTCTTTAATCTGAAACAAACATCGTTTTACTGCTCTTATGTATTAACTAACCCCAAGACAAAGATTGTAGGAACTGTACAAGAAGATACCACGTTAGGGTCGACGGATTCAAAGAAGCCCGTCCAAGGAGTATCGACCCAGTCCATGATGCAGAGTTTGGTTATTTTCTTAGACATATCAAAGTGAGTGTTGAGCGTGTTTGTATACTCCTTTTCCCATTTCTTTATATCAGCGTCCGTCGCAATTCCATTAGCCTTCAGATGATCAGCGTACATTAGGTCAACTGTAATAAAATGACATTGATATTAAAATCATCTACTCTAATTGGTACTATTTTCGCATTTTAGAAAAAGAAGACAAACTTGTTCTCATTTTTCTGATCTTCTTGTACATGAAGGGTTGCGTGTACATGGGCTCGTCCTCCTCGCTATGGCCGTAGCGGCGGTAACACACGAGGTCTATGACCACGTCCTTCTTGAACTTGCAGCGGAACTGGATGGCTACTCGCCCCACATACGCCACCGCCTCTGGGTCGTCTCCGTTCACGTGCAGGACGGGCGCGTCGATACATTTCGCAATATCTGCGGAATGTCAGTCGAATACTTCACACATTATACAGTCTGTTCTGTGATCATAAGTTCTTTAATGCTTTCAAAAATATTTAACTTTAGATGAATATGAATCTAACCCTCGCGTTAGATTCTTTTATCATGAAGACCGATAGGTATGTTTAATCTGCGCTCTGACAACAAACGACTAGAAGTTAACTATGTGTTGATAAGCTGAACGTTTATTTCTGATCATCTCCACAATATTCTCAATCCTTGTAGAGTGATGCAAGCACTGCCTCATTGGTCGAGTGGTCGCAAGTGCGACTGCCGCGCAAGGGGTCTCGGGTTCGATTCCCGGGTCGGGCAAAGTATTACTGGGTTTTATATAAATTCTCAGTAGTAGCACGGAGTCTGGAACATAAATAGTGAAAAGTGGGTGTTACATTGTACCTACTGGTACTATTAGTGGCATTAAGTGCCGTAATGTGCACCTCTGACTACCCCTTCGGGGATAAAAGGCGAATGTTATGCTGTTATGCTGATGCAAGCAGACACGTAGAGTCGCCACGAAGCAGCCGCAGGTGGTAAATAATGTTTATATTCTTCGGTAAGCATTACTATACTCTATAGAGAGGACAGTAATAGATGAGATATAGGTACCTGAGCAGTATGGCGAGCTTCTATGGAATCGAGGCTCGGTGGTGTACCCGATCTGATTGTTGCAGATAATGTGGACATTTCCATGCGTTGTGAAGTTAGGCAGCGCACTCAACCCGACAGTCTCAAACACAACACCCTGTCCGCATATTGCTGCGTCGCCATGCATGACTATCGCCATAACCTATTAAAAATTAAAATTGATATTGGTGATATATGAAATTATGTACCTATTTGTAAATACACCAACGACACAAGTGAGAATTTTGGGACAGAGCAAGATAAGTACTTAAATCGTAAATAGAGATTAATAATATCTTAATGGTATTTACCTTGTCACCGTTACTGTCACCCTTGAAAAACTGTTCCGCCTTGGCTTTGCCTAACACCACGGGGGAGACCACCTCCAAGTGAGATGGATTGGCGCTCATTGCTACCTTGATGTACCTGTTGGTTCGTCTGATGAACCGGTGTATGTTTGTACCTAAATGGTACTTGACATCGCCGGAAACCTGAATATAACAATCTGGATTACGGTACTCAGTATCAAAGATAATTATTATTTTATATATTTATTAAAATATATCCATATTATAATTAAATCGAGGTTTTTTATACTTAATAGGTCGACGTTTGACCACCATCTCGCCTAGTGGTAAGCGATGATGTAGCCGACGATGGAGCACGCCTACCTATTAGCAACCTGTTCACTCGGCACTTGAAGACACACAAGTCATATTTGACGAGAAATACGGACTCTGGCAAAGAATTCCATTCCTTAGCGGTTCGCATGAGGAAGCTTGACGATAAGTTTACTTACTTGTTACAAGGGCTTACGAGAGTTTTTAAAATGTTATGAAGTTGATGAAATTTGTCCAAACCCAAGGGTTCAAAAGGCCGTGGTTAATACAAGTGTGTAATTAATAATTATATAACTTACACTTTCTTTAGGCTCGAGAGGTTTAAACTGAGCGAAGACGTCAGCCAACTGTTTGCGACACACATTTACCAGCATGTTCAGACGACCTTCGTGGAAATGATTATTTGAAATAATGTAGAGTAGTATGTATATAATATACTTATATGAATAGGATATTGAAATATGTAGACGTAAAATAAACATTGCCTCTATATTATACAGAATACGCGCAGGCTTTGCTCCAATCGTGCAATCACAAATATTGCATCCAGACTGTAACTTTATGGGCTTACCTCGATGCTGCATGGCCATGATAATAGATTGCACTCCGAGCTTGGTGCTGGTGTCCACGATCTCCTCCAACATCAAGATCATGCTCTCGCCGCCCTCCAAACCAAATCTTTTCTCTGATGGCCATTTAGCCGCGAAATACTTTTCAAGGCTGTAACATTTATTTACAATTTTTATACTCGACAACATACATTAAAGGGATGTCCATTCCATACATTAAAGGGCACCTGTTTGAACGACGACTTAAGAGTTTTTGTGTGGAAGAACGGCCTGCGTAAAGACCGTAAGATTCCCTTCCCTCACGTAAGTGAATCTCTTCACAACGGTGATTATCGGATTGTTTGTTTGTAAATAAATTAATAAAAACTAACAACACAGCCTTCGTGAGCCGGCGCATGATGTGTTTCTTCTCAGCATCAGGTATGTCCATAGCACCAGGCTTCTCCATCTTCTCCCTGAGCCACTGCACTGCATCCACGTCATACATGTGCATATACTCTATGCCGATAGACTGGCAGTATACGTTCTCCAGCCGGGAGATTATCTCCCTAAACATGTAATAATTATTGCTATTACTTAATGTTTTCCAAAATGCAAGAATAGTATCTAACAATACGTGTAGTTGGGTAGAGCGGCTAGAGTGTAAAAACGTAATATGTAACCAACTTTTAAAATTAAAAAGTTTAGCAGTGTAACCAGAATACTGTAAGGCTATGTAATTTTAGGTTGTACTTACTTAAATATCGTGCCGTCGCTATCATTTTACAAAGAATTTGAAGTGACAGAACTATACTTAAGTTGAGTAGCGTTTCAGCATTCGGGCATAACTGGCCCATTGATAAAATGTTATTGTTAAGTCTTTGGATACAGACGTTAAGACGTAGGTACTACTTAAATAGTCATTATTGTAAGTACATTGATGCAGTATGTTTCACCTGAGCGTCAATTGAGTTTCAGAGCCACCAATAAAAGTTCTTGAAGGTAGTTCAAAAACCATGTCCATGTGTTTTTCACCTAGAAAATAGTAACAGTTTAAATACACTTAAAACAGGGAAGAATAATTAATCGAGCCATAGTTTTAGTGGCCATGTGATTTAGAGCCTAGTAGACATGCAGTATCATCGGTACTTTACTTACCCAGTTCAGATATCATCTCGCGAGCCACCAAGTTACACTGCAGTCCTTTGTGGTCAGGCGACAGGTTTTTGGCGTGGGCCAGGAAACCGGCAGGCAATGTCAAATTCAAAGGGTCTACTTTCGCCATCAGATGACCACGAGACTGTAGGAGCAATATATCTATATTAGGTATTTACTAAGGTCGTGGTGACCTGGATATTAAAGAGCCTGCTTCCCGAGTATGAGGGTTCGAAATCTGGCAAATACCATTGTAACCGTTTCCGACTTATTGTGACCTATACCGATTATTTAAATACCACTGACATAAGATGAAAGAACACATCGTGAAGAAACCTGGACTTATCTTTCTAATCACCAGTTCGCTTTGAGGAAGCATGGTAATTAATGTTCTTTTTCCGTGGGAGAAGAGACCTTTACTCTGCAGAGGATGACTATGTAACCTACCCATGTTCTTCTTTCGGCGGCACGTAAAAGGTAAATATCCGTGAATTTTGTCCTGACGTTGACAACAGAAAACTGACGAAAAACCCCGCTTCCTAAATAAATAAAAAACTAAAGACACCAATAAACTTCTATAGATACCTACTTTTGCTAATTGCATAACAAGTAATTAAATAAATCTTGTAATGAAATTGTCCCATTAACAACCAAAGGCCCTAAAGGTATCCAAAGAATATCCTCACCTGATAACCTCTGATCAAGCTGGCTACTGCCAAATTGAGCTTAATTTTGATCCTAAACTCTTCCTCTTTGTCTTTGCCTTTGGAGCCTGACTTCGACTCTGTAAATTAATTATTAGATAATTTATCGGTAGATTCGCTAATATTATATTATCATACGGTCAAAAATAATACAAAATGAAACACGTTCCTAGTCTTTGAATCGATTTAGGTTAAAACAGAAATGCAATAGACTAATGGCAAAAATCGACATTCATCTATTTTTTTTTATGGGGCAGGCGCCCCAACCTCCCAAAACGCGAATGAAGTTTGTGTTCTACTTACTGACAGTTTTAGGGCTAAAATCATCTTGCATTTCTTCTATTTTTAAAGCTGGACCACAAAGGCTGTCGTAGAATCCATCCCAAGACTGCAAAAGATGATTAAATAGCGAGTGCCGTTTCGGGTCATCAGAATAAAATGTAGACCGAACGATTAGTCAAAAAACCTCTAATATCAAAAACTCTTGCAGGTATATTTTTCATCACATTATTAATACGTGTAAACATCTCAAATATTTGAATTACATACTGTGATCGTAAAAACTAACTCACGGAGTCTACTGATCCTTTAGACTTGGCCCAGTCCAGGTACTGCGCCTCCAGAAAGTTGGCGTTCGCCCCGCAGAGGAACGACTCGGCGTTTGTTGACGCGTTCAATTTTATTTGTATCAGACATTGCTACAACAAATTACTATCATTAAGTTAATAGGGATATGTCCAATGAAAGTCACGGCTATGGACAAGGATGTATCACCACTTTCTTAAAAGATAGAGTGACAAAGAAGCCAAAGGCGGGAAAATTGGGCCTGTCGTAACCTCAATCTCTTCCTCTCACTCAACTTGCAGCAATTAAAGGTTCCTTAATGATATTTCCCTCATTTTGTTTGTATTGTAACTTGTAATTGTAAGTATACTTCATATAATGTAAATGTACACATAATATAACACACCTTATTTCGACTGCCTGTCAATAAAGTAAAAATAAATAAAGAACAAGAGCAACTCACCTTAGGATTGCAAGCAAAGTATTTATTAGAACTTCTGATTAATGTTCGTGCCAAAGACATATCTAACCTGAAAAAAACATACCTATTACCTACATGCCCATAGTCGAACCAATTAGGAAGCTTCCTACTACTTACTTGCCTGAGAAATCTCATAGGCTTTCTGGGTGTTCTAATACTTTTGTGACTAGTTGTACCGCCGACAAAGATAACCAGGATTTTCACTCTTAATTCATTAAGTAAAATATAAAAGTAGGCACCTACTCACCTTATATGAAAAATATTTTGGTTATACTTTTATCAATAAACATTTGTGAATTTCATTTAATTAAGAATTTAAATTAAATAAAAATATTAAAAAGAAACATGTCAGAACTCTGTACGGTTCTGGATTTTTCTTACAGAATTTGACAATTGCTGTAACTTTGTAAATAAAATATGATTTCTTCTTCAAACACGTAGACTTTATTCAGCCAGTATCTTATTGACATTCATCGAATAGTTTCTTTCAACTTCCATGTTTCTGGGGTTGATTTAAGGACTTGAGGACGTTGTAAATCGTCCTGAAGACAAGGTGGGGCATACAGTGGCGATGTGTCTTGAGTGGGCTGAGTACCGCTGTGTCCTCAGGGAGGTGGTCGGCGACCGCGACCTCCTGCGTCCGGCTCTGGTTTAGGCCCTGGGCCGGAACCTAGCCAAGGAGGCGGCGAGGGGCGTGAGTGAACGACCTCCTCACGCCCCAACCGTCGCGGGAGACACTCCGGGCGTCCGAGATCGCGCGACGATCTCCGGCCACCGTAAATGCGGGTTTGCGGACGTTGAGTAAGAGTAGCTCACCAACCGACCAGAACCAGACCCGTACGTACGGCGCGTTGCTATCGGACCACCAGCAGGGCTGATGCCCGATACGGAGCCACCGAAGGCCTAACGAGTTACCGGGGCTCTGGCTCAAGAACAGGAGTAGGAACGGGGTGGATTTTAGTCAGTAAGAGTCTGATACTTCCTCTCGCCTAACCCAAGGCGGGAGAAGTTATTTGATGATATTCCCCCTCAAAAAAAGGACGTTGGAAATAATACTTACTGACTGCACGGTTGGTGCGGTGGCTGGGCAACCGGCTGCCGTGCAACGTGTCGCGGGTTCGATTCCCGCACGAAACAACACTTTGTGTGATCCACAAATTGTTGTTTCGGGTCTGGGTGTCATGTGTATGTGAACTTGTATGTTTGTAAACGCACCCCGATACAGGAGAAAATCCTAGTGGAGGCAACGTTTAAAAAAAAAGAAGAAAAAAAACTTAGCTTGCGTGAAAAGGCATCACGCAAAATATATAAAAATAATGTAAAACGTTGCCAAGACGAGACCATATAGCTCGCACTAAAGTATTCATGTCATGTAGAGTCAAATTTTTAACTGTACATGTACACAACTGCCTAGTACTAATTTAATACAAATACTACCGTAGCCGTCTCTCGTACTACATCGCGTAGTTCGTAGCGCTTAGCATCGTTTTATGCACTGAAAACGTAGCTCGTAGCACAGTAACTCTTATCGTCGTAGCTCGTAGCGCGTAGCATCGTTTTCTCCACAGAATACGTAGCTCGTATTTCGTAGCGCGTAGCATCCCTTTCTCCACGGTATACAATAAAGATTAATAGAGGGTAAACGCTGCTACGCGCTACGAACTACGTGCTACGAGTTACCGCTATTGTACATATCATCGCGACTTATAGATACATAATATATATAAATATACAGGCGTACATATGTAATGCCACATGTCAGTTAGCCTGAGGTTCAAGTCTGCTATTTTAACAAAATTGGTAATACACACTTTTATCTTTAAATGGGTATTTGGTATAGTACATTAAAATACTATTTATTGATATTTTTTAATCAGACTGCGCGGTTGGTGCGGTGGCTGGGCATCCGGCTGCCGTGCAACGTGTCGCGGGTTCGATTCCCACACGGAACAACACTTTGTGTGATCCACAAATTGTTGTTTCGGGTCTGGGTGTCATGTGTATGTGAACTTGTATGTTTGTAAACACACCTACGACACATGAGATAATATTAGTGTGGGGCAATGTTTAAAAAAAATATTTATTGAAATAAACAACTTTGCAAAATTCAGATTTAACAACAGGAAATGAGATAAAATTAATTATTTGCTACCAATGAATTTGCTGTTTGGTTCGAATATGTATCTGGTATACTTGTTGGTTTAACTGTTTTGGCAAAACAAATTATGGTAACTGCGTCCTATCCCAGATTATAGTTAATTTAACATTTATCGATACGCAAAATCTTATCGCGTTCAATCATCATGTTTTGGAAAGTTAAATATTTTTAACTGTTATACAAATCAATTGATGATATGTAAGTAATTATCTAAATAGAAATATAATAAGTAGTAGGTTACTAATATAGGATACTACATATTCCACAGTTTTCTTTAGTCGATGTCATGTTTCCGCATAATGTTCTATTTGTTTCGTGTTTAATCCTTGGCATCCAAGTAATTAAAGTAAGTATATAATTATTGAAATATAAATATGGTTTGTAGATTATAATATAATCGGGTTTAATGTGCAGGGTCGAATTCCTCGTCAAATATAATTATTATTACATGAGAGAGCCGCAAAACATAACATTTACATTTATTATTTCTCACGTAAGTTATAATAGGTACTTATAAATATGTTTACATAACATAACATCACGCCTTTTATCCTCGAAGGGGTAGGCAGAGATGCACATTATACCACTGTACAACGCAACATCGATTTTTCACTATTTATGTTATAAGTCCCATGTAATAGGGGGTGAGCCTATTGCCATATATCGGGCACAGTTCCAGACTCCGTGCTACTACTCAGTATTTTTTAAAAACCCGGTAATTCTTTGCCCGACCCGGGAATCGAAACCGAGACAATTACGAAGTGACATAATGCGTTTACTTCATTACTTGCAGAGCTTGGAAGTGATACCCGAAAGGGCAAATGTGACATTCTCGAACCCCGAATACGCATCAAATGTGTCAATAAACATTCGGCGGTACAGCAGGAAGTCTGCCTACTACATCAACTTGATGGGCACCAACATGCAAACCTGGACTAACAATATTACGGTAGTATATTTTTTATTATTTTTTTGGGGTTGGGGTGACCCTACTCTATTCCCGCGTGTCGCGGAGAACCTAACGGGTTACCGGAGCTCCGGCTCGACGTGCAAGAGAAGGAACGGGGTGGTTTTTAGTCAGTAAGAGTCTGACACTCCCTCCCGCCTCACCCAGGCGGGAGCAGTGATTCAATGATTTCCCCCCCTTAAAAAAACTCGTTTCCCGCGTCTATTAAACATTTTTGAAATTCACTTGTTTTAAGAAGTTATTGTGGTCTGTGATCTTAACAGTGTATTTACTATTATTTGCTTTGCTTGCAGGCAGATGTTAAAATCAGCCAGTACTTGCACAATGAGTACCGGCCCTCATTCGTGGGCTTCCACTACAAGTTGTGCGACCTCGTCAATAAGGAACCCTTCATTGGAGGTGCTATCAAGAACTCGGGTCTGGTATGCCCCTTGCCTCCTGTAAGTTCTGAACGAAACATAGTATTATTATACCTACATAACCATTATTTTTTTCTCTTCTTCCTACTCTTACTTCAAGCTATTTCAGACCGCCAGACGTTATTCCATAACTTCTTCCAGTTTCCTATACATATTTAGATAGTTTCTGTTCTTTGTCCACAGGGCTATCACGCTGTAATGAACATAACAGCACCGACAGAAAACTTCCCCAACGTGTTTCCCTTCGAGAAGGGACGCATAGAGTTCACAGTGTCCCTTACCAGCACGAGCGAGCCAGTCCTAAAGCTCTTCATCGAAGCTAGGTTCAAGCAAAAATGATTTATTTGTATGAAATATTAAACAAAGTTTCCAAAATTATTGTTGTTTTCATTGAAATTTCAATACCGTCAGAATAAAGTAAAATAAATGTAAGTTGAGAATCTTCGAAGGACGTGCGGTTTGAATTGGCAAGTAGGTACCAATGTGAGTTTTGCAATGTTAGTTACTAAGATTTTCAATTAGGCATCACTGATACTTGAGGAATCCTGGACTTGTTAATTTCACATTGTAAGTTTGGAATCGTAAACCCGCCTTGAGCAAGGATGGTGAATGCTATGGCAAATAATTCATGAATGTTTATTCTTTCTCCATTATGTGAGAAGAGGTCTTTTGGCGCCAGTTGAAGTAGGACAATTAGAGGCTGATGGTGGTGGTGATGATGATGAAATTTGAGTTAAAGACAAGATTGACTTCAAAGTTATAGATGTAGGTAATTTGGAATTGTGTAACGATGAAATTTCTTGTTCGTCTTTCTCCATACGAATCTACATATTGAAATGGACATCCACATAACTGTACTGGCGAACAGACTGGCGGCCGACAATTCAAAAGTGAGACTTTGAGTCTGAATTCAATCAGTCGCTGCAGTCGCACCCGCTCCGGCTCTGTTATAGAATAAGAAGAATATTTGTGATATTGTATCGACATTCAACATCGCTCAGAAATATTGTGACGTGTCCGATGTGGACTTACCATTAAAAAGAAAAGCAATCATCAATATGAATTTATCATCGGGAATTATGAATGTGGTTCATATTAAGAAAAGATTACAAATACAATAATTTAGGGTTTTCCTCCACCTGTAGAGTTCCCCTTAATCTTGAGACGTCATTTATTCAGTCCCATGCATCATGCATTAGACTCAAATGGGTTTCTCTACTCATACTGGAACTAAAATAGTCTACGTTTAGTTGATTTAAATATTATTTAAGCCATAACTACCCATATCTATCTACTGAAAACAAATTATAATAATTACCTGCATACGCAAACTGCCTAGTTTGTATTTCATTTTGTATTTATCGATGTTATCATTAAATAGGATCATATTATGGAAAAAATAAATTGTTTTCTATTATTAGGTAGTCTAACTAAACTAGATACTGATCCTAATTTCCTAACACATGTAGATGTCACAGGTAACCTAGCTATTACTATCTTCGGCTGCGTTAGAATCATGTTACGACCTCTTCCTGTATCTCTTCTGATGTTGATAATTGTCCATGTCATCGAAGTAAGTACCTACTTTGCTGTAATTTTGCAATTGAAAGTCAAAGTCAAAGCATTTATTTCAACTAGACCACGTAGGTACTGGCACTTTTGGAACGTCAACAATAGAATATCTGCGCATCAGTGAAGCTCGGTGCTCGTTCCAAAAATTATGGAGAAGAACTGACAGGTAGGTAAAGCTAGTTCTTTTAAAACATATTATACATTCTCATTAATCCATAATTTTTATCCAAAATTGTACATACCTAGGAGTAATAACAATACCTTAATTAATCTAAGAGTTATAATTAAAGATCAAGATCAAGAAGTCATCACTAATTACTTAGGTACAGATTTAATTTGTGTCTTGGTCCTTTATCGAGGAATTATCTGAACTCACGTTACGGTTGTGTGCTAGTGGTAGTGGTACTGTCCTACAGAAGCCATTGCTCATAGAAACTCCAGTCTAATTTAGGCTCTGACTAGGTATTGAATAAAGATCGATCACACACACGTAAGGAGAATATGAAGATTGACATTGGCCGGTGACGTGGGGATACTGTACTGTACTGACTTATACCTCTAGTGTATGTCACAAAACATTTACCACTCCTACTAATCACCCGGTCTTATAGGCACCTATTCTAAAGTTTTCAAACTTAACTTAACCTTTCGTGTGTCTAAACGCGGATCCACGCGAGACAATGTATTTTCTATTGTGTCTCATATCAGTGCATTCAAGTGGGTAAATGAAATTCAATTCAATTAATTCTATCAGTTAAGGAAACCAGATCTTCTAGCGATATCGTTTGTTTACACTTACAGAGCATGGAAGTGATTCCCGAAAGAGCAAATGTGACGTTTGTGAACCCTCAGTACACGACGAACTTGACGATAAACATTCGGCGCTACAGCAGGAGGTCTCGCTACTACATCAACTTGATGGGCACCACCAGGCAGATGTGGAATAACAACATTACGGTTCGCGACATTTCTATAATTATGTACAGGCTTTTTAAATATTCTTGAGAAAACAATTAAGACCTTTGCTTGATTTAACATTTCTATAAAGCAAAAGCAAAGGTAGGTACTATCGGTAAAGTTTACGGTTTACACTACCCACTTTTCTTGTGGCAAACTCGTTTACCACACCCTGGATTTTCCTATGGTCACTCGCGCTAAGAGCATGCGAATATTTCCCAATGATGGTCGACCGCCAAAGTTATCGATCGTACCTACCTAGAAAGTACTATTTGAAGTGATCTTAATATGAAAACTTTAAATTGAGATCAATGTTAGACATTTTTTTGGCCGACTGTTCGCAAGTGCGACCGCCGAGCAAAGTATTACTGAGTCTCCGGGTCGAGCAAAGTATTACTGGGTTATTTATAAATTCTCAGTAGTAGCCCGAAGTCTGAAATTGTGCTCAGAATATGGCAATAGGCTCACCCCCTATTACATGAGACTCATAACATAAATAGTGAAAAATGGGTGTTACATTGTACAGTGGCAAATGTATACCTCTGCCTACCCCTTCGGGGATAAAAGGCATGGTGTTATGTTTTGTTACCTTGAACGTCTGTCAAAAAATGTACGTATCGATCCATATAGTTACTATGATAATTTCAGCCATTGCATGTTTACTATCCTATTTAAACATTTACCAAATAACATATCTTTGCAGGTGGATATAGAAATCAACCAGTACTTGCACAACGAGTACCGGCCCTCGTTCATAACGCACCATTATAAGTTCTGTGACCTTGTAAATAAGGACCCTTTCATCGGTGGGGCCATCAGGAATGCTGGTGTGGTGTGCCCCTTGCCTGCTGTGAGTGTATTTGTTACACAAGTAGAGTAGATGACTATATAATAAAAAAAGTTCCATAAAAATCTGCCCATTAATTCCGGAGATTAACGTTCGCAAACCTAATTACAAACCATTTTTTTTTCAACTGCAGTTTCTTTATCACCCTACTCTTGTTTTAATTAAAAAATAAATAATTTAGGGGCACATTTTTCTACTGGTTTATACACATGTATACATAGATCATGTACATTTCAGGGTTACCACGGTATAATGAACATAACAGCGCCGACGGAGCACTTCCCCAACGTGTTCCCCTTCGAGAAGGGACGCCTCGACTTCGTTGTGTCGCTCACAAACACAAACGAAGTCATTTGTAAGCTCTACGTCGAAGTTAGATTCAAACAGAAATGAAAACTTAGATTAATATGTAATACAATACTATACTTAATTTATTAAAAGTACTAAGTAGTCTTCAATTTTGTGATTTTATTACGCCAACTCTCTCTTTTTCCCTATAGTCAGGTAAGGAGATATCCGAGAGCGCTACATTCTAACTACGATACTTATACCTGGGAATATTTTCCCGTCAATATGTCCACTGGAACTAGCATAAGTCTTTTTTTATGGGATAAGCCGGTATACGAGCAGACGGATCACCAAGCAATCAGCAAGCAATCGGCGTCGCCCATGGACATCTGGAACACCAGAGGCGTTACAAGTGCGTTACCGGCCTTTTGGGATTAGGAATTTGAGGATTGTTGGGGATTCAGGGACTGGGGAAAGGGTAATTGGGTATTTTATCTTCCAAATAAATTATGTTGACTAATGCTAAAAGCCAAATGGCGAATTATGGAGAAACTTTTTTTGTCATTTAGAAATGTCCTGTATAGTACAACAGAAACGTCAGTTTATTCTTGTGAATAAATACGTAAAAGTTATAAAAGCGGATGAGAAATAAAACATTAAATAAAATTATTACAAAATTACTTTATTTTGATTTACAATCTCACATGTTTGATATCACAATATTGAGAGGATTTTACAAAGAACTTGTTCAATTGCTGAGCAAACGTGTGCGGCATTTTAATACGTTTTTCTAATACAACTAAAATGGAGGATAAAGACAAAGTTATACTATCATTGTTAAAATTGTATTTACAAAGATACATAATCCATTCAACATCAACTATAAATGCAAATAACCACACAAAACTAAATTGTATTACACTGTAAATAAAGTTTATTTCAGAACAACTACGATAAAATATTCATTTTATTGTAATAAATAGATAAATTGATATAAATAGAATACTTTAGATATAAAATATCATTATTTTAAATAGAATCCAAGACACTCTGATGGAATGTAATGAATATACACTAAAAAACGAAGAAATGAGGTAACGAAAATACGTCGAGTCTTTATAAAACTGATTTTTTTTTCTAAACATTCAAAATGTATTGACAATAAGTATTAAAATCTCATCAACTTAAATGTAACATCAATATAGTAACAACAATTGACAAACATAACATATTTTACAATTGGAAGCTTGCAATTTAAGGTATAATAATCATAACATGTTATTTCATAACAAAATTATGTAGTTAAAAAAAAAAAACAATATTTCATAAAACGAATATGTGGAAAACTGCAAAGGTAATGTAACGTAACATTTTAAACCAATATTTAAACAAATCTGACATGTTTTATAACTCGGACTTGTACAGATGCGCATCAACATATGCCATGACATATTGTTGAATATCTATTACTTAAAGAACATTCACTTGCACTTAGATATATTGCTTGTAAATTATCAGATACATGACAAAATCTCATATTGCTGATAAGTTAATAACATATCCGATATAAATCACAATTATAATGCATTCATGTGGCTACGATTTATTTTACAAAACGTATACAAAATTGTTCTATACTTAACTAAATACAGTCGAGTTATCCTTAGCTATAATACATAGTATTTACCTAGGTGTTCTCAATTGCAGACAAACTGCACAGTTGCGTAACGTAATATTATCATCAACGTAAATAAAAATGAATAGCTATAAGTATTTCATTTCATTAAAGTCTTCATTAAGAGCGCCCTTATGAAGCGGTCAAAGACACAATCAGATTTTTTATAATTATGTTTATTTATGGAATAGGAGGCAAACAAGCAGACGGATCACCCGATGGTAAGCGATCAAGCCGCTCATGGACACCTGGAACACCAGACGAGGTGCGTTGCCAGCCTTTTAAAAAAGAATACGCTCTTTACGATTTTAAACAACATTATCTTTGCAAAAGCACAGTTAAGGATAACCCGACCAAATTACATACCTACATCCTAAAGAGGCAACGTTGTGGTTCGTCCTAACTATTCGGTTTAGTCGGCTTTCTTTGCTTTAGGCTTCTTTTCTTTGCTTGGCTTCGGCTTCGAAGGATAGATCACGAACAACGCCAGTTGAGATCCACACAATACTACTGCGACTAGATTTTGTATCTGCAAATATAGGTAAAAATATAAGTAAGACTAAAATAATAAACAAATATGTACATACAGCTTAAAATAAAGTTTGGTTTATTTTATACTTTTTACACATAGCATCAAAAAATTAGTCCGATTTGACGTACGAATTTTCATTTTTAAAAGTAGATGGTTAAAAAATTAAGAAAGTAGTAAAACAATCAAAGGAAACTTAGATTAAACAATAAAAAAGAAAAAGGGGTTGTGATAGGATGATGTCTGTAAGGCGAGAATACAAGACTGATTTATATTGATTGATATTTTGAAGAACCCTATAATGACAATTTCATCACACATAACAGGCGTTGTACAGTGAGGTGAGAGCTAGGAACTAGTAGAGGAAGGACCTGGCGCTCCCTCCAGGTAGGTATTTATGGAGGCCTCCAGGGTAGTTTTAATGAGGTAAGAAAACCAAACTCCTTAAGGCCGATTACTCCAACGCTACTTTAATTTTATTAGAGAAATAACTTTGAATATTGGACAATTCTTCCATACTAAAAACTGTTTTATGTCAATGTTATTCTTCAGTTAAGAATTAACTGTTGAATGAAAAATCGGGCCTTAGTTGACCTACTTATAAACCTTATTTGAAAGTTCCCTCAACATCAGAAAAAAAAACTGTGATGTGATATATAGATTAAATAAACAAAATGAAGTTCAATATTAATATATCTATAAAAGAAAGTCGTGTTAGTTACACCACTTACAACTCCAGAATGGCAGAATAGATTTGGCTGAAAATTGGTAGGGAGGTAGCTTAGAGCCAGGAGACCGACATAGGATACTTTTTAACCAAAATTTTTTTTTAACTTTTTACCGAAAATCACGAACGAGGACGGGAAAAAATGGGATTACGCGTACGAAGTCGCGGGCAGAAGCTAGTACATGATAATTATACATGTTTCCGACTTACTCACGTAACTGTTTGACGACGAACTCGACTAACTTTGAGTAGGTGCGCGAAATTCGCCGCGTCCCGGGTCTCGGAATGCTGCTCATGAATATGAGCCTAGCATGGCTTGAAACTAGTCGAGTTACTCGTCAAACAGTTACGTGTGTAAACCGAAAACATGATAATTAATTTAGTATGTCTCACGACAGTTTTAATATAAACATAATACATGATACTCACAAGTAGGAACTTGTTCCTGAGTATGATGCCGTACAGCAGCCACATGAAGGTGACGATGGACCCCGACAGGATGATGGGGAACGGCATGCCCTCCGTGCTCTTGTTCTTGATTATGTCTCTCTGTAACGTAATACATAAATCATTTAATATATTTTAAATTGTTACAAGATTTATTAAATGGAAAATTAGAACTATTTTTTTATCAATTTTCAGCACACGTTTGCTAGGTAAATCTGTAAGCAAGGAAAGATAATGCAAAGTAAAAGTTTTAAAATTACAATACTTCATGCTAATAAGTTGCCTAAATTACATTGTGGCATACATTTGAAGTTCCTTAGAACTGAGTTAACAATACAGTCTATACATGTCTAAAATCTAATAATAATAATTTTATTACATTCTTTCTATTCACATTGCAAACGTGACATAAAACAAAATGAGGTCAAGTGTACACCGAGGTCATTGACTTATTATATTTGCTACATTTTATATCTATTTTATTCTTGTAATTAGGAGGCATTAAACACGTACTGATAATATAATTTAACGACCTAACTGAACTGAAAAGTAAGTAGGTACTAGGTAGTTTAGATAAATAGGAATCGTTATTTTTGGAAATTGGAAAAATAAACTACATTTCTACTTGCAGCTTCACATGTGATTCAAGTTCAATTCTCAAGTCCGATATTATTAGATTTTTCTATTTCGAAACTCAATTACTCGAAGTCTAGTATCGGCCTGGTATACGGTAAAAGCTTACTTCTACCCAGTGGCGTACCCGTACACCAGATACGTACGTACCGTTCGGGGCTCGTGGCAAATTCATCGGATGGGCCGTTCCCAATAAAAAACTAAGAAGTTCAGATGAAAACCTCTGAACGGGACCATTTTGCCAACTTGCCGCCCCTTAGTTCCACCACTGCCTCTACCGGACTCTTCCGGGGATTAAAAGTAGAACATGTTATGGGTACGTAAATACAGAAAGACGAGTGTGAATCAAATCACCAGTCTACACTACACTAGAGCAACTACATACAATATAATCTTATGTCAGCTATGTATGAGTGTACGACCTACGTGCGGTGTATCGTGTATCACATACAAAAGATCAACGCGCATTGGGGACATGAACAATAATGGACATATTTACGAGCATAATATTTTATGAGAGTTTATATCTCGGCTATTGTGCCTCACCTTGTGATATAACAATAAATTGAAGATGTATTACATCTGCGGTTTTGTTCTCAGATAGCTATTTATAGTTGTCATACTTTTTCTAGCTTCCGCCAGTTGTACGTATCAGGTTAAAGAGTACCCTTTTTATGTATCATTGCAATTCATTCCATTATAAAGCATAGCTTTTTTTAAGGGGTATGAAATCGTCGAATGACGCCTCACCCAGGCGGGAGACTCTTACTGACTATAAACCACCCAGTTCCTATTATAAATTCGACTAGATCCGTTCAGAAGTCTCGTATTAAAGAGTAACGAGCACATTTAAACTTTCGGATTAACAATATTACTAGAATTAAATAGAAAGTTAGGACTCGTTATCACAATGTAATTATATGTGCATACTAAAGACTCAATACGTTAACTAACCTGTTGCGGCGTGGCTTCCATACAAATACTATAAAGTATTGCTGTCCTCAATAACTTGCAATGCAACTCTTTTAACTTCATTATGTTCTGTTTATTTTAAAAAACGGTTAGTTTGCAGCTCAAAACGATGAAGTATTCAATCAAATAATGTGTGTTCTTGACGTCGTTATTTGAAATTACCTCTATTTATTGTAACATAACATCACGCCTTTTATCCCCGAAGAGGTAGGCAGAGGTGTACATTATTTTACTTTACAATGGAACACCCACTTTTCACTATTTATGTTATGAGTCCCATGTAATAGGGGGTGAGCCTATTGCCATATACCGGCTCTTATTGTATTTGTGTCAAAAATCAAGTACTGATTTTGGCCGTTAGTCAATGTGACTCATGATTTAGGGCCCCAGCAAAGCTTGAAAAAAGTCGACCAATCCCGAAAAAAGAATAAGTGAGTAATAATTTAATTAAGTTTATTTTACGATAGTTATTAGAGGTGCAAAACTGCATTATAATAATTCATACGTAGATAATACTATTAGCGGAACTAATGATAAATACACAAGAGACTTTTAAAACTGAGTCCCTGAAGTATCTGTAATTACAGATATGAGATAATAAAATTATAAACTGTGTTACAAGCACGTGATAACGTTACTGAGAGTTGCGTAATAATACCTAATATAATGGAACCCATTACGTTTAAGTATCAATAGACAGTGAGTTAGGCTAATGAAATAAAATTCGAGGAATAATCAAATGGTTAATAGTTGGAATAATTAGGAGTATGTGGAATGCGGAAATTATCTAGACACCACTGATAAACGGTGAAGAAAAACACCATGAAGAAACCTGGGCTTATAATTTCCAATTATAAGTTTGGTATCGCCAACCCATTGAGTAAGCGTAGTGATAAATGCTCAAACCTTCTCCGTGGGAAACGAGGACTTGGGTTAAAAGTGGTCACTTATAGGCTGTTTATGTGGGAGTGCCGAAATCGAAAGCCACACTATTTTTAAATAATGTTTTGTGATTGTTATAGTCTTATTATATCTGACCTAATCCCAAGTTATTTGGGGTGAGCTCCGATGACTTTTTTCACGTTACTCTATGAGACGTCGCATTCTCACCCTCTTCTTATCTCTTTTTTGTACATCCCTTTTAATAAGAAAGGAAAATCGGCCCTTCATTCATCATTTCATATAGATGAAACCCGTTTCCCTTTGTCACGCTATAACTTGAGAATGGCTGGGCCGATTTGGCTGATTTTTTTTGTTGTGTTTGTTATTGCCAGGAGAAGGTTCTTATGATAGAAAAAAATCCTGAAAATCTTGTGGGAACGGGAGAAAACTGGATTGCGCGTACGAAGTCGCGGGCAGAAGCTAGTATACCTAGTGTTTAATAGTTATATATCATTTTAATAATTACATAGTTCGTTGTACAATAGGAAACTAAATGAAAGATAAAGAGGTAAAGATAAATGAGGTACACTCATTGTTTATAATCAGTTAATTAGTTGCTTGATGAATATCAATACTAGTTTACATCTACAGGGTACAAACGTGACTCGAAGAACGTACTTATTGCTTAATTCATTACAATGAATGGTCTAATTTGACTTCATTCATTTCTGCAACACTACGACTTTACACAATCGACACTTTTCAGTTTATCGACTTAACGAAATAATCATGACGAGTCTTTGTAATTAATCATTCTAATAACTACCATGACGAATATTTTATCGCTAAATTGTTTAGCAATGGTGAGATAGCATGAGTTCTTTTGGGTCCCAGATTAAAGATTTAGAAAATTTATTATTATTTTGCATTTTATTCCTCAGTTAAAATTTAACTGAGCATTGAAAATTCGGGACTAAATTATACGTACATTCACAATTGTAAACAGCAAATGTCGTCGAGTGAATGAGTTACTAGAACAATTTTCAACATCACAAGACAAAGACTGTTTCTTGGAGAGCAAATAAAGTGATGAGTCCCAGACCCGGTTGATTTCAATAGAAGTTCCTAACAAAATCTGATATTTCTAATCGATCTCGCAAGATTGGAGGAATTCCTTAAATACCAATAAAGTAAGGACAGCAGCAGTGATATAGTAAAAGTAAAACTAGACTACTAGACTTACCAATCCGAACAACGGTGAGGCGATCAGGTAGAACATGAACGCAGTGATGATTGTTCCAAATCTGTTCTCAACCAACTTAGGGTCTTCCATTTGTGCGTATGCGATGAGGGCGGCAGAGAAGGCGCCTGCGAGACCAATCTGAGCCCAAACCTTCATCTTGTCTTGAGTATAATTGAAGTAAACCAAGCAATAGATGATATTCAAGGCCAAACCAAACAAGTTCACTTGGATCATCTTGTCGTCGCGAAGTATGTAACCGAACTTCAAGTTAAGGACGCTCCTGTGAGCAAAAAGACATTCTGGTCATTATGTGTAATGTTCCAGTAACAAGATATTTTATTTAACTGTTTCTAGAGATTCAGAGAACATGACCGGTGTTCTTTGCATATTTTAATATCTAATGACATAGTAACAACAGAACTTAGCGAAATACAGCTCTCTATAGAAACTGCAGCTTATAAATGTTAAGGTCAGGTCAGGTACTTACATAACGACACCTCCAAGGAAGGGCATGATCCCGATGCCCCTGGTGTTGCCCTGCTTGTAAATGTCCCAGCAGATGAAGGAGCCGGAGAACATCTGGCCCACCGTTACGATGGCCGCGATGGTCCCTACGATCTCCTTGTACGGCTGCAGTACATCGGCTAGTACGTCCAACATGATGATGTTCTGGGAACAAAAGAAATGTCAGTATTAATAGAACATCATGCAAGTTTTAGACCTAAATGATAATTATGGTTAATTTATTTGCTTCAAATTTTTTAACAAACCAAATTCGATAAAGAGATCAAGATTCAAGACGTTAAAATTATAATATAGTTCCAAAAAATGGGAACGTTTTTTATAAAGTCGTCCTGTCGGAACAGCCATGATTTAAATGACATCGATAATTTATGCGTTGCTTAGCGTGGACTAGTTACAGACTATATTGTTCATTTTTTAGTGTCATAATCATTCATTACATAACATTTTATTGGTACCAATGACCGAGTTCAAAGTCCTTGCTACAACTCTATAAGCATAGTGTAGTCAACGACGCATTTTTTATAGCGAATGGGCCATTGTATAGTTTAATTATTTATAGAGTTAGAGATGAATATGTAATCTCGTATGCTGGATGTATGATAATAGGCCCTAGCTTATTATCATACATCCCTAAAAGGTAGGCTTTTTAGGCTTCATATAAGCCGTACAAACTATGTAGGTACCTGTAACTAATATAGGCCAAGGTCTTCAGAGGAATACAGTCTTTACGAATTACGATATACTATGTAAGAAGTACTTTAATGATAGTCTTACTTAAATAATTACGCAGTCTACAATGCGGTTCTTGTTCTCAGAAACAATCAGTCACCGACGAAGCAAATTATACGCTAGTAAGGCTACCGACTCTATTGGCAAACTGCGCACTATTCGTGTACAATTCGACAATTTATTGCCGTCTCATTCTGAGGAAACTAATAAACTAATAAAGTCTAAATCAAGAATAATGAATCGGAAGATGAGATGAGAACTTCAAAATGTACAGAACACTTTCAGACAACGTATATTGCGTTGGATTATGGTTAAACTTTAAAGTGTTGGTTACGGACAGAAGTCAGAAATGGTATTTCTTTTGTGACTAGTCAAAACTAACAGATATCACAATTGTATTTGTATTACGTTTGATAAACTTGGTTTTACCAATCCAATAAAACTGAGTTACATCTCGATATAGCTCAGTTTTATTTTTCTACCTATCTTTGCAGTATCTGAGTGCACTGCACTGTTTGCTGCTAACCAATACAATTTAACTTTGATCTCAAGATCATTTGCACATTGCTCACCAGTATTTGGACACGTTAGTTCTTAACTGTATATTTTAAACATTATGTACTTATGTATGTACATGTTAATTTCGGCAGAACAGCAAGTCATCGCACTCATTACAATGCTGACGTCATACGTTCATTGCGAATTTGAAAATCGCCTACCAAGAAATTGTGAAAATTTCGTCAGACTTCATTCGTTCATAGTCTGACTATATTGCATTACTATTATCCAATGATTGTACATATTTATTGACGTTATCGCATTAGATATAAACTATTGTTATCAATATAAGGTGCACGAGAGTCCCGATTTCTAGTTAAGACAGGCCCTATTGATCGATTGATAAGATCATTAGTAATCCAACCTGTGATTTCATCAGTTTACGTGAACTTACGCAATATTATTCCTTTTTAAATAAAATTATTTGTACTTCGTTTACGAGACTTCTAAGTAATACAAACCTAAAAGCGAAGTAAATTCTAGAGAGCCCGGTTAACTGGCATTTTGTTGGATCACCACAATGTAATGGCTACCGGAAAATATAGTTAAAGGTGATCAATTACCAATCAAAATTGAATGCAGAGAATAACAATTTAAGAGAAAATGAATAAATTGCCTTGATAACTACTTCTGACAGCAATAGTGATCTATTAATACTCTTTAAGGCTTTGTAATTTGGACTTTGGGTGGACCTCACGTCCGTGACCCGTCGTCATCTAAATAGTTCGCAAATAGCAAATAGGCTGAATAACAAACAATCACTACACTAGTTACATACAATATTGTAACGAATTACTTCTCAATTGGTCGAGCGTCATGCGCACACCCACCGGTAGTTGTGACGTCACTGACTATCATAGCCAATTGATTCATTAGAGACTGTTAAGTGAAGGCGATTCAATTGCAGCCTAAACGATTGTTGAGGAAATAGTTTACTACTTATTTTTGCATTGATTTGGCGCCTACGTGAGTTTGTTTATGAACATATGACGTCGATATAGTCGGCTACATCCATCTCATGTACATACGAGAGAGTTGAGTGCTCATCGCGCAATTGTACACACGGGTGTACGAGAAACGCGCACCGATTGGATATTTTTTCTGTGACGTATATTTTCAAGTTTGCAACCCGTTCTTTATTTGATTGAACAAAATAGTTAATTCGCTTTTCTATTAAAATATTTATCCGTGTGTACGAGAACGCGCGTTTACCCGTGTGTACGAGAAGCGTGCGAGAGGCTAGTCACGTATCACAGACTTTTGTAAAATCAAATCTATTTGCAAATACAGGTTCTACATTAAACATTTGATAAAACGTAGAATTTAAATTCGCCTGGTCGTTTTAGCCTATTTTTCGCAAAAATAAGAGTAATCTTCGCCAAAAACGAAGGTAATCTTTGGTAAAATGCAAACAAAGTTCGCGTCGCGGATTTTTAAACGTGTTTCAAGGTCACATTATAGCTTCACATTTTATAATAAACACATAATTAACATTATGCCATTGATGCGATGATCAAAAATAGCGTAAATGGAAAACTTACGAAGCAGAATTTCGGAGCCCTACGTTAGGGAGACAAGTACAATGTAAATACATATGTCAATTTTAAGGTTTTATCAAACGATGAGAGCACCTCCATCCACACACATTTAACTGGACACTTTTTATTTTTTATTTTATGGCATAAGCCGGTAAACGAGCAGACGGATCACCTCATGGTAAGCAATCGGCGTCGCCCATTGACACCTGGAACACCAGAGGCGTTACAGTTGCATTAGCGGCCTTTTGGGGATTAGGAGTTTGAGGATCATTGGGGATTCAGGAATTGGGGGAGATTGTAGAAGGGGAGGGTAATTGGGCCTCCGGTAACCTCTATCACACAACGAAACACAACGCAAGCGTTGCTTCACGTCGTTTTCTGTGAGGCCGTGGTATCACACCGGTCGAGCCGGCCCATTCGTGCCGAAGCATGGCACTCCCTCACATTTGTCCCTGACTAGCCCTTATCGGGATTGTTTGAAGTGTAATTAATTAGTTACTAGGATAATATTTCTTTATCTATGCCGCGGTAATATGTCTCGTCATTAACAGCATTTCTATATTGAGATTGAAGAGTTATCTGCAACTAGAAGTCCAAGGCCATCGTAGAATCATTGTGTGAATATGTATCAGAGACATTGTACTCACAACATACTTTTTAAAAAAAGAGTAACGATTGGAGTTTTTTTGCTAGTTCTTCTCCATTCGAATCTACATTTTGGACTGAGCACCTAGCTTCACCTAGCTTCACTTTCGGACTGACTGACAGACTACCTACCTATTATTTATTTTGTATTTGTTGACGTTTCAAAAGTACCAAATTATGGTTTAATTAAAATAAATGCTTTGACTTTGACTTTGTTGCCAGTTTCATGTCCTAAGCCGACTTCGTTATTCCATGGGAGTTTGTCTCCTCCATACGCTTTGAAATGAGCAGCTTCAACTACTGTCCTGACTGAAAGACGATTTTGTATATGTTTCATTTAAATGGTTTGCCAAAATCAGCGATAAATAAACTTATTCAACTTTCCTAACGTATTAAGAGTGCCAATTGTCGCAACCATGGACGATTACACAATTACAATACGAAAGTAGGTATGTTTTATGAAATTTTTAGGAATTTGGAGTATTGCCCGGTAATTAGTGTGTAACACGCCAACTGTTACATGACTTTTAAGTCGTCAACAGTACTCTGTGGGTGTGTTAAAGATTCACTGGGCATGATAAAAAATAAAGCATTTAACTTTCATACATTGATGCTGTTGTTGAACATTTTTCAAGGTCAAAATTGCAGAGGATTCGAAGGACTTTATAAACTTTTACACAAAGTTTTATTACAAGTCTTTTAAGACAAAAAGGACCGAAGGAGGACAAAAAGGAGAAGAAAAGGAAGAATTATGATCTTAATAGTAAAACTCGAAACACAATCTGATAAAGGTGACCTTCTTACGACTTCTAATCTTTCTCTTTTTTGAATTCTCTAACACATTTAAGGAGGTTGACATGGCATGAAACAAAACTCTGGTAATAAGTTTTTCTATATGTAGGTCAAAGCGAGCAAGTAAAAGTTGACCAAATAGCGAAGGCTGAAGGTTCAATCTTTGGAATTCTATTGCTGACAAGTGACATAAGCCTAACAAAGTAAAGTGAAAGGTCACTCAATGGAAGTAAGAAATAATTTAGCTATACATATAATAATTTAGCTAACTAGGTTGTACGGCTTACTCACTTGATAAATGTTTGTCGATTGCCGATACGGTTATTCGCGCATGTCGCTCATGATTATGAACCCCCCTAAGGTTTGAAATTAGTCGAGTAGACCTCGTCGAACAGTTTTGTGAATAAGTTAGAGTATCAGACCGCCAATTAATTAAAGACAATAACTAATTTAACTGTTATATCTTAGTTATAAAGAGTTATAAAAATATATGCCAATTACACATAAATATAATAAGTTATTTTTTATGGAAAATACTATTATAATATATTATATAAATATAATCATAGTCCAATCTCAGTAAAGATTATACCATAGGCAATAATATGAGACCTCCAGAGATAAGGATAGCTAATTATCTTATCTGGGAATGTTTCAACATATTATGTTAAATTATCTAATAATACTATATCCATATGTTGCTGTCGAGGTGTCTCTAATACTTACGTAGGTATACCTTCTAAAGTTTGCAGTTGGCAATAAAAGGCTTAATGAATAAAGTTTGACGGTACCCTACACACCTGCCGTACCACATGATGCTGACAGGATAATCAACTACTAAGTAGTGGAGACACAAAAGCCATCAAAAAAAAAAACTTAACGGTACGTAAAATAAGAGTATGGTTATGGTATGTACTTAAAATAAGGTGGGTAATAATGTGCCAACAATGATCTCCGACGACAACTGACTAACTGTCAAATTAGTTACAAGCATGCACACAAACTTGAATGTTAATATGTCAACATCATTATTTTAATGTATGCTTTGAATATTTGTCAGGGCAAAGGCCTCCCTACCCTCCTTCCACTCCTCTCTATGTAAAGCGTTTGCCCTGCAGTGAGAGGATCATGGCTAAAAATAAATAAATAATTTGAATATTAGACCAAATTACCTGCTGGTCTTTTATTAACAATAAGTAACTAATAGCAGCAGAATACAAGTCTTTAGCATATTACAACAAGTGAGAATGACATAGTTTGTGTCTGTTTCTCTTTCACACATAAATCATTGAATTACCGTGACTGCACGGTTGGTGCGGTGGCTGGGCAATTACCTGCCGCGTAACGTCTAGCAGGGTTCGACTATCCACAAATTGTTATTTCGGGTCTAGGTATCATGTGTATGTGAACATGTATGTTTGTAGACGCATGTGAGTAATTGGAATATATTATTACTGAAGGTTTGTTTCAGTAAGTTTAATACTGGTTCATTTAGTTTATTTATCGCTACTTCATTTATTAAAAGTGATCTCCTATCCTGCTCTGCCTGCAAAATATATAAAAGTTTGTAAGAATGGAAGAAAGTTTGTAAGAAGGACATGCATATTTGTTAGCCCTTCACACAAAAATGACTCAACAGGCCTAATCTGAGTTAGTTTTACTTAACGAGATTGAAATGTAACCATTTAGCCCTTTAGCATTTAGCCCTTTGATTGTTTAGTTCATTGAACCATCCAAAAATGTTTTCAAATTTCTTTTATTTTACTACATACATTCTTAATTAATTAATGCTAGTTTATTATGACAGCCTTGATTTGTGAATTTTTATTTTTAATATAGGTAAATGAATTTATTAAAAATAAATGTTAAATACTTTTACATAATATTTGAAAAATGAGGTACTGAATTATTTCACTACCTCTTATATTCAGTTGTAACTACGGAGAGTTGAAAGTAAATGAGATTTTAAGGTTTAGATTATTATGAAAATTTAAATCAATCTGAATTGCATCATTTTTTTCTATAGAAAAACCTGATCTTACATTATATAGTGGCACTATAAAATTAATCTCTATAAAAAGAACAGGAAAATTAAATCACAAACGGATTACCATTATGAGATGTGTTTTACCATAATTCATGCAAATAAACATTCTTATTCTTATTCTATTCAAATTCATTTTACAATTTTTGTGATAAATATTCAGGAAGTAGTAACTAGTGGTATCTATCTTCAAACTTGATTAGCATTAAGAATTATGCCATCTGAATTAAAATGTAATCTAAAAGTAATGTGGATAAAAGTTTAGTGTCTTCCTTCAAGGCAAATAAAAACCAATAATTCAAAATTAAAACTTGTTTACCTTGTTTTCTGTGTAACATATTATATTTCGTCCTTGCAGGAGATCACATTAAGTATACAATGCAAACACGACAATAGCAGGTAAACTTAATTTTAATAATACCTTAAAAGGCCAGATAACCAAAAAATTAAGAAATATGAGTACTTACTTTTTAAAACTTTAGGAAGAATAAATCAACTAGTATATTACTTGTTTCTTACGCTAGGATAAATAATAATAATCCACAACACAACCACTCACAGAGCATAAAATACTAAACTGAACTCAAACGGAATTAAGTCTGAAAAAAGTGACATTGGATATTTGACAGCCGGGTAATCCGGTTATCAAACATGACGTGGTGTTGACTTTGCTACTGTCACCGTTGTCAGAATCATAGTTTTAGCTTTAGTTTATTCACAAGGTTTCTTCGTAAAAGAACGTTTACGGAATAATAGAATTCTTCAAAAATCCTATAAGAAACCTATAGGAATATTTTCAGTTATCGTTTCTTATAAGAGAGTGATAAATGTAGGGCAATTTTAGAACATTGAAATATAATATAATTAGGAAATAAAATTACACCATAGATTATTTTTATATAAGTAATTGACTTCGTTTGGAACCGAGATTGATTTTGATTACCTTTCTAATCTTCTATATCCTAGCAAAAGGTACATCGAAGGATATCTAAATTTACTAGGAAATATATTGAAGACCAAAAATTACACATACTCGAGTAAACTAAATTATAAATTAAGTTTTTATTGATTAATTCTACACTGACTGTACTTTGTCTTTGCTAGTTGCGCAGAAAAACAACAAGGATTGACTGTGGTTTAGTCCAATTGACATTTTGTAATTTTTGTGAGATTTTAGAATTTCACGAATTTTCAGCCGTTCTATTTTAAGACAAATGACTGATAACAATTTTTGAGTATTCCGTGTTAAAGTCACATACATCAGTCATGTGTTCCATTGCCGCGGGCAGGATTTTGCTATGAAAGTTATCTTGAAGATCACGAAGGTTTTATTCGGCAGGGTTGTTAAAGAAACTGTTTGGTAATATGCAATGGAAATACAAGGGATGGAAAGGGCGATGGCTGTGGGCGGTGTTGGTGCTCGCATTGTGTCCATTACTAGCAGCTCAGAAAATCGGTGACCCATACAAAATATTGGGCATACACCCCAAGGCTAAATTACCTGAAATACGCAAAGCTTACAGACAACTCGCTAAAGAGTGGTAAGTGTAATAATATATAGTAGGAACTTGCTATTTACTGACTAGAAAATCAAGCTTTAGAGCTAATGCATACTGTTCTAGTTCATATTATTTTGATGATGTATTTTGACTCGTAGTAATGCAATTCAAGTTCTGTTCGTAAGTAGTGCAGAGTACAGTAATTAATTATACTCAGCCCATACACTCTATTGTGGTTTCTTAGACATTGAACATAATGCTGTATTACAGGCACCCTGATAAAAATGAGCATCCAAATGCGGCAGCTCGTTTTGTGGAGATCAAACAAGCGTATGAACTGTTGACAGACACTGAGCGAAGACAGGCATATGATTACTATGGCATTACGAACGAAGACGACCACCTATATAAACAGAGGCATGACTACAGCCAATATGCTAGATTTAGGTAAGTTTTGTATCTTCTTTTTTAATACTAGTTGTTGACTAAAGAGTTTGGAAATATTCATAATATACTAGCTGACCCGGCAAACTTCGTACCGCCTAAAAATTTGTTTCTCACCTTTTAAACCTTCCCTGGACTTCCACAATCATTTCAAGACCAACATTAGCCAAATTGGTTTAGCTATTCTCGAGTTTTAGCGAGACTAACGAACGGCAATTCATTTTTATTTATATAGATATGTGTGTACTTAATATTATTTGTATCTGCCTAACATGAAACATTTTTTTTACTTTAAATGATTGAATACTACATTATTCACAATGGCTTAAACATTCCTTAGTTTCTATAATAATGAAATAATATTTCCATGACTCAGCACTGACTGAATGCATAGACATAAGCAAACATCCTGAATATAAAATTGTTTTTGAGATTCTATAAAATCTTTACTCATGAAATGGAACAGCTGTTTACAGTCAGATGTTTTTTCATTTTTGCAACAGAAGGATATAATTTATTATTCTAAATCTAGCATGCATTCAAATTTGAAAAGATATTTGTCTATTTTTAACTTAATGATTATTTTATAACAACTACTTTTGCACAGGAAAACTGAATGCAAGTATACTGTTAGTTACACATATATCAAACTAATGACCCGCCCCGGCTTCATTAAACATATAAAACTTCCTTAAAAATCACTCTATATATTAAAAAAAACTGTGTCAAAATCAGTTGCGTAGTTTTAAAGATCTAAGCATACATAGGGACAGACAGAGGGTGTATAGCGACTTTGTTTTATACTATGTAGTGATTTTCTGAGTACTGGTATCATGCACTAAACAACAACTGGGGGTAGAATAAAATCTCAGAATTTTAATCTTCCATATACAAAATCTGTAGAAAAATGTAAATGTTAGTCAATGGATTTGCCCGATTTGATTATGCTATCTGGCAATTGTGGTTTATGTACAATTCCAAACCAAATTGGAGTAAAGATAAGTCAAAATATATGCCCATATAAGTAACATCTAATATATCAAATTCTATTTGAAAATACATGCATATCTTATCTTCATAGCAATCTATGATTCATGAAAATGTTTTTCAACACGGCCCTTACAAGATTGGCAATCTTTCATCATGAATCACTCATGTTTACGGTTTCCTGGGATGTCCATAAATAGTTTTACGATCTTTAGAATAACTCCATATATATGGAATATTCATAGCAGTAGAGTAGTTTTTGGGAATAGTGATTATTTTATTATGATTGTAACATTTGTTATGTTAAGTCTGACTGCCGATAGAAAACTGTTGGAGGCACAGGCTCCTTAGTAAGTTTAGTCAGAGATTTATAATAGTATGTTCGTTCATTATATAGTCTACCACATTTATACCTACCAAGAGAACCCCAATCTTTCCAATTTATTAACATAAAATCACGCCTTTATTCCCGAAGGGGTAGGCAGAGGTGCACATTACGGCACTTAATGCCACTGTACAATGTAACACCAACTTTTCACTATTTATGTTACGAGTCCCAAGTAATAGGGGGTGAGCCTATTGCCATATATCGGGCACAGTTCCAGACTCTTTGCTACGACTCAGAATTTTTTAAAACCCAATAGTACTTTGCCCGACCCGGGAATCGAACCCGAGACCCGACTGCCCGGCAGTCGCACTTGCGACCACTCGGTCAACGAGGCAGTCCAATTAAATAATAATAATAATATGTTTAAGTGTGAGATAGCCATGCTTCGGCATGAATGGCCATGTGAGTGAGGTTATCGGAGGCCCAATTACCCCACTCCCCAATCTCCCCAATCCCTGAATGCCTAGCAATCCTTAAAGGAATTTGAGGAATCCCCAAAAGGCCGGTAACGCACTTGTTACGCCTCTAGTGTTTCGGGTGTCCATGGGCGGTGCCGATTGCTTACCATCAGGTGATCTGTTTGCTCATTTACCGGCTTATCTTATTGAAAAAACATGGAAACCCTATGCGCACCTGACGGCAAGGAGTAGTAGAGTAGCTATAGGTACTATGTACTTATTAAATTAAAGTAATTCATAATTCATGGCACTTAAGTACCTACACAAAGGTTTTATGAAGCATTATTATTTTGGAATTTCCCTACATCCGGATTGTTCGGAAATGATGAGTAGAAGATAAAAATACCTAAACATCATTTTCCTTGTGGATTATTGCATGCCAGCGTTCAATGATATTTGCAACCGACTAAAACAATATGCAATTTGTTTTCGGTCAAGGTGAAAATAATTCACTGTTTGTAACATTCATGCAAAAATCAGTCTTATCAATAAGAAATAAAGTTGCTTTAGCTTTTGACTGTATTAGAGTAAGCATTAATGTTTTTTACATTCATCAATTTCTTCCCTGATTTAATGTACTCGATGAGATTACTTTTAATTAGGCTCCATAGTGTCGCCCTTTATTGACGTCCCCCACTCGTCTATAAATAAATTATTATTTTGTTACAGTAACGATCCGTATGATGAGCTCATGGAGAAATACTATCGAACACAAGACCAAGATATTACGTTGTTTCACAAATTGTCTATAACTGCGCGGTAAGTGTACCAAAAGCGTAAGTTACTACACAATCTGATTCAGTTATCCTAAGAGACAAACCCCCTTTTTATTCATTAGGCCTTTGTTCATTCGTGAACTGAAAATAATGACAATGTTTACTTACAGTCACTTCGAACACAATGTAGTCGAGAAAAGCATTCGTACGCCAGCAATAGTTCTATTTTACACGGACTGGTGTTTCGAGTGTGTGCGCTCTGCTGCCGCCTGGCGCCGCCTGGTGGAAGCTCTGCAGCCGGTCGGCGTTACCATGGCAACCGTGCACGCGGGCCACGAGGCCAGCCTGGCCCGCCGAGTAGGAGTATATGGAGTACCCTGCCTTACGTTCATATTAGACAAACATGTGTATATGTATAAGGAGCCCCTATCTTCGCTACCAAAAATTTTAGGTGAGTTTTATGATTCAAGTAGTTTAATACTCATAATCATAATGGACATTATTTACCTATATAAGACATAATATTTAGAATCCACGATAAACTTTAAACTTTAAAAACTTTATTCATAATAACAAAAACGCAAAAATCAAAAATATATCTAAATTACCTACGTACAATTGATCTCAAATAGTTAGAAGCCTGCACTAGGACAATCCTTAATCGCAGGCAAGAGGAGCTCTAAATATAATTCTTACAATAGCACATCTTATTTCTATAAACAAATATTTATCAGTATGCAATAGAGTTCTACTCTTATTACGGTTGAAAATCGTTTGGTATTTAAATAGGAGAAGACGAACAAATAGGGTAGACGACTAATTTTTATTTTAATGTCCGTCTGGTAGATTATTTAAAAACATTAGACACGTATTTTTTCTTTTCTCACAGAAACGAATAGTTTCGGAGATATATTGATTTGAAATGTCGCGTGACGTCACTTCTCAGTACATTTTATACTAATAAATGACGTTTTAACCCCCACTCCTTAACTTTGATTCGTTTTATCTAAGTATTGTTTTATTATACGACAAAATAAAAAAATACGTGTCTAATATTTTTTCATTACCTAACTTACGGACTAATTATATTTTTAATTTTCATACCCTGTCATCATCCCCATTAAAGATGAACAGAAATCGTTAATGATATGTCATCCGATCCCAAAATAGAAATAGAAGACTGATTGTGCCAAGGCGCCAACCCTAGGCCTAGACCCGAGTAACTTGTAATATTGGCAGGAAGAAGAACAACTTCTTTATTTTAATTAATCTGTCAAACGCCGAGCGGTCACCGGTGACCGCGACCTATTGTTCTTTAATTGTGTCTATAAAACCGGTACTCGACGAGTTAAATGTAAAATTGAACCTTATGTCTTTGTACACAGAGTTCATACGTTGGAAATTCCCTTACAAATTGGTAAGTACGATATCGGACAGCAACGTGGACGCGTTCGTGTCGGACTTCGAGGACAATAAAGTGAAGGCACTGATCTTCGAGGAGCGGCAGACCATGCGCTTCAGATACCTCATCACTGCATTCCACTATAGAGATAGAGTCGCATTTGGGTAAGTAACGTCTTATGTAGTAAGATTTGATACGTTTTTCTTTACACAAATATGAAAAATCAAAATTGGTTGGAAACCTAATCCCAAGATATAAAAAATACTTTGTTTCTTGCAATCTGCAGCTTAGTGCTGATCCAATCGATATTTCAGTTCAGGTAATTTTATAATGTACCGGAGGCCCAATGACCCCCTTCCCAATTACCCCAATACCCGAATCCCCAACAATCCTCAAATTTCTAATCTCTAAAGGGTTAGTAACGCACTTATAACGCCTCTGGTGTTTCGGTAATCCATGGGCAGCGCCGATTGCTCACCTGGTCTGTCAGCTCGTGTTCGGTGTACCGTCTCGTATTCCACAAAAAACATCAATAAATCCATTCAGATGATAGTTAAATTGTAGTTCACAATTTCGCTTTTTATATTGTAGTTTCGTAGACATGCGATCCCGCGACACGTTGAACGTGACGGCTCGGTACAAGGTGCAGCGACACACGGACACCATGGTGCTGCTCAAGGAGGACAGCGAGGAGCCGGCCGCCACCGTCAGCACCAACGAGATACCCTCCGAGACACTGCACCAACTCATCGAGGCTAATCAGATGCTCACACTGCCGAGGCTGTCCTCGCAGGTAAGATAGTAGGAAGATAACTTAGTCTCTAAAGTGTCTCAGTGCAGGGCAAAGACTTTTTTTCGTGTGAAGAAATTAATATTGACAAATGCATTGGTTTGAGGAAGATTTATCTTTATTGTAAGTATATAGGTAAGGTAAGTAAGAGATTTTAATGTCTTTCTTTACTGCGTCTCTGTGATATCCTAAAAATTACGTTAGAAATCGTAATCGTAAATTAGTCATTCTCCAGTAGCATGCATGCGTTCGCATAATATTATCCTGGTTTTCGCGTCTTGGGGACTTCAGTATTGTACTGTGTACGGCCTACAACAGAAATGTAAGTGCAAGTGAGTACAGTAGCAGTGATGCAGAATGTGTCGTGTACAGAGTGTGTTCGAGAGCGTGTGTCCGGTGGAGTGGCGCGCGGCGCGGCGCCGGCTGTGCTGCGTGCTGGTGTGCGGGGGCGCGGGCGGGGGGGGCGCGCGCTCGCCCGCCGCCGCCGCGCGCCGCGCGCTGCGGGACCTGGCGCGCGCCTCCTCCGACAGGCTGCACTACGCGTACGTCTACGCGCACAAACAGCCCGCCTTCATACATGCCATCGCTAACGGATCTGGTAAGTCGAAATCTCACTACTAGATACCTCTACCCGTAAATTTTAAAAGTCTATGCAACCTAACTGTTTTATAGATTGATCTACAAAACCCGAAAAAAATATTTGTGTGTCAATTAAAAGTAATCATGGAGATCTAAAATTAATAAGTTTACTTTATGAACCTTTTAATATAATAGCTATCCTAAACGTTAATTCAAGTCTGGACCAAATTTTGATCAGCATTAAACTTAACAGGCAGCGACATATCGGAGATGGAACATCGTATCGTCATCATCTGGCGTCGTGAAGCCACGCGGATCCAATATGAGTGGTTGAACGAGACGTGGCCGAGTTGCAACCACGCGCACTGCTCCTCCGACCACTTCCCGTCGGACCCCGTCCTTAGGGAGGAGTTATTGAAGTACCACGAGAGACTGAATGAGACCAAGCGAGCGCTCGACCAGCTCATCAAGAGGTTGTTGAAACCGACTGAGGTGATGGCGTATGAAGCTCATGTGCAGGTTGGTTGTTATTATCATTTTAAATAGGATTGGTAGCGGAATTAATGGGTTATTTATTTATTTCACGTAGTATATTACATATTGCATTAATTATTAACTTAGTTACTAACTATAATTTATTATTTGTAAAAAATATTATCCTAACATTGAGTTTCTACGCTACGACGTTACTGCTTCTTCAGGATATTCGTTGTGGAAAGCTACCTGAAAACTCAAACGACCTGTGACTATTACTCCTCCACTAAGGAAAGCGGATGGAACCTAGGCTCGAACAGATCAGGTCAAAGCGGGTATTTTCTCAGAACATCTCTCGAAAGTTTTTACACCTCACCCATATGAAGGAACATTAGACCATGCAAAAGAGATCGATGAAATGCTTGACTCTACGGATAACATAATGGAATTGCCAGTTAAATTCACTAAAACTGAAGTCATCAATGTAATTAGAAAATTAAAGCCCAAGAAATCACCAGGATATGACCTAATAACCAATCGCATTTTACTAGAGTTGTAAATACTGGAATCATTTTTCTTACATCCCAATTTAACGCTATTACAAGATTACAGTTCTTTCCCCCATAGTGGAAGGTAGCACAAATTATCATGCTCAAACCATCGAAAGAAGCAAAATCATAATTACAGGCCAATAAGCTTACTACCTATTCTTTCAAAATTATACGAAACACTACTCTTGCAGCGAATACTACCTATATTAGATGACAAAAAAGTGATCCCTGACCACCAATTGGGTTCAGAAAGACCATTGACCAAGTACATCGACTAGCAAAAAAGATCATGGATTCTTTCGAGGCAAAAAGCTACTGCACCAGTGCATTTCTGGATATATCGCAAGCGTTTGATCGTGTGTGGCACAAGGGCCTTCTGTTCAAAATAAAAAACGCTCTACCAAACTACTTGTACGAAATACTAAAATCATTCTTAAACCAGTGTCACTTTATCGTGGAGAGTGGAAAGACGATGTCTACTTTATTGCCTAAAAGGCCGGAGCCCTCGGAGCCGCGTACTGGGACCCGTAATTTATATATTTTTTACCGCGGACCTACCCACATCTCGATCCCTAACTACATGTACCTTTGCTGACGATACCGCCATACTAACTGCACATACCGATCCAATTATGGCTGACCGATGCAAAGGGGACTTGATGATATATCTTAATGGTTCAAAAGTGGAGGATAAAGACCGACGAAACCACGCCCGTTAATGTCACATTCACGTTAAGGGGAGGTACATGTCCCTCAGTTACACTTACTGGCATAGAAATTCCACAAGCAGAGCACGTAAAATACCTAGGAATGTATTTGGACAAGAGACTTACTTGGCAAAAACACATTTTCACAAAAAGAAAGCAACTTGTTCACCAAACAAGAGAGCTATATTGGCTTATTGGTCGCAAGTCTCAACTCTTTTAGAGAATAAGATACTCTTATAAAAGGCTATATTGAAGCATATCTGGACGTACAGGATACAACTGTGGGGTACCGTCTACCGTGTCCCATTCAAATACAGAAATAATACACAGGTTCCAAAATAAATCACTTCGCATGATAACCATCGCCCCCTAGTTTGTACCCAATGAACTGATACACCACGACCTCCGAATACCAACAGTAAAATAAGTAATTGAACGACACACCAGGTCATATAAGGATCGCATATCTCGTCATCCAAACACTCTGGCACAGTCACTAATGTACGAACACAAGGCAGTGTGTAGGCTAAAGCGTAGAATACCACAAGATGTGATCTAATCACAATAAAAAACTGTATTTATGAAGAGAATGTGACACAGGTCACATGCCAAAAACCCTAACTAAAGTAACGTCCAACATACTGCTGAATGTCCCAAAGAAAGCGACAGATTGTAGTATAAAAGGGAATAAAAAAAATGTACTTTCTAAGATTATTCAAACACTACTGACAAACGGTGAAGGAAAACATCGTGGGGAAACCTGGGCTTATAATTTCTAATTATAAGTTTGAAATCGTCAACTCGCATTGAGCAAGCGTGGTGAGCAAAGCCTCTTTTCACACGGAGAAGCTCAAACCTTCTCCGTGTGAAACGAGGCTTTGTTCATCAGTAGGAATTATAGACTAATGATGTGATATGACCGTATCCCCGTCCTGCGCAGGAGTTGCTGGACGAAGCGGCGCTGGGCGCCGTGTGGCGCGGCGTGCTGGCGCTGTGCGAGTGGGGCGAGCGCGCCGCACACGGCCTGCGCTCGCAGCGCGCGCTGTCCGCGCTCTCCGTGCTCGCCACCGTCGCCACCGTGCTCGCCGCCGGCTACCTCATGGCCTACCTCATGTAACTATTTACTCTATACCCAACACTCCGCCACTACTATCAACGGCCTGCGCTCGCAGCGCGCGCTGTCCGCGCTCTCCGTGCTCGCCACCGTCGCCACCGTGCTCGCCGCCGGCTACCTCATGGCGTACCTCATGTAACTATTTACTCTATACCCAACACTCCGCCACTACTATCAACGGCCTGCGCTCGCAGCGCGCGCTGTCCGCGCTCTCCGTGCTCGCCACCGTCGCCACCGTGCTCGCCGCCGGCTACCTCATGGCGTACCTCATGTAACTATTTACTCTATACCCAACACTCCGCCACTACTATCAACGGCCTGCGCTCGCAGCGCGCGCTGTCCGCGCTCTCCGTGCTCGCCACCGTCGCCACCGTGCTCGCCGCCGGCTACCTCATGGCGTACCTCATGTAACTATTTACTCTATACCCAACACTCCGCCACTACTATCAACGGCCTGCGCTCGCAGCGCGCGCTGTCCGCGCTCTCCGTGCTCGCCACCGTCGCCACCGTGCTCGCCGCCGGCTACCTCATGGCGTACCTCATGTAACTATTTACTCTATACCCAACACTCCGCCACTACTATCAACGGCCTGCGCTCGCAGCGCGCGCTGTCCGCGCTCTCCGTGCTCGCCACCGTCGCCACCGTGCTCGCCGCCGGCTACCTCATGGCGTACCTCATGTAACTATTTACTCTATACCCAACACTCCGCCACTACTATCAACGGCCTGCGCTCGCAGCGCGCGCTGTCCGCGCTCTCCGTGCTCGCCACCGTCGCCACCGTGCTCGCCGCCGGCTACCTCATGGCGTACCTCATGTAACTATTTACTCTATACCCAACACTCCGCCACTACTATCAACGGCCTGCGCTCGCAGCGCGCGCTGTCCGCGCTCTCCGTGCTCGCCACCGTCGCCACCGTGCTCGCCGCCGGCTACCTCATGGCGTACCTCATGTAACTATTTACTCTATACCCAACACTCCGCCACTACTATCAACGGCCTGCGCTCGCAGCGCGCGCTGTCCGCGCTCTTTGTGCTCGCCACCGTCGCCACCGTGCTCGCCGCCGGCTACCTCATGGCGTACCTCATGTAACTATTTACTCTATACCCAACACTCCGCCACTACTATCAACGGCCTGCGCTCGCAGCGCGCGCTGTCCGCGCTCTCTGTGCTCGCCACCGTCGCCACCGTGCTCGCCGCCGGCTACCTCATGGCGTACCTCATGTAACTATTTACTCTATACCCAACACTCCGCCACTACTATCAACGGCCTGCGCTCGCAGCGCGCGCTGTCCGCGCTCTCCGTGCTCGCCACCGTCGCCACCGTGCTCGCCGCCGGCTACCTCATGGCGTACCTCATGTAACTATTTACTCTATACCCAACACTCCGCCACTTCAAGCAAGCAAACCCGACAGCGTACAATGCGTTGCGTTCCGCGCGCACCTTAAAAAGCCATCAGACCACCATACATGGCCAAACGTCAAGCTAGTTAGCTTAGCTAGCAAGTTATGTCCGACCCGGAGCTACGGATCGAGGCAGGAGTAGAAACAGAGATCTTGCCGTACCCAAGGCGGCAACAGCAACTAGATGTTAAAAAAAACATTATACACGCCACAAATCCCTTTTAATGTCAAACGCTTTATCACTACAATAATTATATGATCATAGGGGACATCTAAACTAAAGTTTAAATGCATTTAAATCACTTTAAATCCTTATTTGCATTTTTTAATTAGTCAAACCCAATTTATAGACTTGAAAAACCGCCTAATAAACTTGCGAAATTAAATATCTGCTTTGACTATCAACAGACGCGTGGAAGAGGAGTCAGTACAGCGGCAGAAGGAAGAGAGAAAGAAACAGAATGGAGTTGGCAAGAAGAACAATAATGAGCCGAGCTCTGAACTCAGACTCCACGAGTTGAGGGCCGAGAAGTATAATGGACTGGTGAGGTATGTATCGCTTGCGCTTCCTACGTAACGATGTTTTGTAATGATTTTCTGACAATGCCAATATTTATTAATTATTACAACAATTTTAATGATGTCCCAGATTTCAGAGTGGTTTGTCCAGACAGAACTTGTTTAAAAATTGTTCAGCCCGTTTTTACAAATCTTTCCTCAATTTTAAAGAACTCTCTAAGTGACATTTAACGACATTTTTGATCTTCGACAATGTATAAGTGTCACCTCACAGTAAGGGGTTAGTTTAGGCTACATTTCGCTAAGTAACTTTTAGTAAAGAAAGTAATTGGTGAAAACGGTCATAATAACTCCATAATAATAACTCCATAATTTGGGATCTTGTATTTGTAAAATGTCTGGTGTAGCAGTAAAATCTGATAAGGAAGTAGCTCTAAGGTCATGCTCCCAACGTAAGTAATGACAATTTTATTCTAACAGACTATTAAAGCCTGGCTGTCGGACGATCGTGTTGCTGGTAGACATGCAGAGTCGTGTGCAACTGCTCTCCAAGTTCCATAAGATTGTGTGGCCCTATCGCAAGTGAGTATTTGTCATCTCTCTCTCATCTCATTTCAAGTGAACATATCTCTGTTACTGAGTATATGAAAATGATTTTTTTTTATGAATGAAGCTTCTATCTGGGTCCGGATAAAGTCGTCTTAGGCTGACGGCGGCCGCGTCGGTCATACGCCTAAGCAACTCGCGCGCATAATTTGGGGGAAGCTTCAAGTTACCGCGACACCGGCTCGAAGCCTAAGAGTCTGGCGCTCTTACGCCTCACCCAAAGCCGAGGTTATACATATATATGTATAGCATTAGAAGTTCAGTGGTGACCGTGGTTGGTTGGTGCGGCAGGAACAAGACGCTGGTGTTCGCGTACCTGTGCGTGGAGCGTCACGCGGGCTGGTTCGCGCGCGTGCTGCAGCTGTCGCTGGGCGGCGCCGAGCTGCGCCTCAACGCGCGCAACTGCGTCGGCACCGTGCTGGCGCTCAACCCGCACCGCAAGTACTTCTGCATCTACCACGCCAAGCATCCCGAGTGTACCAAGCCACACAAGGTACTGTTCTGTTATGACCTCTCTTATCTTAAAACCTTTTTTAACAACGTTTTTTTTATTGGAGATAAGTCTGTAAACGAACGAGTAATCGGCAGCGCCCATAGAAACCCAAAAATTATAGGCGTTACAAGTGCATTGCCATTTTGGGTATTAGGAATTTGAGAATTGTTGAGGATTCGGGGATTGGGGAAACCTATAATAGGTCTTTTAGGGATTGGGCGTAATTGGATCACTAGTAGAATTTTCTTCTACATCATGGGTGCATTTACAAACGTTACATCACACTCGGATTCGGAACTACAAATAAAAATACACAAGTACAAACTTTATAAAGTTCAAATTATTATATTTTAACACTAATATAATAAACCTTTGCACCAATAATGATGAAACATCACTAACTATTGTTCACATTTGGTTCTAGCGTATGAGTCGCATGACGCGGTCTCTAGGTGAGACGGGTACGTTTGACCCCGAGGCGGGCGCCTTCATCGGGTTCCACACGTCGCCCGACTCTTCATCGGCAGACGAGGCCACAGACCCGCCCGTACTCATGCAAGGTACACAATGCTCTATTTTTCTGTAAAATAAGATGAAAGTTTTAGATGTTTTACATCGTAATTTATATGTTTTCTAATTTTAAATACTAGAAATTCATCTTAGAAATGGCTACCATTCAGTGGCACAAGGTTCGTTACCCTTCTTTTTTTTTGACGAAAATTAAACCAGACATTGTACCATCAACAGAGAACCTGCTCGACGGGCTGGAGAACTGGTTGGACCGTCTGTTCGAGGGCAGCACTCATCGCTACTACATCAACTACTGGCCGGACATGACCACCAAGTGAGCACACACACACACACACACACGCTACTCTGTACACACACACGTGACACGTTGTGACGTAACTAGGAAGGGGTAAGGGGGAAGGGGGTCGTTTATTTAAGGGGTTTAGGGACGATGGACTCGCGTTTTTTGTGATTATTGTTGTCAAACAAGTTGTTGTTGAATCTTATTGCAAAGATCTGCTTGTTAAAAATAAGTTTTTATGGATATTTTTCTTTATTATACGGTTTTTGTTGGTGACATGAGTATGGTCAAGTAATGTTTGTAGAGTTAAAGTGTTGTTTGTCTCTATACGATATATTTATTGGTCGTTAAATTGTTAACACTATCTCGAGTTAATTTCGACTATTTTTTTATAAGATGTCTTCGATATAATCCTTTAGGGCTTCCTTTTAAAACTTTGATTGCTATTGAATCGCGATTCCTAGTTACGCCAAAACGGAGAATGGTACAAACAATTTTTATTTTAAATAATTTCTTGTATTTTTTCGTCGTTGTTAAGGAAATATACTGCCCGGTTATTGCCGTTTTTCGACCATAGATTATAAATAAGTGTGATAATTATTCGTAACGGTTTGCCTTAGAGCTGATGACCGAGATAGATGTTGAGATCGCTCGTTCGAATCGTAGTTTGAAATCTGAGAAATATTAAGGTCAACAGATTGTGAAAGGGACCAATGAAGTTAGTCCCGCCTGAATCTTCACTAAAGCTTTATTGAGACAAACGAAATAGCAGCTTCCAGCTATAGTTTTCAAACATAATTTTTCAAACACTTATAATTTTCTAAAAGAGGCCTTATGTAACGGAATTAAGATACAGTTTTCAAATTACGGTTCGGAAAGTTGCGTATCTGATAATTTATTATATTATGGTGTCGGGTTGTCTCGAGCTCGCGTTGCGTGGTACTTTGTGCGACTGTACTGTACGGTACAGTCGAATGAACAAGTGTAATACTTATCAAATGTTACTTTGGACACATTTCTATTTACACTGGCAAAATGGCAGCTCAATCTTTTAGGACAAATGGCATAGACGTTAGTCGAATAGAAATCAACGTGACATTAGCTTATGAAATATTTATCGAGAACGTTTATGTCATTTGTCTAGCGGATAGTTAATTTGACATCAGGTAATATAATATGCTGCTAGGTGTCGCTGTAGGACGCTTCCTCCCGGTTGATGTGTAAGTCAGTCAGTGGTGGACGTCTTGTGTTTGTGTCTTATAGTAACAATGAATGTGGGAAGAGTCATTTAATGATATTCCATCCTTACAAAAAAGGCTTATCTAATATTACAACAGCATTAATCATAATAATGGCGAAATACTGGTAAACCGAAGGTTTAATAGAGGAGAAACAAAAGATAGTTTTCACTTCTCTCGGAGAATTGGTTTTGGAATGGAAAGGGAAAGGTTTTAAAGGTGATCCAAGACAGTTATTCATATCCCTGAGACGGCTGGACTTTGTTTCAGTGTTGTCATGGTTGTGTACAGGAGTTGCAGCGGTTTCGGGAGGCTGTGGCGGGGTTGTCCCATTAAAAAAAACCAAAGGTTTACCTCATCATACTAAGATATTTTAAATAATTTGAGAGCTGCCTCAATACGTGTGTTCAAAAGAAGTGTGTCCGAAGTACTAGGCCAAATTGTATTAGTGCCTATGTTGAATAAGTAGGCGAACTGATTCTCCTACTGTATAGGTATTAGCTTTATTGTAGCTCGGGAGTTTAATACGATCGGAGGCCGGTGTTGAGAAGTCAAGTCGTATTGAGGAATGGAATATGTGTGTAGTTGTGCAAAAGTGTTTCTATGTATACTGAAATCTAGGCAGTTTAGTGTTTGAAAATATGTAATTCACGTCTTTGACAGTTAATTTGTGGTATCTATGGGCTTGTTGTTATTGATGGTTCATCGATACGATAACGTTTACGGTGCTTACAAAAACACAGTTTGTGTGGTAACTCGTGTTTGAAGACACAAAAATTAAAATAGATTTGATATTCATATTTTTTAAATATTTTTAGTTTTCAAATTTCACCTCACTAAACGCTAGGAAAGGTAACATGAACGCATTGTGTTGGAACACTTCTGCATACCTACATCCATTTAGCTAATGACTATAATATTATAAATACTATTTATATAAGTTTAGTTCATTTTATTGTATTCGTTTACAAGGTTTATATAACTATGTTTTTGTATTTGCCTCGCATGGTAACGTGGTTATTTGATAACAATGGGTTAGAGCGTCTGAATTCACCGCTAGAAGCGTTAATGGAAGTTAGGGTTTCATTAAACAAAACTTTTATAATGTCGTGTATTTTGGACGACCAACTTTGGCAAATAACTAAACACATCAGCGCCCTCTAGTGAAAAAAAAACAGCATCCATCGACACACCGGTCCTCGTTCAAATAAGAAATTAAGAGAAATAAAAACAAATATTCACACTTTTATATAAATAAATTAATATTAGCTGTAAATTAGCAATTTGTCTTCACAATATCACAATAACTAGTTTTATAGAGTACAATGAAGTAAGGACAGTATTTCGACACTGCACCTCATTGGTCGTAAATACGACGTTACATGTCGATGTGGACTTCGATTTCTATTACTATAACAATGTTCTGCGACTTCCAATTTGATTTTGTGTAAGTACAACTGAATTATTTAATCTTACAAATATTCAGTTTCAATGGGTTGACATTATTACTCTCACATCAGGTAGGTAAATTATTATAATTTATAATCTGTCTGCTGTAGTAACGGACAGTATAGTATGATTTTGACAATGATAGTTTTGATTAAGCCTCTACCTCAATTTTGACCACGCGGACCAATAAAAAAGTGCCACGATTTCTAGACTAGCATAGCAATAGACATCGATATCCAACGCGACATGTAATAGTAACTTTACACCTTTTTAAATCTTTATACATTCTACCTTCTAGTAAAATTGATTGAGCTTCGTAATATTGCCTGTTGAAAGCTAGAGAAAAAAGTATTATGAAGCAAACAAACTACGTGGCTAAGTACGTGGTTCGTTACTTTGACAAGTTTTGATGGAAATGAACCCTTTACTAGTACATTATTTGCTCAAAACTTTATAGCACCTGGGAAATGCGCACGTTGCTTACAAAGCGACTACAAAATAAGGTTTAAAATAAATGCCAGAGCTGTGATTTATGTAGGTCAGTAATAAAAGTTCTGAAATTAAACATTTTAATATACGACACTGGGCGCTGTGTGCGCGTTTTACCTCATGTCTAGTGTACTAGGATTACAAGTAAACCTGAATGGACTCTTGCAAAACTTAGTCAAAGTAACGAACATTTATTTTTCGGATTGCTAGACAAATCGCTATTGTATTAGTATTTTAATAGTTATTGTAGTATTAACTTTGTTTATAATACAATTTAAAGCCTTGTTTATTATTGTTCCTGAGTGTAATCGGTTGTCCCGAACAATGTACTAGTCAAATGTATTACCAAATGATAATTTAGTTAATTATAGTTATTGCCATATTATAGTCTGTACGTGGGTCATAGTCGGTATTTATGATAAAAATGAAATTTTATTTTCTTGTGAAGGTTTCTTGCCAGTGAATTTTATTTAATACTTTGTGACTATGACTCTACAGTGGGTAGTATTCTTAAAATCACTTGCGTCTTCTATAAAATGTATTATTTTTTCATGTTTTTCTAAGTGTTTACGCATGACAATTAATTTAAGCATTGTTTTCGAACTATTTGTATGGTAACAATAAAGTGCATTTTTCTACAAAATGAAATTGTTTGATGAATAAAAAGACAAATTTGTATAAATCTAACAAAAGTAACTATGTGATTGTTATCATTGTATCTGTTCTATGATGTTTATTGGTGGGACTTGTATATTTGTTGCATGCGCATTTTGTTGGACCCATTCTAGATAATAGTTGTAATCGAGTATTTTATTAAATAATTAATTCTTTACAGTTGTTGTTTATATTTTTACATATTTGCTGTTATCTGTTATGATGGCACTTGTTGAATTTACTTTTTAAATGTCACATTGCAATATTTGTGTTCCCCTAGAATGGTCCGCGCGTAACGACAGTGGCTCCCCCAATACGGAACTGTATAAATGTGCTGTTTAACCTGTGTTGCCATGTTTTATAGTAAAGTTATCACCATGTTGGGTGTCTGTATATGGGTTGTTGGTAAAGCTTGTCTATTCTTACTAAAATATAATTATTATTGTTGTATTTAAATTATTTTTATTGTTAAGATACACTAAATCTATCCTTTATCTTAATTCCAGTATCGATTTGTACAATAAATGAATAAATAATGTTCTTTATTTATGGGTTTTATTTTCTCGAGTTGGAGTAAGTTATGGCATTATTACTAACTTACTAGACTAGGTTGTATAGTCTGACGGTACAGACTAGTTTCCATAATACAAAAGACCAGACATGAAATTCTGGATCCATAAAAAAATTAAGATAAGATGGTTTTTAGGATTAAATGAAACAGAAACTTTTGATTAAATTAACTGCATCTATTTCATAACAATTATTGGTCTATGTAGTGGTCAGCTGGTCGTGGTCTCTTGGTACAGTACTTATGGTTTCGGATTACATTAGTGGCTTCTATCTCTTGGATAGCCTTAGAGTGTTTCATTTCAAGGCTGGAACAAAAGAAAAAATGTTTAATTCGAGACAAAAATTGTCCATGATTGCACTTTGAATGTCAAATTATTGTTTTACCACATGTAATTTGATAAACTACACATTAATAACACAACTTGGATATAATTATGATAGTTTTCTAGGCATTATCCAGTGAGAGACAGTGCCTATGGTATCAGTGTACATACAAATTAATATTTATTAAAATCAGAGATACATACCTATATTGCATCTATTTAGTAGCCTTAGCGCGTCTGTTACACCATGTCCACCTGCAACCATAAAATAATGGGATTACCTCATTTGTATCAAGACTATATGGTATAAAAAGTCCATTACTGTATTCTTTTTATATTTACTTGGCACAACTCAATAAATATTAATATTTGCAACATTTGCCTCTATTGGTGGTATAAAATGACATTTTAATTCTTTACAACAAATTACCATTCCTCAAAAAATATCTGATATTAAAAAAATCAATAAAACAGTTTCTTTTAATAATTAATTATTTTATTTCACTTTTTATCATCTTTACTATAGAACAAAAATAATAAAAAAGCAAGCTACTATGTAAATACTTTTAACCAATAGATTATTGTGATCTTACAACTAACAAGCACAAAATAAATATTGCAGCAGTACCTTACTTACACTAGAATACACTAAAGTGATGCCTACCTGACAACTGTAGACGCTACAACTAATTATACTTAAAGAGAATTAGTTCTATTATTTAGAGCGTACTGGCAGTTGGCGAAAGAAATACCCATGCCTATGCCTAAACCAGTTGTGATGGGCCACCTCCTCTTAATTATAAGCACCGACGCCAAGCTGCCCAGTAGTACGCCTCCACCTGAAATATTATCACTTAATGTTATCAAACTCAGAGTGAGTTCATATTACTAACAGCCGTCTAAAGCAAGTGTTTCTAATAAGAAAGTATATTAATCAGCGTAAGCAGCAGATATTCTAACTACAAAACAGCACTGGATGTCCAAGACTTCTACTCAAGTATACTACAGAGTAGCCTGGCTGAAACGTCAGGTGTACATGGTATTTATATAAATCAGCAAAATAATTGGGATAAATACAAATATTTACCTCCTTTTATGATGGCATCTGTAATGCACATGTCCAGTTTTTTTCGGTAACTATCTTCGGGATCTTTGTCATTAACCATTTTGAACTTTGTTTATATTTCACCACAAATTGATAAATTCAATTTGACTACAGGTCTTACAGTATTTGATGGTTAAAACGTTCAAGGAAAAACGAAGTTATTGGGATTTTGTGGCTTTTACATAATTCGGTGTGAAAAATTATACGACACAGGAAAATGGTCGGTAATAAAGTGACACTGTCATTGTCATTATAACAAGAGTTGTCAATGTCACTCTCAGTATTACCATACATAAGCCAAATAAAATTATTGTTGATTGTCAACAATCAGCCGCATGTTATATCAATGCTGTATGCCTACCTACGCATTTGGCGACTCACGCGATACACCACAGTATACATATAGGTTGGCTCTTCTAACCATAGTAAATGTATGAAACCCACAAATATATTCGCGTCCTTGTTCGCGGTATAAGACTTATATATCTATCATTTAGAGCGCCTTTCACACTTACGCAGTGTGTCAGGTTACTGCAGCGCTAACATCGCATATTACACTATAGTTGCACTGACGCCGCCGTGACAAAGCGCCGCCTGCACGGCGAATACGTTTATTGAACTACGTAACCTACGCTGGATGAGCCATATATTCGCGGTAGGGAAATAAAAACCATCAACATAACTCTGTAAATTGCGGGGCTATGGGGATAGTTATAACAAGTATTGTTGTGTAAACACATTCATTTTACTGCTCCAATATAATATTTTATCACCATACTATTCGATATCAGGCTGTAAATCGCTAAAATTTATGAAAATTTTAATTTCACGGGCGACCCTGGAACAATCACCTTAAATGTATAAAACGATAATTTATTAGCTTACCGACAATTTGCTAATGAGTATCCAACGCCAACACCAGAACCAACGAAGGCGGGCCATCGCCGTCGTTTCGTGAAAATAATTGAAATAAGTGTACCCAATAGAGCTCCATACCCTGCATAATTCAAGCTATTTTTTTATTGACTTAAAATCAAATGTAGCATTTTTATTATCATTCAATCACCAATCATTATGATAATTATGTAATGACAATGTAGATAATGCAATATGCAGTTTGATTGAGCTAATTATCTATTGTAAGTAATAAACAACCTTAATTTAAGTTTGAGAGCGATCTATAGGTGTGTGTGTGTATAGTGTGAAGCGGCGGGGATTTGGATGCAGTCTCCTCACTCTTTATGAGAGAAAATCCGTGCGTCGGTTTCGTGAGAGGATCTTCGACCACCATTAACACGGCTCTGCGTCACTGGACGGCGAGCAAGGGTAGCTCGTTAATCGGCCCGAACCAGACCCGACCATATGGTGCAAAGAGCCATCAGACTACCACAGATGGGGCCCAGTGGGGCTCATGCCCGATACGGAACCGCGGAAGACTTAAAGGAGCAGCACATACATACATATTATACATAATGCCTGTTTCCCATTGGGGTAGTGATTAAGGAAAGCCAATTGAACGGGCCAGTTTTTGGTTAGTAAGAGTGACATTCCCTTTCGGCCCTCTCACCACACTCAAGGCGGGCGGAGTAATTAGATGATTTTTGCTCCTTAAAAAGACTATCGACTATCAATACTTTATGTTAGAAACAAAGCCACCTTGGGAGATATAGCATAACCGCACAAATGGATAAATACCGAGTATTTATCCGTTTTTACTCGAATATTTAACACAATTTTTTTCTGATAAATACTTAAAATGTATAAGAAAGTACGGCAAATACTGAGTGTTTATTCAATTTTTTGGGTAAATAATCGAGTACAAACGAAAAACAGACCATCTTTGCCACAGGGGAGAGCTCGATATTAGAATTAGATAAAATATAACACCCATCATTATTTACCTCCTTTAAATAAAGTATCGTATGCACATGCTTCAGGGTCTGCTGGTCTTGTCATTGTGTAGTAGATATTATAGTTACCTACATCGGTAATATCTGAATTTGTGAGTTTATAATGGTTGTGGGATGGTGGTAGATGGCAAAACGAAACATTGTGTTGTGACTTGTGACAAAATCATAATTGAAGTAATGACGGTAACGACAATAACATTTCTATTTCTGCGAATGTCAACTTGCAGCAAAGACTAGAAGTAGTTTATATGAAAGACATTGATTATATCAATACGTTGGCTACTATTTCAAAGGTGACACGCGACTAACTTGGTTCAATTACTCAATTTGATAATTAATTATGACTTCAAACTTATTATAGTCACAAGTCAACGAAGGCGAGCCATCGCCATCGTTTCGTAAAAATACCTAATTGATATGTGGGTACCAAACAGAGCTCCGTACCTTGTATAAACCTACCATTTTTGATTAGCTGAGGCTGAGGGACTCACGTCACGGTGCATTTGCCGATAGATGCCGCTGTGTTTTGGCTATTTATTTCCTATTTTTTATTTTTGTCTTTTTGTCATGTAAAAATATAATTTGCTGTTTACGCTAAACTTACGATTGTAGTATCCTGGATATTAAATAATAGCTGTAAGAAAAATTTAAGTACCTACCAACTGGTGTTTAAGTGTGAAAAATAAATTGTAACATACTTACAGTAATATGAAATCATCGAGGACCTTCTGCCGACAAACTGATGTGGAGTTTGGTATATGCTGTTTTAAAGTCTTTCTCTTTCTTGTATTTACATACAAAAAAATAAAATAAAAAAATACGTACTAGTCAGGTCGTTTATTGTCGGAGATAATGCCTATATGATAAAATAATTTTTATTTACAATTCCTTCTCTGAAATTAAACAAAATCACATATTATTAAGACAAACATTTTGATTCCAATGGAATATAAGCATATTTGAGAATAATCTTAATGTAGGAAAGTACCTATTTAATGTTTGCGTTACACAATCCGTTGATATTTTGTATTAGATTTTAAATTCGGGATTCTTTCTTTACATTTATGTTCTTGGGACACATTGGAATTCAGGTAGGTACGCAGTGTTATCTTCAAGTGGTAGGCCCTTAAGGCATTGGAACGTTGAGGACTTCCTATCACTCTTGCTTTGTCTTGCCTTCGTCTATTCAGAAAGTGGTCGATCGGTCCATGAAAATATTGACGACATGGTACCTTCTTTTAAGTATATATTTTTGTATTTGTGCGCGCGAGAGGTTAATGCTTCACTCCTAGAACAATATTAATGATTTTTTATTTGACATTCTTTATTTCAATTAATTAATATTAGGATTAGTATATGAATGTACAACATTTAATAGTTAGTTAATGATGAGCAGCTTACCTTTTTATACTAGATTTTCCATTCATTTTCAAAAAAATATTTTGACATGACTTCGAATCATTTGTATGTACATTCAACTTTCCAGATGATCGTATAACTTTCCACCAAAGCCGGTGAATTTTCTTATGTTATGGAATATTATGTAAGTGCTCCAAGTTTACAGCATTTTGGTACAAGACAGCGTAGCATGATAGTTTTAAAAAATTACATTTAAAGTTTTTTCATACAAAGTATTACGTCAGTACCTACTTATATTCATCTATGATCCACTGGGGCTGCACTTTGATAGTTGCCAACCCAATTGTTGCAATCAAATCATGATCGAAGTACTTTGTTAACTATTTCCGCTCGGTTTTACCCGGCTCCTACCTATTGATAGTAGCGTAACGTTTTATAGCCTACAGCCTGCCTCAATAAATGGACTATTCAAGACTATAAATAACAAAACCAGTAGTTCCGGAAATTAGCGCGTTCAAACAAACAAACAAACGCTTTAGCTTAATATATAAATAAAACCTAAAAATAAACTAATAAAGATAAAGGAATAAGATAAAGGACTCAGAACGTAATCTTGGTTTAAAATAAAATTACGAACGATTTTTTCCGGCCCATAACGTATGTCTTGCAATAAATAATGATGAAATAAGTACCTAACTAAAAGCACTACGAAGCTAAACCTACTACTGCAATTTTATATTTGAGGCTGTACTTCACTAAGTTCTCAATAAGTAAAAAATATTAAATAGCTTACTGGCAGCTTGCGCATGAGAAACCCAAACCGATTCCTAGTCCCATGATAATGGGCCAGCGCCTGCGATTTATAAAAAACATAGATGACAGTGTTCCAAGCAATGCTCCCGCTCCTGTAAAATACGAACAACCTTATCTTGAAAATCCTAATGATAAAATATATATTGTTATTTGATACAGTATTTTAACTACCCTAAGAATGAGAGCGGCGCGAAACGCGTCAATATGACGCGAACTCAGACAAGAGTTCGTTGAGACAAAGAGTTGAAATGTGATGCTCAAATAGAATGCTGCGTATCCCTGGGAACAGCACGAGGGCATATATGTCCATTTTAACTCAACTGCGAGTGAAATTACCTCCTTTTACACATGCATCGGTTATGCATATCTGCACTACAGTCGCAATAGATCGGTCTTTTGGGTCGATAGATTTTGCTGAAAAATCGGGAAAATTTGAACGGACCATAGTTGATATGAGGTGTTCTAAGCAAGTTTTAGAAAAAGTAAAATTTTTGTAATCATTTTGATGTTATATAGGCTATAAACAGATTTTATAATTTGTATTTCTGCGCCAATGTTTCGTTTTTACGTCAATCCACTCCGATACAGACTATGAACATGTATAGTAGACAATGACAGTGAAAAAGGATCTATAAAAAAAACTTAAAATACTGAGGCATATTGGGCATAGGCAAAGTGTGTAGACGTTGCGGCAGGCCCAAAACGAGAGAAAAGAGATGGCGGGACGAATTAGACATCTATGACAAGGATTGGCCGCAAAAAGCTTTACATAGAGACGATCATGGCTGAAAATAAAATAAATAATAAATAGGCATGTTATTTTTTACAACTATAATATCCATACGTTGCTTATAATAAAGTCTTGATTTAACAGTGACGGACACTGTACACAAGTATGTGTCAAGTGTGTTTAACTGTATACAAAGACGCCACAGCGCCACTGGGCACTGCCGCCGACTCCCGTACTGCCACTGCGTTAGTTTTACTTGGATTTGTATTGGAGCTTATGGCTCAATACAAACTCTATTATGACTAGTCTAACGCGGCACCGGCACCACTAGGGTGGGCGGCGGCGTGGAGAAGCTGCCACTGCGGCGTGTGTGTAAACAGCCTTACTATGTTACTGAACGAACGACTTTTGTCATCTGTCATACACACGGCTGATTTTGACAACTAACTTTTACTTACATCGAAATTGTGTTTCAAAATTATTATAATTCATTACTTGTTTCACTCTAGGAGGCCTCGAGTGTACCAGTTTTTGAAAATGCGTAAATAATAATTAATTAGTGTATTACAAAAATATAATGATGATTTCCAATACAATTGTAAAGTTCCACAGACATAAATCATATCTACTCATCGTCAGAAATGCGAGTGCTACACAAGATACGAAGTCTATTCAGCCTCCTAACCCAAGGAGGATTAGCACAGACATGGTGGGCCCTCCAGACCCAGTGTCCAATCTTCGCAAAGTGATTTTTAGAATTCCACCTAATGAAACCAAACTAGAAAAAAGGTACAGAGAAATGAGAGCTGAAGTTCAGGAATGGAACCAACATTTTTGGGAGAAACATAACTCTACATTTTATCAAGTAATTATTTATAAATGGTTTTATTTAATTTTACCTGTTCGTTTGTTAGTTTGGGTCAAAAGTCTTTGAAATTTTGCTTTCTTCCTGATGACATATCAATCTGATATTTGGTACACATTCTTAATCTTATGTTATAAATAAATTTTTCCACAACTTCCTCCATTATATTTATAATATAGTGTTATTTAAAAGGCCTAAAGAGTTAGCAGTTGCTCCTCTAAGAGTTAATTTAAACCATTTAACATAAAAAAATATTTTAGTGTGCCCTAAGCAATATTATGATTATATTGCTTTTTAAAGCTAGTCCCAACAATCATCATTTTCAAAAAATATATCTTCTTTAATGATAATATTATAATAATTTTAAGAGTTGGAGAGTTTATTTCATTGAATTATCAGTTGACCATCCTACCCCTTCAGGGATAAAAGGCATGATGTTATGTTATGTTATCAGTTGATCATGAGAGATTATGGCAATCTCCAGAACTACTGATTTGAATTAAATATTTATTCTTGTGTTGGATTATCAAGGAAGGTTATAAGCTATTTAACATCACACCGCGATCAATAAGACCCTAGCAGCAGAAGAAACAACAGGCGTAGCTAGTTTTATAATATGTTGTCTATTTTATATCTTTGACAACCAGTATATTTAATAAACTGCTTGAGATTAGTCCGAGATACATTTTGACCCTCTACTTATCATCTCATTTGACCCATCACATTGTAAGTAGGTACCTACTATCTTTTTACCTTGCTATCTGTCACACATGCCATATTTTTGAGGTCAACAGTTCACACTTATCATTAATATTTTCAAAATAGGTACCTATATGTAAGATAATGAATTACATCATTTTTGAAAATATTTAGCATTTGATAATAAACTATGAGTAGTTATTAAATTGATAATTCTAATTTGCACATTAACATACAATTGGTTTTTGTGGAAGATGCATTCTACTTATAAATGTTTGTTCCTGTGCTGTTTACCATATCAAGTTCTTTTTTTTATATAAAAACCTTCCTGATGACATGAACTCAACAAAAATGATCCTAAATAGTTCAGCCTTTTTCGAGTTATGTGCTTTGCATTACATTTTATTAAATACAGTTATATTTCTTACAGGAAAGAGAGGAATACTTAAAGAAGAATATGCCAGTTGACAAACAGAACTTAACGGCAGATGAAATGAGTGTTTTCTACAAAGCTTTCCTTGACAAAAATTGGAAACTACACTTAAATTATAATAAAGAATGGTACAAAAAGAACTTCGCTCTACTAAGGCTAGCAATAAGAGTAAAATTAAATAAACTATTTAGATTTAAAGACTAGGACTCGTTAGTATATCAGAGAGTAATTTTTTACTTTAGAACAATTGTTTGGTAAATAAGGATGTTTATTTTTAATAAATAAATGCGTTCAAAATTGAGTTTTTCAATTACAACACGTTTGTCATGGGTAATAAGCCGAGTGATCGACCACTGTGCATGGTTTTTTTTTAACGGGGAAAATCGTCTAATGACTGCTCCCGCCTGGGTGAGGCGGGAGGGAGTGTCAGACTTACTAACTCAAAACCACCCGTTCCTTCTCCTGCACGTCGAGTCGGAGCCAGTCGGAGTTTTTAGTCAGTATGAGATGAGTGACACTCCCTCCCGCCTAACCCAGGCGGGAACAGTCATTCGATGATTTCCCCACTTAAATAAAAGTGTAAGAGAAAGAAGGTAGTTAAGTCTCCCACTTCCCTTTCCCTTCCCTTGTCAGGTGGGTGGTGGCGGCAAGCTCTGTATTCAATACCTATCTCTATATTCAATATCTGTGTTCAATACCTAAATGTGTTGCCAGTATTTGCCTGTCCATAGAGGCAATATAAAACCTATTCTTCTATTACAGCTTATTTATCTACTGTTGCGTAATGAATAAATAAAATTGTCAATACTTACATTTTTATTAAATATGTCAATAATAAACGTCACAAGTTTTGTAATTTGCAAAATATGTTTTCGATAGATTTTTTAAATAAATTCTCGGTTCGGAATTTCCCACAGATATAATCAAGCTATATTAAATGTTAAATAATCCGTTATTTATTCAAATAACGTAAAATGTACATCGCGTTCAAGTGGCTGATTGGTTTGACTCTCGCTATGTGGCTATCTATGTGTACCCTTGATATCATTGTCAAGAGAAACTTTGAAACTAAACAGGAGGGTGAGTTCATTCTATGCACTATAATGCAATACCTAAACAAGTATCTACCATCTTATCCGGTAAATAAAATAAATGTTTTAGGTCTTAACACGAAGATATCACAAATTGCCAGAAACACAACGATTCCATTAGCCGATGAAGTGCAGTTACAAACCAACAAATATTATAAGCATGTGCCCGACAAGCCCTCAAGAGTCACTGTAATGCCATGCATTATGTTCCTCGCCGGAGCTCTCGTAGTATCCTTGTACAATAGAAAAAACGAAATCATTATACTTATTAAACAAAAAATTTCTGAAGTAAACACTAGAGCTGTTATCGAAAAAGTGCAAGATTATATCAAAGTAACTCTATATAAAATATCTGATTTAAAAATAACTTCCGTCAAATTAATAAGCTTGCAAATGAGCAATAAAATATTAAGTTTATGGAACCGATTCTCTGTGTTGGTAACAAGGAAAGATCCAAGGGTTAATCTTTTATTACTCAAGAAATTGCAAGAAGTTGGCGAAGAGAGAAAAAATTTAGGCCAGCTCTTGATAGCAGCTATCCATGAAAACAAAAACATTAGAATGCAATATGAGTTAGAAATGTTGGCAAAAAATAAACTTGCCAGGCACATTGAGAACACACAGAAGGTGTTAAAAGAAAATAGATCAAAATACGTCAGTTTTCAACAGTTATACTTAGTTACACATCAAGAAAACTCATTCTTGAAGTGCCGGGTAAAAAAACTCGCAAAAGAAAAAGAGGAAGCCGAAAAAAATCTGTTGGAATTAGTAAACGAGGTATACAAATCCACAAATAGTCAGTTAAAGGCTTTCTGCAGTAAATTTATAGTAAGGACAACCGATAACTTATTGAACACAGACGTGGGCGCCGAGATACAAAAGTTTTTGGACAAATCGCGATCAACTTCAGCTTCCTCTTCAAATTGGCAGTTATCTGAACTCTCAAGTAATTCCTCAAGTAGTTGGCCCATAAGTGTAAATACGCGGTTTGCAGAAATAGTTCAAGACGATGTTCTAGTACCGTTAATATCTGACGCTCCCAAAATGAAGGGGCTTCCCGGTGAATATGTCTGGACAGTCAAAGACAAAGACGGTCTGATAGAAAAGTTGTACGAATATGACTATGAGACTGATTTAAATGACGGAGAAACTATTAAAAGAATAAGGCAATATTCCGTTTATTACGACAAGGATTGTTTATTGGATTTCATGAGGTATGTGTCTATCAACTAAGCCGGTTAAATTGGTTTAAATTAAAATTGGTTTGCTGGGTGACACTTCAAGAAACTGCGTTACGCTCCGCTCACGTTATGCGCTCACAATGAGAGCGAGTGAGAGGCACGCGTCCCTTCCACTCGGGCATGGTTAGCCCGCCTAAGAGCGAGAGAGACAGACATAAAAAGTAAAAGGCACGCGTCCCTTCCACTCGAGCACAGTTCATCCTTCTTCCTACTATAAGAATGAATATTCACATTAAAATTATTTTACCACTCAAAGTCGTTGTCACGTAAAACTTACCCGTATACCGACTTTACAGGCAACCAATTTTTTTTTATATAGGTAACTACGGTTATCTATATTTTCATTATTGTATTGCTTTCAGTTCAGGCACTGTAATAAATGACCCACGATGCCAGTCCCGATGCGTGGGTGTGGACTACCCTATAACAACTCAAGGTTTTTTAACGGGTTCCGAGGCGTTTCAAAAATTCCTGCAGAACAGTATTATTATAACAAACTCTACACCACAATTAACGGGACCGCCGTTGCAGAACGGTTGAATTTTTTAAAGTTTTTTATTTGGATGAAGTTTGTCTGAGAATATATTTTTACTCACGTTTTTGTTTTTATTTTATGTTTTATTTATTTTTGAATGATGAAATTGTATTTTTTGTGTAGTTTGTATGGCAACATTCTTTTTAACCTCAAAAGATCATTTTGTTGATTTATTGGGGCACATGAAATTCCAATAATAAATTTACAAACTAGAAAATAACTTACCAAGTAAGTACGTCAGTAATAAGTATATTTTATAAATATTGTGGACGAGTGTTTGTTAGTTCTAAAATTGAAAATAGAAAAATATTCACAAATTCGCAAACCCACAATATTTAGTAAATAAACAAGAATAATGTTGCCACACGCTTATTTAAAATTACCGTTTTAGGAATGGAAAAATTAAAAGAAATTGAAGTGGAAGCAGTAAATTGGAAATCAATTAGAGAAGAAGGTCTTGATCTGGAATATGCTGTGCCTATTCCTAAAAATATTGCAAATGATATATTTAAAGAACTGGAAAACAGTTTAGAATATTTTACTGGAGACCTGTCTAAAATAAAGTAAGATTGTAAAATATATCTTTATTAAATTAAGTATATATTATATAGCGTAGGTATAGTTATTATTCATTCATAGCATCAGACGAAATTTTATCTAAAGGACCTACCTTCAGATAAAATAGATACCTACAGAATATCTATTTTCAAAATTAAAATGAAACAATCTCACGACCTAATTTATTGTTTGGAGAATCGAAACCACTATTACAGAACACCTTTTATTTGGAATCATCAGTACCAAACAAGTACCTATCAAATATTTATTAGGAACTTGTTATCAGTCAATACTGATGAAATGGTAAAATTGCTTTAATTTTAGGGTTTTCGGCAAAGTTTATCCTTTGCCACGGCAGCAGGTAGCCTATGGCGACCCGGGTATAACGTACACCTATTCTGGCACCACAGTACCAGCCCTACCCTGGCCCGCACCTGTCCTGGCTTTGCGAGACTTTTTGGTAGCTCTTAGAGGAATTAAATACGACTTTGTTTTAGTTAACAAGTAAGTTTTATTTAAATACCTATTTTTATAATAAAATTATCGTATAATTTGCACTTGCTGCATCTGCTCACAACTGCATTTACACATAGGGTTCTTAATCCTCTTCTTAAGTTATTTAAATATTTTTTTTTTCAATCTTTGCTAGGTTATTCTGTAAGATGTCAAATCAAACTTATGTCGAGATTATTCTCAAAGCCATGGCGGACTGCGATCGAGTTCACTTTCGGATTGAAAATTACAGAATATCCTAGCCGATCAGATATCCATTTCCAACGTGTAGGTAAAAGTTCCTTGTCTACTCTCAAGGCAATGTTTGCTGATGAAGTTATTTATGTATTTTAAAGTTATGTCCATTGTAGACTTGCATTGTGAATTTGGGAGTCACAAAATAAGTGTTTGATTCCACATTAAGTAGGTACATACAACAACCTGCTGAAGGTTGTTGATGACGCATTGAAGTGTATTGAAGTGTCTTCGAAAATCAACAATACATTTTTTATTCTCGAACTGTCAGACATGACAAGCCGAAAAAAATCAAAACATCACATCTATGAGGTGTCGCACTGTCGCGGCGCTATTTTATCTAAGTACTCGTATAAATACATATACTGATTGCATAAAATAACGACTAGAACAAAGATATGATTGAGTCGACATAAGATTACTTATCTAGTTTTCAATTTATTAAAATAATAATCTGCATAATACACTGTCGTTTATGAGAAGCTGTAACTCAATAGCAGACTATAAAACAATACTTTTTCAGATAAATAAAGATCATACTCGCTCATTAGTCATTACTCGGCGTCTTGTTGTTGATATTGAATATTTGATGCAAACATTTCACACAGATATAGAAACGGTAACGATCACATGGGCGAGCACAGAGACAATGAACCAGAATTAGATCCAACAGCACCTATAGCGTCTCTATCCTTCGGACAGCAACGGACTTTTGTACTCAAACACAGAGATGCAAGAAAGACTGGCGTCGATAAAAGACCAATACCTCCAGGTAAGCGTTTATTTCAAATCCTCGTACTTGTTTATAGTAACAGAATCATCAATATTTCTTAACTTATAAAACATGTATCGCAAGAGCCGCGCCTCGTATGTCACCGTTTGCTTAGCCTTAGTGTGCGCGTCTTCTTCTTGAAAAGGGTTTTCAATAACAGTACTCACTCGTCGCCCGTAAGTCTCGCAACCTTCGAGAAACTGCAGGCAGTCCTTTATAGTGTTATCTTTAACTACAATCAAGTGTTTAGCCAAGTTCTCCAGGAAGGATAAAAAGCAACGCTTTGCGTAAAACCAAGTGTCTGTACCTAGGCGTTTGTTAAAAGGTTCTAGAGACTTAATGACCCTTGATATCCCAAATTCATAGTTTCCCTTCGCACAATATAAAGTGCCAATAACCAAGTTCACGATGCACAAATGATAAAATTTCTTTTGCGGGTCCTCAAATATTTGTTGCTCTTCTTCTTTTTCTATTTTACGCATAATGTCCTCGGCCTCTTCATTTTGCGACGTCATTATGTAAGACACACATAGATTAGCTAAAACAACTGCACTTACGTCTAATATATTATCGTATTGTTTCTTAACAATAGGCTCATAGAAACTGGCAGCCTCCTTGTATTTATTTTCTTGCATGAATAGCACATGCGCTACATTTAGCCGCCACACATCTGACTCATTGCAAAACTCTACAGACTTACGGAAAATCTTTTCAACTTGTCCGTAGTTTTCCATATCCCAATATATTTTGGCCTGTGCCATGACCACTGGGATGTATCTTTCCAAGGCTTCCTCATACTCGACGACAGCTTTCTTCACTTGGTCGTTATCTCCCTGAGATCGGCTTTCCTGGACCACTTTTGTGAGTTTTCTGAGTTGTTCCGCGTGCTTCGAGGCAATGTCTTCGTACTTCTGAAATGCTTCCTCTGGTGAAGTTTGGCTCGTTATTATAGCGTCCAAAAAGTCATACAGATATGGTGTTAAATATTTATAAGTAAACTGTGCATTTTCAGCCAGTACATCAGCAGCTAGGTCGAAGTATTCAAACTTGCAATAAAGAAGTAAGAGGTTGGCAAATGTTTCTGCCGGGAAAGGATCTTGTTGTAGCAAGAAATGCAACTTTTCGAAACCGTCTGTTGGTTTTATATCGATTGAAGTTAAAGCTATATTATGTAAGGTTACGGCATCTAGCTCGTGTTCATGTCTGGGTGGCATATCGTTAAGTGCTTCACGTGCCGCTTCTATGTTTTTCAGTTGAAATTCAATGGCAGCTTTAAGATTAAATACTTCTGTAAGCGCCGTCTCGTGCAGAGTTAGTGTATTTCCAACAGATTTTACTTCCGAAGTCTCTGCTTGCATACCGACTGCTAGCTCGGGGTGGTCCCGGATGCCTCTTTCAATCACTAGAGTGATATGTTTCAATGCTTGAGGATATTCTTTGAGTTTAAAGTAACAAAGTGCAATGTTGTAATGAAGATGTGCATTGAACCCAACAACGTTCAGACTTCTCGAAAACTTCTGTAACGCCTCCTCGTATTGATTTTCTTTGAACAACAAACATCCTAGATTTATGTCCTTATCAGGATCCTCTTGAGGATATGAATCCACGAGTCCTTTTGCAGTAATTGTGTCTTCTTCACCGTATTTGATGGCAGATTGTAACTTTATGACCTTTCTTTCAAGTAAAGGCGCTGTGATTTGCATTGTAACTTTATAAGACTCATCGTACATAGAAGCCTCGTGGAGTGCTTGTGCAAAATAGAGCTTGTACTCAGGTATGTCGGGATGCATAGCTGATAGCTGTTCATAGCAATTGGCTGCTTCAAGGAATGACTGTGTCCTGAAGTAGCAGAATCCGAGGAGAGACAGTCCAGCTCTGTTTGGACTGAAGTTGATGGCGTCATTGAGAGCCTTGATTGCTTCGTCGTATCTCGCTTCCTTAATCTGGAAATAGTTCAAAGGTCCTGATTACAATTAGATTATCAGCTAGATAGTACCTATATCAGTTTCTAACATAACAACGACTCCTTTACCGATTATCTAATTAGATTATTCAAATTACAAGTGGAACGTGTTAGGACGGGTGTAGCCAACGCTGAGTGTTGCTTCTTATTGTGTATCTATCGGTTAATACCTCCCATGTGCCATGAAAAGTTTTACACGTTTATGTCCTTATGAAGCGGAAAATAGGTTATCTAAGTGTTTGTCATCCTCAACTTAGTTGCTCGCCTACTGTGTGTCTCGTCGAAGACAGTCATACGCTAGCCTTTGTCTAGAACTTGAGTTATCAAAGATTATGAACTGATTGAATCTATTGTGAAATACTTATGTAAACAATTCAAGGCTAGGTGAGTTCCCTTTTTATGGAAGGCGATAAGGACGATGTAATAATGAGTAGCATAATACGAAACTGACATAATTGCCTGTTATATTTTCTATTTTGCGGTCGGTTGTATGTACTACTGTACTAGGCACTAGGCAGCTACTTTATTCAATTGTAAACAGTATGCATTTTTTTATTATGAATGCAATCAATACAATTGCCCGATTTCAGTCACGGGCCATGAACGATGCGCCCGATAGTCGTATTTCTTTGTTTAGTCCGTAGATTAACTAGATATTATCGGCTCTACACGTAATTTATTTTCAAAGATAAAAAGAGTATTAGCGTTATCATTATAACGAAATTGGCACAATTAAAAAGTCAGAGGTTTAAGGTACCTGTGTTTGTAACGATACGAAGCGCCAATTGTTTATTGCACTTTTTAGTAATAAGGTCTGTCGATAGGTATTTTCCAAAGTTATTTCAGTTACTGTTTCGATAATCAAAGGTGACGATGAAAGTCACTGAATTTAGGTTGAAAGCATTAAAATTATCTTTGGATTGTCGTTAATCTAATCTCAACGACGTTACAAGAATGCGTGTTTCTGCACTACCTAATTCCAATAATTATCTACCTACTTAACTGTTTATCTTTTTAACGACGATGGTCGTTGCAGATTAGTTTCGTTTTTTGTTATTTCGCGAATACGCAGCCTAGCCTTGGAAATTTATTTCCTAGTTTATATCTATGGGTTTGGCGTTTTCTAGATAATCGTTTGATTATGTAACGCATGGTGTTATCGTTGTTTGTGGAATACCTTTACTTCCGTTATTTTGAAAGGTCAATGATGATACTTTACGGTAGCGATAATTTCAAGTGTTTAAAGACAATCGTTACATGAAATATGAAAAAAATGCGTCAATACTTATTTTAAAATAATGGTTGTTTTATTTGTTAGATCGGAAAATCGAAAAAGAGCTGCAAGGCATTCCTAGTGGATAATACTATCAGTTTCATGCGTTCCGACATGCAGATCACGTGATAATACCTACTTGAAGCCGTCGAAGCATTACCTCGTCTGTTTATTTGACCACTTCACTAGAATGGTCACCACTTAAGTGACTTAAGGCTACATGATTTACCTAAGTACTAAGGCGTGAATCATTTAATAAAGAAATATTAAGTAAGTGGGTAATAGGTAAGGTCTAGTAGGTAGGTAAAGTAGGTAGGTCTGGTGATAACCTAGGGGGTTATCACAATTACTTCAGGTTGAAGCAACGAGTCAATGGCTTCTATTCTCCTCCCTTAACAATTCATTATTGCTGACATTAATGTACGAGAAATCACATAAAATTAAAGCTATTTTTAATACCCAACCAACTTCTTTCGACTTTCCTTTTCTTCTTACCTAGCTACCGACCTGAGTCTATGGAACACCCATGTTTTTGACAGGTATAAATTCCCCTGAACTTCTCCTTGAACATCTTTCTTTTTAGCTATCAAGACCTTTTCTCAAACTCGTCAATTTCTTCTCACAATAATACCAAGTCATCATATTCCGAAATTAATCCTTATAAGCTTAGCCATTAACGGTGGGTACTTAACTGATAATGGAATTGTGTTAGTCGAGCTCTCAGTTACAATGTATGCAGCCACGGTCTATTCTTGAAACACGTGGCTAAATATAGATAGGAATTTAATATTAGGTCTGTAACCGAATTTAATTGGGGAAGCTTCATGTCTTCTGGACATGGACACACCATGTTGTACTATGCCCTTTAGCTATGTTGATCTGATTTGTTTGCGAAGTCCCAGGCTGTGGGACAAGAAAACTTCTACGGCTACTCCTTGATTGCTTAGGTGGGCTAACCACATATTCTGTTTTTATATAAATTTCTAGATTCCATGATACTACCCAATTAATAATACATAATTTAAAAAGAACAGTCTTACCATAGTATAAATAGTTTTTGTGTACTGTCCATCTTTAATTTGCATTGTCATATCCATTTTTATTAATATTTAAAACAAATTAACTGAATAATATTCACGATTTCGGTGTTTACGTTTTACAATGTTTTTATCACCATAGCAACCGTTTTTACTGCGCCATTGATATTCATAGTGGCGGAGGGATAAAGGATTTATTCATTAAAACATTTACATATTTATTGAATATATCCGTGACAGTAATATTTGTATACATTTATAATATTTATATTAACATTTCTTTTTTGCAGTAAAAATAGAGTTGGAACATGGCAGTGTACTACTCATGAACCCACCAACAAATGAAATATGGTATCACTCTTTACCGACAAGGAAGAAAGTAATGGCTCCGAGAATCAATTTAACATTCAGAAAGATGCGTCTTAAACGTTAATGCACAAAAGCAATTTATTCATTTTTTTTACTGAGCTGTATGGCATTGTTCCTTTGTCAATGACATCGATGACGTAAATAGCAACTGTCAGTCAAATGTCAAATATGAAATAATTTGCTTTTGTCAATCAGAGTAATAAAATGATTTGTTGTGCTGTTATTTCGTATTAATATAATTAAATAATACTACAAAAGGCAGTTGTTGTTATTACAATACCTAAGGTGAGTGTCTATGAACAATTATGGCTCATATAACTGCACACAATCTACATAAGCACAAAACTACAGCTACATTAGTTACATGTATTCATTTGGTTATCAGATACTCGAGTAAGTACATTTTACGATAAGAGGAGGGCTATATAACGGAGGAAATCGTTGAACGGCCACCGTTAACGCTGCACATTGAAATGAATACTGCCTTCCGCGAAAAACCGCTCTTAGTAATCGTAAATTACCAAACATGGGCTGAAAATATCGTCATTCCAATTAATGGGCGATTATTCGAGTGCAGAGCATTAAAAATTTACTAAATTGTAGTTTTATTATTGTTCGGTCGTCGCTGCAAGTGTCGCACTGTGGCACCAAGGTTTAATATTGATGGTTGTTCAAATTGGCCCAAATAATTGGGCATAAGTCAAGTTAAATTCAAAATTATTGTGTAAATTATAACTGTGACTATGTGGTTTGGTCCGAATCTGCAGAGATCTTACAAGTATATGATGTTTGCGTCCAAGATGCCGTCTCTGCGGATAGACCAGAGTGATTTGAAGTGCAAGAATGGCTGCGATTACTTCGGAAACCCTCAGTGGCAAGGGTACTGCTCTAAATGTCATCGAGAACAGATGCAACGTCAGAGGAAGGCTGGTGAGTCATACTGTGTGTTATCTATTTATTTCAAATCTAATAATTACAATACCTACTTTATTGGACATACCCACATTTATGATAACTAAATTGGCAGCTGTAGAACAATATTGGCTACTATAGCATTAGGAACATGATTTTTATAAGTATTTTTTTCATCTTTATTGGTCGTTGGTCAAGTGATCATGCAAGTGATGCTCAATTGTCTCTGGTTCAAATCCAAGGTTTGGACATAGACTGTTGGATCTTGTTTTGAAATAAAAAAAAACTCAGTAGTAATATGAAATCTGGAATTGTGACCTATTATGTTGTTGTAACTGATTAAAAATTAGCGTTATATGTTTTGTAGTGGCTAGCACATCAATCTCCTCCAATCTGTAAATTTTTTTCATTGGGTTTTCGACTTTATATCAATACTATAAAGTTGAAGATGTAATATTCGACAGAAAACAATAAGTTGACCTGCTCTCGAGTCTCTCACACTCTTCCCTCTCCACTAAAAAGAACAAATAAGGCTAGGAAAAGTATTTACCAAATGTATACATGCATAAACATGTAAGGTGGGACATGTACCAGTAGTGCTTTAATAATCTTAATCTGTCAAACACCGAGCGGTCACCGGTGACCGCGACCTATTGTTCTTTAATTGTGTCTATAAAACCGGTACTCGACGAGTTAATGTGGTACTTATTTATTTTTTGAAAACCCCAATAAGAAAATAATATAATATGAAGCAAAGTTTGGTTCATTCTGAAACAATAGGACATGAAATGTTTTATCTGACATCATTTCTGAAGCAAATACTTAAGAACTTAAGCTATTCGCAAACAAGGAATCATTGTTTTATTTACATTTTATCTTAATTTTGCAATCAACAGTTCTAATGCAACTACGGAATGCTATTGCACCTTATTAGAATCTTAGAAGAAATTATTGGTAATTGAGTTATGAAATTACAAATTAATTTTTAACTGAAATTTCTACTTTTAAAAATGAGTGGTTTATTTGCAAATAGTTATTTAATTATAATTGTCATTATATTATGGAAATAGCTTATAATTGCAAGATAGTGTCTAGACAAGCAATACATGGCAATAATGCGTATGTACACAAGTGTAAGCTATTGTTTAAAGAGTACTTTACTATTATAATAACATTATTAATAATTATTGTTCTGTATTACAGTTATATTAATAGTTTAGTTGGATACTAAGGCAGTCACCGTAATGGTTGAATGGTTGCAACTGCAATTGGTGTCAGGTTTTATTATCAGATTGGGCAAAGTGTACTAAAAGAGTTTGGAATTGTTCCGTATTAGCTACATACATGGGATTAATAGGTATATGGGAAGTTATGTTATGACTGATGAGAAGAAATTCAAAGGTAGATGCCGCATCATCACTTACCACCAAGCGAGATAGTGGCCAAACGTCAGTACATAAAATTTTTTTGTTTATGATCCAGAAAAAGGAGAGTTTACTTTGTTAATCATAAATCTAAACCACTATATTATAATTTCATAATTATATTTATTTATCAAAAATCCGCTACAAATTACATTTTTAAGTACTAGGTACCTATAAAACTAAAAATCATATTTAAGAATATAAAAATATTAAAAATGCAAGCCGACCAGTAGTGGGAGCATGGTCGAAGCTACCGGTGGTTAGGACTTCAGAGACAGGAACCTACTCACGATGCGCCCGCTTCATACCCTCGTTCACAATGCCCGGTATCTTGAACTCCGGGGGGCGTTTTTTTGCTGAATGGTCGTGGTCATCTGCAAAGAAGTAGATTGAAGAATTCATATGGGATTATGTTGCTAAATTAATTTACCCACGTGAGAAGTGGTGTGAGAATAATGATATTCTGTTTTAATCGTTACAGACTTCATTCTAATTCCATTCTGTTTTAATGAAAAAAAACGCAAAAATTTAATCTAGACGAACCTTCTGCATCAAGCCCTTGACCCATCTGCCTAATGCCAACTTCATAAGGTGGTTGTCGAGGCTCTTAGAGATTAAAACATTATAATTATCTTTACTGAAATAATAAATCGAAGTTCTTCACATTACAAAGAGGTTCTAATTCAAAAATTGTGTAATCATCTAACAATAACAATGAACAATACTTATCAAGGGGATTGATCAAAGAGGTAATACATAATGTTTAATTAGAGGTATTAGTAATTTAACTATAGGACAGATATTGTGAACTTCACCTTCCCTGTTATTATCATTGAGATAAACATGGTTTTCACATAATACGCTAGATAAATACTGATTGAATCACAAGGTGAACCGCTAGGCGTGTCTCTATTATGTGCTGTTATGTAGTGTTTGATAAACATACGAAAACAATATAAATAAATTAAAAAGGATAATTAAAAAGGATAAGAAAACCAAGAAGGATTGTTTCATATGCTCACGCGTTGGCTAGACCTATGACCCACAATAGTGGGCCCCGCATATCAAACTTTCATTATATAGACCTATTTATAATCAAAGATAACGATCCACCACTTAATTCCGCCTTAGAGTAACTTTAGAGGAACCCTAAGATTTTTAAAATATAAGTTTTCTACAGGCTCCATGTGTGATGAAGTGCTACATATTGAAATTCTAAAGTCTCATTGTTTAATTATAAATAAATGATAATAAAGTTTAAACCGCATTAACCGCCCGATTAACCGCAATACCAATATAAATAGTTAGTACATACAATTATCCCCGTCGGACCGTCCCCTAGCCCCCAAGGTATCAATGCATTACGGGTAGGCGTTTCAATAGGTGTAACTGTCACTGAGTGGATGTTGAATTTTATATCTGCTTCTCTACCTATTCTGATGGGAAAGTAATGGTGTGATGTTTTATATCTAAAACAAGTAACATAACATAACATCACGCCTTTTTTATCCCCGAAGGGGTAGGCAGAGGTGCACATTACGGCACTGAATGCCACTGTACAATGTAACACCCACTTTTCACTATTTATGTTATGAGTCCCATGTAATAGGGGGTGAGCCTATTGCCATATACCGGGCACATTTCCAGACTCCGTGCTACTACTGAGGTTTTTACAAACCCAGTAATACTTTGCCCGACCCGGGAATCGAACCCGAGACCCCTTGCCCGGCAGTCACACTTGCGACCACTCGGCCAATGAGGCAGTCTAAAACAAGTAATACATACAAAATCTATTTGATAGCCAAATAAAACCTTTTGGTCAGTCCAGCAAATGCAACGATAGCATTTGCTCGCGCTCATGTGAATGCACCATTAGATAATCTAGTATAGATAGTCTAGTTCTTACAGTTAGCACAGAACAAATTCGAGAAATTACCGCATTCAATGAAACTCGTCAGCATTATCATGTAATACACATAAGTACTTACTTATACGTGATACTAGAGATGCACTACCAGGTGCATATGTACTGCGTAGAAACTTGAACAAATCTAGAATACTAACATGTCAACACGTGTCGCCGTGCATTGACCGGGAAGCGAAGCTCGTGTACATACTAATCTGTTTATGATCATGTTTGTCTGCTCATATCTCTTGTGCATATCTTCACGCCTGGTTACTGAGGAAGGCTTGGCTGAAGAGTGTTTTACTCTCGTCTAATGTTACCGACTTAGGTTTATTAGTTGAGGTTTCATCTATGCTTAGAGATTAAATGGTGAAGCTGATGTTTTTATTTGATTTATAATAATTTTTTGTTTCTTTCACGATCTAAATGGGAATTAAAGAAAATACCATAGGTCACTTGTTGTTGTATCCGTATTGTAATAGAGGACAGCCTATTGCTAACCGTCAGGTACCAGTCGACTCAGGTTAAATAAAATCTAAATTTTAACACATTTCTTGACCTGAGAATTTAATCTTGCGACCTTCTAGTTATATCTATCTAAAGATCATGTTCAATAATCATATTTCTGTTTCAATAGAAAAAGAGTCATCAGCAACATTACCGAAACCAGAACAGAAGAAGCCGGACCGAGGGTTGAGGATCCCCTCCCACTCCTCCTTCTCCAAGTTTGAGGAGAAGCGGCTTCGGCAGAGCGAGACCCTGAAGAAGGCAAATCTGTTGAAGTTCAGCGTCTTCAAGAAGAGTAGCACAGGTATATAGCGAGTAGTGGAACATGTGTTTCATAGGTACATTGGTACCTAGTTATTTCAAAAAAGATAATATAGTCATTCTAGTCATGTCCGAAAAGAAGTACTTAAAGTATTATTATAAAGATTATTTTCGATATTTAACGGATTCATTAATTCTAAATCGTAATATTTTATGAAATAAATACAACATTTACTTATTATTTCATTAAATTTTTGCGTTTTTTTTTTTACATAAAAACGGAATGGAATTGGAATGGAATCTGTAACGAGTACAACTGAATATTATTACGCTTTATTGTTCTCACACCACTTTTCACGTGGGTAAATTAATTTAGCAAAATAATCCCATATGAATTCTTCAATCTATTTTTTTACAGATGACCACGACCATTCAGCAGAAAAACGCCCCCCGGAGTTCAAGATCCCGGGCATTGTGAACGAGGGTATGAAGCGCGAGTTCCGCGCGCGGTTCCCGCAGCTCGGTCCCGCCGTCGACCGCGACTCGCGACTGTTCGTGCACAGCTTCATCATGGATGTCATCAAGTGCGCCAACGTGCTCACCGTCGACGAGCTGTCTGAGAGGGTTCAGAGACAATATCAGGTATGGGATTATTGCAATGTTTTATATGCGAAGGTGAAACAATAAAAAGATTTGCGTTTGATTTTGATTCGAAAGGAATAGGGTAGACGACTAATTTTTATTTTAATGTCCGTCTGGTAGATTATTTAAAAACATTAGACACGTATTTTTTATTTTCTTACGGAAACGAATAGTTTCGAAGATATATTGATTTGAAATGTCGCGTGACGTCACTTCTCAGTACATTTTATACTGAGAAATGACGTTTTAGCCCCACTCCTAAACTTTGATTCGTTTTATCTAAGTATTGTTTTATTATACGACTAGCTTCTGCCAGCGGCTTCGCCCGCGATCCCAGGGGTAAAATGCCTATGTATCACTTCAGACCATAATCTACCTCTGTTACGAATTTCATTCCGGTCCCTTCAGTCGTTTTAATATGACTGAGTAACAAACATACACATAAACTCACATATTTTCATTTATAATATCGAGTCAAGCTCATTTCAACCTTTCAGTTACAGCGTAAAGTCTATGAATGAGTGTTGTGAACGTTAGAGTAGACAAATACAATCAGAAATCACCGATTGCTAAGCTATCGGGAGTTTCACGTTTTATTGTGAGTCAACCATAAAAGATAGGCATGTGCTGTCGAGGAATATTTTTATATAATTTTAAGGAGAATATTTCCGTCATACATGATTTCTATGCAGCTTTAACCTATAAGCCTGCACACGCGACGTAAGCTTAAAAAATGGAGTAACTTCTCCCGTTTTTCCAATATTTCCCTTCACTGCTCTGCTCCTATTGATCATAGCGTAATGAAAAGTATACTATAACCTGCCCAAGAGTATGAAGAATAATTGTGCCAAATTTCGTTAAAATCCATCGGGTAGTTTTTGTTTCCATAACGAACATACAGACAGACAGACAGACAGACAGACAAAAATTTTACTGATTGCATTTTTGGCATCAGTAGCGATCCCTAACCACCCCTTGATAGTTATTTTTTAAATATATTTTATGTACAGAATTTACCTCTCTACAGATTTATTATAAGTATAGATAAAATAAAAAAATACGTGTCCTATATTTTTTAATTACCTAACTTACGGACGAATTTTTAATTTTCATACCCTGTCATCATCCCCATTCAAATAGGAATAGGTTGATGTCCAAAACACTAAAATTAATTTGAATTGTTAAAAAAATATTATAAGAAATTCAATTTTTCTCTGTGAAGAGAGGTGTCGATTTCAATCCCTAGGTTACATGCACTGTTTAAAAGTAAAAAAAATCATTTAATATTGTTTCGAAAATTTTAAGTGGTTTATGATATGTATATTATTGTCATTAGTATACTGCATAAAAAGAGGAAGTTCCTTTTAAAACTGTCTCGTTGGTCAAGTGCTCGCAAGTGCGACTGCAGGGCAAGGGGTTCGATTCCCGGGTTGGGAAAAGTATTACTGGGTTTTATAAAAAAAATTTCAGTAGTAGCACGGAGTCTGGAATTGTGCCCGGTATATGGCAATAGGCTCACCCCTTATTACATGTTAAGAAAATGTAACAATGAAATTAGGTTACATTGTACAGTGGCATTAAGTGCCGTAATGTGCACCTCTGTCTACCTCTTCGGGGATAAAGGGCGTGATGTTATTTTCGTTTTTACCAAACTGTAGGTATGGTTCTATATTTAAATCTTTAATACGTCATCTAATATGTTTATTGTTTATACAGCGTTTTATGAAGCACATGGACACGTCGTCGCACTTCGCGAACGTGGAGGCGGACACCAAGGAGCTGCTTATGGACTTCGTAGAGAAACACGCCATGACATACTTACACGAGTGAGTACATACATACACACACACACACACACATGTACAAGGTGCATAATTAAAGCAATACCTTGCAGTAACTTCGAAACTTACGCCCGAATTCTCTACTGCGGCCTTTGTTTTACGTTTAAAGTATTCGTAACGAGTACGCGTCCGGCGCTCTGATTGGTTGGTTTATTGGTGCCGGCCAATCAGAGTGCCGAACGCGTACTCGTTTCGAATACTTAAAACATGAAACAAACCCGTACTAAGGCCTCTGAATGAAAGGCTGCTCAATTTTAATTTGTACTTAAATATCATACCATCTCTATAATTTTACAAAGAATCTGTAGTGACAGGACGCGTTTTAAAATTTAGTGGCGTTTGGATATTAGGTTTGTTTGTTTATTTTAATTCTTGGAAATTATAAATTAAGATTGCACTTTTTGTAAGTAGTTCATGAGTCAACTTGTAACTACTAAATTTTTTATTTACTTATGTATTTTCACTGTACCATAAGTCAAAGTCAAACAACAAAAAATTGCAAAAACAAAGCTGGTTGCTCATTCCAAAATGTAGATTCGCATGGAGAAGAACGAGCAAGAAACTCCATACTCTTTTTCAATCGGGTTTACAATACAATTCTCTAGTTACATAGTTTTTTTGGTTCGATTATGTAAGAACAATGCAACACCTAAATCGAGTCAAAGAGATTGAAAAAGAAAATAACGTTGAGGACAATGAAATCATACAGTCTCCATCAAGCATTTACCAAACAAAATACATCTATCGATTATTTTCTCTTGTCAAACTAATTGCAATATTCATATAAATACCAGTTGTACCAAGTATTATAGTAACCCGTATATTGGTTTAGGTTGCCGTCAGTAGTGTTCTCTCCGAGCGGCACGGACGACGAGCGCCTCGACCGCGCCATGTCGGAGCGCATCCAACAACTGAGCTGGGTCGGCGAGAGACACCTCGAGTGCAAGCTCGACAGGAACAACCCCGACTGTAGGCAGTTACTCTACAAGGCCATTAGTGGTAGGTACACTGTATTATTGACTGCACGGCTGGCGCGCAACGTGTCGCGGGTTCGATTCCCGCACGGAAAAACTCTTTGTGTAATCCATAGTTTGTTGTTCCGGGTCTGTGTGTCATGTGTATGTGATATTGTATGTTTGTATACGCACATATTTAAATAAAAAAAAATATACAGATACTCGGGTTACCTCCAGGACCATGGTTAAGTCGTCACACTATACAAGAAATATAAGGTTCATAGTGATATTGTCTGCTCCCTTGTCTTCTATTCTATGATTATGAGAATATTTTTATATAGTTATTGTTTTCTAGTCCGAATTTAATTGATTGCAGTTGTAATTATATGTCTTAAAATAAGACAAACCTCATTTGTGTACTTTGTAAAGTTATTGTGATTTAACTCGTCGAGTACCGGTTTTATAGACACAATTAAAGAACAATAGGTCGCGGTCACCAGTGACCGCTTGGTGTTTGACAGTTTAAATATGTAGTAATACTTTGTACAAACAAATGATGTTAAATTTTTTTTAACATGTTATCCCCCACCCTAGGATTTTCTCCTGTGTCGTGGATGCGTTTACAAACATACAATATCACATACACATGACACCCAAACCCGGAACAACAATCTGTGGATCACACAAAGAGTTGTACCGTGCGGGAATCGAACCCGCGACACGTTGCGCGGCAGCCAGTTACCCAGCTACCGCGCCATAGTATAAAGAACAAAGTAGGTTATCTTCATACAAATGCTCCGCGCGCGGCTTATATGTGTGCGCCATAGTATCTATGCGTCGACGCACGCACACTTTAACAAAATCTCGACCCGTTTCTCAGTGCGCCAGGCAGGGCTAACACTGCACGAGGTTCGCGCGCGCTTCACGGCTTTTCGGCACTGTTCAATGAAATAAAAAATGTCTGATAATCGTAGAAGAACGTATTGCTGTGTGTTTGGGTGTCTTAATAATTAATCGATTCCAGAACTGTCTCTGTTCAGATTAGGTACCTATTGAACAGGAAAGGTAAGCTAGTCACTTTTTCTAGCATAATATAATTTGTAGGTACTTGATGATGAGATACCTACTTACCTACTTATTCTTACTCTTATCATTCTTCATAGTTCCTACTCAACCAGAAATGTAATTACCTACTATACTTAAATATTATAAGAAAATGTGGTATTGTATTGTTTATTTTACAGTTTATCTGATTTGTTAAGAGCGTAGCCGTGTCGCATTTTTCCATATAAATGTATTCCCAAATTTACTTTCTGAATACTATGTATAGAGCTAAAGTTTATTTTAAGAAGTTAATAATATTTTTATAAGCTTTTAATTTTTACTAAATTTATAAATTGATAAAATATTCAATCATAATATGCTTTTCATTTCATAAATTTAGATCAAGTGCTGCTTGTTCGAAAATATTAACTAAAAGTAAAAGTGACAACCCTGGGGATCAACGCAAGAGTAGGCTAATAACTCGGCGGGCGGCCTTAGATAACCTACTGTGTTCTTTATACTATGACCGCGCCAACCGTGCCGTCATTTGGAAAAGTTGTCTTAATTCAGAAGTTGTAGTGATAAAGTCACTTCAAGTCCTTTCAAGGACTCTAGTCTAGAGATAGTATTATGGTACCTAAATGTACGCCCCCCCCCCCAGAGTTGCTGGGCATGGACAGCGCGCTGTCGCCGGGCGACAAGTTGTGTCGCGTGCGTCGCTGTTGTCGCCACGTGCTGCGCCTGTGTTCCGCGGCGCCCGCCTCCGCAGACGATCTGTTGCCTGCTCTCATATTCACTGTAAGATAATTGATAATATTTTCAATGAAGTCTAAGCTAATGAGAATATTTACGACCGATTTAGTTTATTTCTTTATTAGCAATGTTTTGTTATCAGAAACTCAATGAAGCATTTTAAATTTGGCAAAAATTGTATACAAAACTTGACCCACAGTCGTTTTATTACAATTGCTAGATATAATTAATAAATAACACTTATTCCCAGGTGTTGAAAGCGAATCCGCCTCGTCTCGTTAGCAACATAAACTTCGTGACGCGGTTCTGTAACGCGCAGCGACTGATGACCGGCGAGGGAGGGTACTACTTCACCAACCTGGTGAGTACATGTCACATTTAAGCCAAGGATACATTAGGGGACAAAATGTCCCACCACATGTATCGGCGACGTCAAGAGAAGCCTGCCGATTTCGCCTGGCATATTATAAGGTGTCAACGACCAAAGTCTGGCAACGTCACGCTTATGCACCCGACGTCGCAGAACATTTATTTTGTCCCCTAATGTAACCTTGGCTTTATAAAATTTTTGCACTATTGATGTAGGTATCTAGGTTTTATGAAATTCTTTTTTTGGTTAAATAGGTGAAAGGTCATGTTAGTCTACTTATTTATGGAGTTAGGAAATAATGCAAAACAAATTATTATTATAATAAGTAAGGTTCCAGTGTTGGATTGCTTCGGTAACATAATTATTTCTAAAATACCCTGTATACTTAGTTTAAGTACTTGAAATTGAAGAAATATTTTTTTTTTTACTTGACTTTATAGTTACGACTTTGATTTCAGTGCTGTGCAGTCTCCTTCATCGAGAATCTGACGGCTGAGTCATTGAACATGGACAAGAAAGAGTTCGACTGCTACATGGCCATGCCAGCCTCCATCGGAGGCAGCGCTTGGGTAAATACTTGTAATTACAATTGTAATAAAAATATGAATAAACTAGCTATTTCCGCGCGGTTTCTCCCGCACTGCTTGGTGCCTATTGATCGTAGCGTGATGTTTTATGGCCAATAGCCTTCCTCGATAAATGGACTACCCAACACAAAAAGAAGTTTTCAAACCGGACCAGTCGTGCCTGAGATAAGCGCGTTCAAAAAACTAACAAACTCTTCAGCTTTATGTAATAGTAATAATACGACTGTTAGTAGAGATATGATCACTTTGGAAGATGATTATGAATAGTAATTGTATCCCCCCCAAGGCGGCGGCCCTGTCCCTGTGCGGCGCGGCGCGCGAGGCCGACGAGCAGCGCGCGCACGCGCACGCCCTGCGCGCGCACACCGACCACGTGCACGCGCGCGCGCGGCTACTCGCTGCCAGCGCGCAGAGCTTTGAGGTAACCAGGAACAACTTCAGAAAAAGGCTTTTGTGAATATGAATTGGAATAACCCAAAGTTAAAATTATCAGTAATCAGAAAAACAACGAGGAAAATTAAATCAACAAGTGGCTTTTAAATTACTTGAAATACTACTTTTTTCATGTTCATAAACAGGATCATTTTGTATAATAAAAAAAATAAATTTTCAGGAGCAAATCGCCAAAAAAGTACAAGATGTCCTCGCGAAGACGCCGTTAGAAATAAAACCACGGCGCGAGCTGCCGCGCCTCGGGAACCTGAAGGAAATCAATACAGCACCACTCATCGACTTGGGCACCACTTCCGTTCAGGAAGAACCACAGACAAAACCAGAGGTCAAACTAGAGCCTCTGGCGGCTACCTTACTCCCAATCTCAACAGAGTCCAAAGAACCAAACATCACTATTCAACCAGAAATCGAGCCAAAACTTAACATCCTTGGCTTTGAGGTAATTGAAAGACAATCTCCTTCCAAATCACCACAGAACCTTGATCAAACGTGGGACTTGAAGCAGACCAGTTCATTAGAACTACTCACTCCATCGCCTCTAGGCTTTACGCCATTCGATTCGCGGTCCATCGACGAACTGATGACTCCCGACGAATTTGGGACGGACCAACTGCCACCAGGACTGAGCAACATAAACTACGATATCGATCTATCAGATTTCAGTGGCGACAACAGTATAGCCGAGGAGGCTCCTAAATCTGAACCCAAGGACCCATTCAGTCCAGAAGCTCTCAGAAAAATAACTACGTTTGACCCCTTCGCCCCGCAAACGTCTAAGGGTTTCGAAACAGCTTTGGATTCGTTTGATGAATTCAGTTTCGTTGATCCGAGGAAGCAGGAGACTGATCCGTTTGAGGTGGTACACAGAGGCCAGGACCCGTTCAGTCCAGTAGAATTATCTAAGGACCCTTTCTTCAACCCAGACAAGCAGTCAACTTCTATCCTAGACGAAAATGACACGCCCGCCACTGCCTGCTTGCTGCCATCACCGATACAACCACAAAGCAGCAACAAACCTACTTAGTCGGTATTTAACTTTAAGTTGTATCTATCATAGATCTATTATTATTATTAACCAAATTGGTTGGTGCTACAGTTGAAAGTCGATTATTGATTTGTTCAAGTTTATTATTTATTTAAATAAATCATAGTTTAAAATGTTTCCCGTCGAAATAATAAATGGCATGGCAGAAATATTATGTAGTTTTCTTCACTATGGGATGTAATGAATGACATGGAGTGCATTAGTACTGGACTAATGAAATACAGGTGCTAGAATACATGTAGGCGCTCAATCAAAACTACAATATACATTACAAAATTTATTTCAACTAGAATTTTTCATAAAACTTTAATCAGCTTATTCTTAGATATAGAAGAGATTGAATTTAAATAATAAAAACGTTACGGTTTTATGCTCACCGTAACACTCGCGAAGTGATACAAGATGAGGCAATTAAAACTACACAATTAAGTAACGGTTGGTATAAATAAATGAAGCTAACACTAACGAATTACAAGATACCTAAAATATTCATTAATTATAACAGTCACGATGTAGAAAACAATACATTTCTGGTAATCTTGAGCTATTGTTCTCAGAAAACAAACTTAGACAACTCTACATATATTGGAGAGCAATGAAATTGCGCAAGTAGCTGGGTGACACCTAGCAAGTGGCAAGATTATTCCATAGCATAGTTTTGGAATGTACTCCATATTCGGTAAAACATCCTGAATGACAACCTTTTACAAATACATACATGGCCTTTGTTAGGTTAAAATTAAAATTGTATATCTTAAATTAGACCCTTGAATAAGTTCTTACAGTTCCATATTTGCTGTAACACACTCTGGCATATAAATTATAATGTTGGGATTCGAAAATCCTTAATCTAAAGGTAAAAATTTCAATATATCAATAATAGTTATATTACTTTTTACTGATGTCCAAAATGTTTGCATTGTCCTTTTTAGATGTATAGTGACAATGTGGTGAACTACTTAAGAAAGTTGAAAAACTTATTCCAGGACCTATTCAAACAGATACTTTGAATAAAAATACGCGCCACTAATGCTATTCCTTTGCTCACCACTGTATGTACTGGTTCAAGTTTACTAAAATACAATCCTAAACACAACTTAGAATAAAATCAAATGGTGTGATGATTGTCTCGACAGATAATGAAACATTGCAACCCCAAGTGCACTAAATATATCGTATAAATATACTTCATAAGATTGGCAGTCAGGTACCGGCAGAAAAATAATTTAACATTTTTAATGTTTCAAACACATTGCTTGTTATTTGACATCTCAGACTTGTACAATGTTTTAATTTAACATGCATAATGTACCACACTACTGTGCACATTCAAAAGGTCATTAACAGTTCACTAGACATATTGTTGTAATATATTTGTACATATTTGCTAAGTTGGCTTCAAAAAGCTAGTTAGCACTAGCACTGTGTAATATAGCTTGCGCAAACGCAACAACATGCTGCAGACCTAGTTAACAACTTCATGTGAATATCTTTGTTATCTGCCAGAATGAATGATAACACTGGAAATCTGATAAGTGCCTTGGGTGTAAGTCAACTTGTTGTGACCTTTATATCTGGTGAAGCCTTTCCACAAAGCAATATCACTCATTCGCAACATAAATGTCTATGCTCATAATATATACAAATGATTATTAATTAATGTTAGTACAAATTTGTTCAATGTTTGGAATAAAATAATCACTTTTCTCACGTGAGAGGTCACAATTCTTATACAAACTATCTCGACAAGGCAATTCTAAAGTGAATATTTTATCATTCACTCTGAGAATTTAAACTTTCCACTACTTAACTCTAAAGTTGAACACACATTTACAAAGTAATGAGAATAAAAAAACATTATTTTTGGCTTACTTTGATGTTGATTATTTCATAAATTCAATACAAAACATGTCAAGTCAAAATTACATCTCAAACACCACAAACTGTAACAAAAATATGGTTTTATTTCAATTGCATATGTATATGTTCTTTAGTATAATTATATTTAATAACTACTATATTTTGTGGTTAAAAGTTTAAATTCCATTGACTTGGAAACATAATTACATTATTGTTAACAGCCAATGAAAGTCACTCAGGTTACTGTGCTATAAATAATAAGTGTGGTAATGATTAGGCAATGGATATTGTGACATTTATTCCGAGGTTTCCACTATCCGCAAACAATTGTGCAAGAGATGTGTCAAATACCAGACAATCCGAATTCATAATAGCAGATGACACTCCTTCATGGATGGAGCGCGGCATGGCTTCCCAAGTGAGTCGTCTACGATGACCATTGAGCTCTAATCTGTAAGCAAAGTTTTCTGCTTCCTTCCGAGATCCTATGAGTTGCACAATGGCAAAGAATTGTTGATGTCCATCAAACTTCTCTTGTTTTTCAAGGACTAACATAAAATGATGATTGAAACATGACTGCATCATTACCCAGTCTACTGCTCCAGGGAGGTTGATGTCAGTGGCCAGGAACACAATGTCTTCTCCCTGGAGTGTAGTAATACTTTTGTGAGACATCATAAGGTGTGGCATAACTTGGTCTAGGCCTCCTTGCCACTTGCATGATGCACCAGGACAGGGGCATGAATATGGCCTGAACTCACAGGCTTCCTCATGCTCCGCCTTCTCAGTGTGCACCAGGGTGACAGTACAGCCGGTGTTGGAGTGTTTACATGGGAACATAACATTGCTGGCCACTTTCTCCATAGCAAGATTACGTATGTTGCCGAGGGGGCCGCGGCAAGTCGGGCAGCACGACAACTTGGGACGGCAGCTGGAGCACACCAGGTGCCCACTCTGGCACTGCAGGATCGGCGGCAAAACATAGTCGAAACACACAGGACACTCGAATAGCGACGCAAGGTCGGCAGACATGGCGGTTGGCGCGTTCACCAGTGCAGGCACGCCAGGGACAGAACAACTGGAACTGCTAGCTCCGCGCCGCTTGTTGGTTGTGCTCATGTCACCGTCACGCGCACATAAAACCCGTCTGTCGACGATCAGCTTACCTCTTCGTAGTGATTCACAAAAGTTTCGTGTCTGTATATATCATTTGTAGCCTTCCTCAGCTGATTCTTTCCGCCTAGAGGTCGCGGTGAAGTTAGTTTCCATCACAGTTCTTGAGGCCAATGTTATTTAGTGCATACGACGTGATTACAGTGGGATATCTTCAACTGCTATTCAGGGCGATTGATCCAATCACATTTACTTTAGAATTTTCACAATTTAATACATGTTTGCGGTGTTGAGTTTGTGAAAATAAAAAATCAATTTATTGCGAATGTTCTAGTTCATCACAAAAGGACAAAATTCGTCGTAAAACCCAATGACGGCCAATCGAACAAAACTCACGAATGACATGACAGCACCATGATGTCATACCATAGAGTACATATTGTATATATAGATCTATAGAGCCAGCTGATGCGGTTGATATTCTCGGCTAGTTCATCGACGCAAATTGGTAGAAAAATTCTACTAACTTTTCTATAATTTCTACCATCGAGATATTTAATTCATATCAAATAGATGTCTCATTAATAAAGGTTTATTCAGTTTTTTATTAAGTTATGGTCCATTCTATTCAACCTCTTCGTAATTATGATTTGCTTGATTCTTCATTGCATCGCTTGAAAAAATATGATTATCCCAAGAACGTTGAAAAAATGACGTCCTTGGATTTATCCACTCCTTACCTACGAATTCAACATTATAAAATTATTTTCGGTAACATACCGCAATATAGTCGATAACATCATATTGGAGACTCTGTGGAAAATAAGAAGAAAAAAAAATCTTGGAACAAAAAATCTACCTGGCTTTTATTATTTCTGAACTGAATTTTATTGAGTACCTATTGTCTAGACAAAATTGTTATCTACCTTACCTTCATCTAAGGACCGTGCAACGTCCTTACCTTCTTTTACTTATTTGTATTAGGCTAGGCGGCCACCAGAAAAGATGCCAAAAACTATCTAACACAATAGTATAGATAGTAGAGAGCGTTAATTGGCTAATTTGCGCCTTGTTATATTACCGTCAGGAGCTAGAAGGGTCGCCGTTGACGTCACAATATTAGCGGATATATTGTACCTCTTTGTACCCATTATTTAGCGCACGCAACTTCTAAGAAGTGTAAAATTACACTGTTATCCTTCTTAACAATGGTTGCAAACACGCATTTCTGGGGAACAGACTTTACTTACTAAATATCTAATCGGTACCTAGGCCTAGAGTAAGATTGAATCTAGGTGCTCTATACCGATGACAACTACTACATTGAACTATTTAGGTACAGTTGAAATACGTCTCGATCTGTATTTTTTTTGTTTGGATCGCAGAACATAATAAAGGTTTGGACGGAAATGTTAAATAAAGATTTTCAAAATAGCTGTATAAATTATCACAACAAAATAAATAATTTACGATATCAAATAAGACTACCTATCTCGTTGGTGGAGTGTTACAACTGCCGACGATTTGATGAATATGTAAATTAAAATTTCGATATTTCGGAGGGCTGGGCTATTCATATTCAGCAATAGTCATATCCCTTTGGAGATGTCGCGGAGAACCTAACGGGTTACCGGGGCTCCGGCTCGACGTGCAGGAGAAGGAACGGTGGAACAGTAAGAGTCTGACAAGGAGTGTCAGACTCTTACTGACTAAAAACCACCCCGCAGTCATTCCATGATTCTCCCCCTTAAAAAAACCCTTTGGAGATTAACAGTGCGACGATTACGTCGCACTGATACATTAGTATCAGAGGTAAATTTGCCGAGCCATTGCGGCAAATCTATCTGTGTAGCTTGCGACTACTCGTACCTCGTGACTATAATTCACACAAAACATACATTATGAGTAATGAGTAATCACAAGAATTTGATAACCTGTAGTCAGCAATGTGACAATTTCCTTTATGAATCGTTTTATAACGTCCTTATTTTGTATTAAATATTTACGTATCCTTCTCCTTTTGTGACTAGTCCTTTCTCGAGTCACCAAACGATATTCACAAAAGTTAAGTAGGCACTAGGCACTTACCTATTCAATACTTGACTTATAGTCTTATGTCCTTGACTTATAGTATATGTAGATGGGGCACAGGTCCTCTGTCTCCACCGGTCTTGAGCTTCCCGCTTCACCTCGCACCATGTCATTGACGTCATTATTAAATACATCATCATCATCCTCATTATCATCAAGAGCCTATAAATGCCCACTGCTGAGCAAAACCTCTTCTCACACGGAGAAGGTTTGAACATTAATCACCACGCTTGCAAAATGCGGGCTGGTGATTACAAACTTATAATTAGAAATTATAAGTGCAAGTTTCCTCACGATGTTTTCCTTCACCGTTTGTCAGTGGTGTCTAAATAATCTTAGAAAGTAGGTATATATAACTCGGAAAAAGTCACATTGGTACTCGACGTTGGTAGGTTTCGAACCTTCATGCACGAGAAGCGGGGCGTCTTAAACCTCCAGGCCACCACGACATCATTATTCAATGTATCGGCTACTATTTGTTAGATTTATAAAGTTACATGTGCAAAGTCTGATGTAAATATTGAAAGAATGCAACTAGGCTGTATGCTGCAGGCAGCTGAAATACCTACAATTAATTTACAGTTAATGTAAATTATTATAATTATATTATAGCTATTTGAATTACAAAGGAAATTGCCACAACTTTTATTTCTCACTTGGCAAATAATCCAGACTAAACGGTTTGCCGTCATTTCCAAAAGGTTAGCTTTGACAGAGTTGTAGTCTGGTTCAATCTCTGAGACGGGTTTTTTCGACACCTCTCAGAAGAGAGGGAGCCACGGGTGGTGGCAAATATAATATTCTATCCAGCCGTCTTCAAACAGCTCTATCAAAAGATTAACAATAGGAAAAATATGGAAAGATATTATATTTCGTCATCTTAGCAACCAATCATAGCGGAAACTTATGACATATTTTCCAAAATGTTTTGCAACCATTCTAAGGAAATAGGTTCTAGATATCTGAAGAAGAAATCTCGCATCTTGTTTATCTGACAGCTGCTCTTACAGATGTCGAGAAATATAACTTTATCTTTAAGATAAAATTATTAGTAACTCCATGATTCAGTTTTTGCGATAACAACGATTTCTTTGTTGCAAAATTGGATCGAGAATATGGCGTAATGCCCTTTTCTATTTCGACGTGAGATGAATTTCAAGCCCTATTTTGATTGAAATTCTGTCCGCCTATCAACAACTTGACGTGTGTGTCTAAATGATAGTGATCGCGCTCGTGTATTGTGGCTGCTTTTACTAATATTAGCACATAGGAAGTCTATTAATTCTCCTATCAAACTCAAAAGCATGTATTTCAATTAAAACATAATTTGGTACTTTTGAAACGTCAACAAATATAAAATAAACAATAGTCTGTCAGTGAGTAGCATCAGTGAAGCTAGGCGCTTGTTGTACTTAGTAGGTATTATAGTATTATTGTATATTAATATGGGCGTTCGTTGCCAGATACCTACAAACAAATATTAGGTATGTATCCGTTCCGATAACTGATCATCTTAAGCTTCTTACGTCCAGTTTCTATAACCTATCTATCTGTAGATCTGCTTACTAGAGATGGAATTTTGACACATTTTTGTATGGAGCTAATGTCAAAATTCTATCTCTAGTAAGCAAATCTACAGATAGATAGGTTATAGAAACTGGACGTTAGCGTAGCTCTGACACGCACACTCAACTTTGGCTCCTATACATATAGAGTCGAAAGCGCAACTGGCTGGTAGGAAGTTGGGTATCCTATAGAGGCTGAGACGATACTTCACACCGAAACAATTGTTGAGTCTTTACCCAGCACAGGTTCGATCCTGTATAGGGTCCCGTTCTCATTTTTGGGACACAGGCGTAAGGTAAGAAGCCTTTCGGTTTTCTACCGGATGCATTACGGTGAGTGTGCGGGGGAATTGCACAACTTAATTCCCATAGTCCCTTTCATCATTATACAACAAGACAATCGGCGAAGCGTCACCGATTCATGGTAGATGTCCCACACATCATCAAGCTTCCTTGTGTGTACAGCTAAGGAATGTGGAATCCTTTGCCAGAGTCTGTGTTTTCCTGAAGGATGGTTCCCTATAACCTGGGTGTCTTCAAGGACCAAGTGAATTGGTTGGTTATAAGCAGACGTGCTCCATCGTAGGCAGCATCAACGCTAACCACCAGGCGAGATAGTGGCCACACGTTGGATTATTAGATATAAAAAAATTTAACTAGACAACATTACATACAGCAACGGTAGCGCAGTTTAGGCGACTTTCGCGTTGAGATAAAAGTTGCAATCATTTTTCTTATTATAATTTACATTAAACTGTCAAACACCAAGCGGTCACCGGTGACCGCGACCTATTGTTCTTTAATTGTGTCTATAAAACCGGTACTCGACAAGTTAATAGCTTACGATCAACAAATTCTGAGGCATTACTGCTACGCTGTGCTTCTGAGCCTTCAGTTTCAGGAAACACATTCATGAATTTCTATGGCAATAGGTACTACTTAATATCAGCTGCACAGTGTGAAGCCAAAAAGTCATTTATTAAATGATCAATGAGAAAGGTAATTATTTGGCGGAAAAATGCACTCTTGACCATGAGCAGAAGAAATTCCATTAAAATAAGATTTTGGAAATACCCACTTCACATATAAGTGAATGATGAACTCAATAAACGAGGATGGAGAGAAATGCGTTAAATTTTAATTCATGGGTCGGCCATGTAAGTATATGTATGGTTTTACATACACATCACACTTCCTTCGCTTCAGGGGTATAGCGGTTAATTCTACGCAATAGTTACCTTATTTTTAACTTACATATTAATTTAATTTAACAAAATAGTTAGGTTATGCCGTAACAAAATATACTTATTTTATGTTTTTGGAGAGCTTATCTCATGGTATTTAATGATCACTTATGTCAATGTATCTTTTTTTTGAAGGGAGAAAATCATTAAATGGGAATCATTTCTGCTTTGGGTGAGTTAGACTGCTACTGATTAAAAACTACCCTGTTTCCTACCGCTGCTTCGTTGCAAGGTTGTCCGCAGCCCCGGCAGTGACCGCAGCCCAAACACCTATACTTCATAATTATAAAGTTAAAGAGTTTGTTTCTTAAACGCGCTAATAGCCAGAACTATAGGTCTATAATATAATATAGCCTAAACTTTAGCCTATATATTATATAGGCTAAAGTTAAAACAATGAAATTCAGTAGAATTTTAAAATAGTAATTTTGCCTGCAATTTTAATTTTAAGTTCGAACTCTTAAACTTCATTTTATGTTACGTTTCTTTCAACAAAAGATTCTAATTAAGAGAAAAAAATACAATGCCTACTCTAACAAATCAAGTAATCACACGCATAGTTACGCAACGATTGGTAAAAGTAAATAAATGTAACAAAGTTTGTTCGCGGCTCACAGGTATTTGTCTTGGTCGGATTGTATACAGTCGGAGAGAAAAATAAATTAGTCTATGGAACGTGTTGTTGTTGAACGCACGCTGCACCGCAAGCGCGTGGCGCGAAAATTGATTAGCAATTCGTAATTTTAGTCGATCATTATTTATTTTCGCGGGTGACTGTTTACTGTGTGATTAAAGTGTTTTTCATAAAAATTTACGACAGTTCAGTGAAATCCTGGGATTTTTTTACTTGAAACATTTACTGCTTACAGATTACAGGTATTTAATTTTTTATACGTTTTGTCTACTTAATTTTGTTTTACTAGGTACCTACTATTAATCAAATTATTATCATAATTATCAGTTTTATCACTTTGTTCGTCGCATATTTGCGGTAGAAAGTTATTGAAATAAGTCGGGTCGTTCTTTTATCACACACATTCTGAGAAAAATAATTAAAACAAAATAATGATAATGTATAGCTCGTAAAGATTTTTATATTATTTTTATTCTAGGTTTTATAGAGTACGTGTTCTACTTCCGAAAATTATAGTGATATCAATTTCAAATTTCATAGTTTTCTCAAAGTCCCACTTTTATCACGTTGCAAGATGCTATCCATTATTAATAAATAATATATTTTTTAATTTGCTTAATCTGTACATTGATTGCGGTCAGAACATTTTAAAATCAAGCTGTAGGCATAGGTTTCGTACGTCATATTAATTCTATGTCGTTTCTTTTTCTAATAGTAAATACATTCATAGATAAGGAGTTTTACGTTTTTCTTTTCAGCCATTGACGTAAAATAAATTCATAAATAAATAATGTGATAGGTAGAAAAATGTGACGGCTTTAGGTCAGTCAGTGTTTAAAGCACTTAAAATATTATTTTATCGTCATGTAGGCACGATTAGATTTCCTAGATTAGATATTGATGTTATTCGGAAGAGTCTGAGTCCTTACTTAGCAACATTTGGGAATTACGTTATTTCCCACTTTAGGAGGAATATTTAGTACATTAATGATATTTTTTATGGACGCTTTTATCAGCGTATGTAGGTATTGTTAAAGCCAGTGCATAATCAGATTGTGTTTATTGGTGATTTTATTGGCTATTAACTAGAGAATGATCATTGTAAATAAGCAATCATAATCATTGCTGTTATAAAAGCATTTGCATGTAGACATCGCGGCGAAATATTAGGTACAAAATAAAGTATAATCAATGTATCTACCTATGATTTCACTAGCTTCTGCAAGCGGTTTCTCCCGAAGTCCTGGAAAAAAATACCCCATGTGTTATTCTAGAGTATCGCAGATCAAGTTTCATCCAAATCCATCCAGTAGGTTATAAGTAACAAACATACCGTCGTGTTTAGAATGTTAGTATGAATTACTATGATATAGGTACCTACTTAGGGGAAAACTGCATACTATAAATAATGTATCGGTATGTTTCCAAAACGAATAATTCCTATTAACTACGTATTGTTACCATTATAGCGATAAAGTAGAAAATATCCAGGTATGCAGTTGATTTTACCTGTTTTAGCTACCAATGTAACAATTAAACGAGGTCGGTTAAATATGTATTATTCTATTAAATTACCTGAAGCTGAAACTATGCACAATACCAGTCTATATAGTTATTATATCGACATATATTAATAGATATGTGTATAGTATTTGTATCATTGTTTTCGTATCACAGTGGATATCATTCACCGAAAATTGTAGTTTTTCATGGCTGATACGTTAGTAAAATACTGTGAAAAATATAATAGACAATATTTATAAGAAAATAGGTAATTTGGTTGATAGAATTCAGCACTCCTTGTTTGTTGGTTGTTTTTGAAATACTTCCTCTTTTAAATGTACTCAGTTCATAGCTGTTTCAATGAGCTCAACTGCCAATTACAATTTGAGTAAACCAATCTCAATACAGTTAACGTAAGTACTTAGAAGGTATTAGGTATATATAGACCTAGTTGTAAATTCAGTTTTTACATAGTTCCTGCGAGAACGTCAAGCAATAACCGTTATCTTAGCTTTCGTTATCAGGGCAACAGAATGAGTTATTTGTTAGTTTCTTTACTCGGTAACTGTAACCTCGTGAGTTCTAACAAACAGTTGACGGAGATGTGATGTTACGCGTCATAATGATGACGATGCAACACCAGTTAGTAGTTAGGTGTATGGGAGTTTCACTGTCACGAATATTAGGTACAGCGCATGCGAAATTCATGAATTTATTCAGGTGGCATATGCATGAACAGTATGAATGAAACTGTCTTGAAGCGATTAGCTTCAATATATTCTTATTAGATAATACTTCTAATATCTATGCTGTTGGCATTATAGAGGTATAAGCCAGTTATTTGGCATGCAGGTAAGATAATATAAATACTGACTCAGTACAGAGACAGTAGGTATTGTTACACTAAATTATGTGGTTTTGTATAAAGCCGTATCTTTTATAACTTGGTCGGCCCAGTAGCCAAAAAACAATGGCTACTGTTTCTGTGTCGAATCAATCTTTACTTGCATACTAAACAGCTGTGCAGGTGTAGACTGTATCTATGTATGTACTAAGGCTATGGACTCACGACGCGATTTTCACCTGCACCAGCTACAGTGGCGACACTGACTTTTATTTTCAAAATTCACGAGACTATACTTTTATTTGGTTACGCAGCCACTGCGGTTGCGATAATCGCCTGCAAACTTGGCGGTTAATTAAGATTAATTCAAGAAGGGCGGGTAAACAATCAGTTGAGTTCCAAACCGCCATCCCATAGCGGTTACCCGCTAACGGATCGCAAAGAGCGCGTGTACAACCCGCTGCGGGACCGCGACCCGCGCCTACTGGTACAAGATGACCGCCGGTGCAGCGGGACCCGCAAACAACCGCACACGCCGCGGGCGTAAAACGCGAACGAAATGTGCTTTAATTTTTACATAAAATCTGTGTTCTACAAAGACTGCGAGCCCAAACCGCGGCGGGCGGCGGCGAAAGTGTAAGAAAGAAAATGCATTTTTGTTTATCATTAGCCATGAAGTACTTACCTACCTAAATATAAGAAAACTCGGAATAACAAGCAAATATCGAAATAATAATGCAATAAACAAAAACAAACTAAAAGCAATATGAGTTAGCAACATGCGCCCGCCTACCCCCCTTTTGAAATGGGTAACCTACCAACTTTTTGTGATACAATGTACCTATTGTACTCAGGTCATTAACCCTAGAAAATAAAATAGGCCACGTGTACTTATTATAATCATAAAGAAAAATTTTCCTCCAGGATAAATCGAACTGTATATTTCCCCAGTGCCAGACAGTCGCACTAGAGCTATCAAGCATAGTGAAAGATGTGAAACTATAGTCGAACATAGAATGTGAAACTTTTGTCAAGGAAACCTTACAATTCTGGACCTTCAAAGTGATGATTATTGGCATCACCTTGTGGAAAGACATCTTCCTCAATTCTTTCGAAGAAATTGTCATGAATACCGCAATAAATTCTATAGGGCATCTGATAACAGGAAATGACGGTGTTCTGACTTATCGTATTTGACATTTAATGTGCAAATATAGGATTGTCGTTATTTTTATGTAAGTTCTAGGCGTGACTATAAGTACCTATATAACGATTATGATAAAATTCCATAACATAATTTATTATAGAACTCTTTATCAAACTTTAAATCCATAATTGTAAGAATATTTAAGTTCGTAGATAGAATCTTTGGAGATTTGAAGGACTAAAATGCATCATGGAAGCACAAATAGTTACATTAAACAACAAAAAGTTGCAACACTTTTATCAATAGTAATACAACAGTAAATACAAGTTAGCAACTGTTTTCTGACAAGTGGGTTTGTCAGCTCGTTCGCCTTTGTTGTAAAAGTAAGCCTCAATTATATGCAAAGCAGGCCCCGCCCCTAAATTATAGTCACCGGCAGTTAGCCTTCATCTCTTCGTTTTATATTGACATCATTGTTTAGACGACACAACTGTAGCAGAACTGATGCTCCAGTTATTATAAATCGTACATACTAAATAGATACCAAAAGTATACTAAACCTATAGGGCATCTGATAGTGCACCTTAGAGGCGTAATTACTTAAGTGCTAAGTTACTAAAACGCACTTTGGACCATAGGCTGCAGATAGGTGGACGGATATTTTATTTACATAGTACTTGACATTTTTTAAATAAGCAAAATGGGTGTGTCCTCGATAACTTAGGGGTCTTACTTACTTTAGTATGTTTACTTAGAATGTAAGACAGTTTATCGGTAATGTAATGCGGCGCTCCTTAGATAAACCTGCCTTATCCTTAATGTTTATTTTAATAAACATTAAATACAAACAGTAGTTTGTTGGTTTACCTTAATTGTTTGTTTATTGTTTACTTATTAAATAATAATTATGCAGTGATGGCAACGCCAGCTAAGCAGGTCAAGATCTCATTTTTAATTGTAGCTTTAGTTCAGATTCAGAACTTAGGGAGTTAGATTTCTACAAACATTAGAAAGGGTTTAATGTCATGTTATTTTTATCTGCTTCCTATAATACAGGAGGTTATACCTTCCTTTTGGGTATCAGACTCTCTCCCTTATTTCTTTTAACTTTTATGTATGTATGTTCTAAACAGTCCATCGTCCCTAGTTTAAAAAGCTTTGGTCGAAAGAGGTTTTAATGCCTAGGTCTTAAATTAGAGGTAAAAATTGCGCTAGAAGGACTACAAAGCGGAGGCGCAGATAAGTTATAAGCCCGTGGCTGCCTATCTGACTATAACCATGAGCGTTAGTTATTAGGAAATTCCCATAGAAATATTCAATTACGAATATTATTACTCTAGCCTAGATATGAGACTGTTCACGCTGCTTAGGAATCTCTCTACCATAATATAATCAATAGTAAAACGGTTCCGCATCAGTTAGCTGACAATTTATCTGTCAAGGTACCGTAAAAATTGGCTAAATAGCGTGGTTCAACTATATTTGACCATTGACCGTGATTTAAATGCACAGTTTAATGGTTAAACTCGTGTATAATGGTACTGATTGTGTCTATTCTAGTCTTCATTTGAAATAGACTCTTGTTTTCCGTACGTCTAAGACGTCAATGTTTTGTTTTTATAATAACTATCGTGAGACATACTAAATTAACTAAAAATGCGGGTTACTCACGTGAATGATGAATGAGGAAGAACCCCTCTGTGGTTCGAAACTAGTAGAGCTTTTCTCAGTATATTCACGTAAGTAAC